AAAGAAGGAAAAAATTCTTATGGCCTTATCAGGTTATAGACTATTTGCCAAGATTGCCAGATAGTTTGCCCAAATCCAATCAACAAGGCAAGTGATTCAAAGCTAACTTTGTGTCGGTTCAATTTTATACACTATTGATCCATCAGTTACAAGTTTTAGTAGAGATACGTAAATAGATAAAACAAAGTTAGAAAGGCGTACAAAATTGAATATTTGATTTAATTTAATAAACAAAATAGTTAAATGGATAGATACAGTTATTAGAAAGAGTAAGTGACAGTGAGAGACAGAGAAAAGAGAGAGAGGCAGAGAAAGATAAGCAGACAGAGAGAAAAAGAGAGTAAAGAAAGCAAGTGATAGTGCGGGAGGGATAACATAATCAGATAGCCAGACCAAGATAGACAAACAATTTGTAGACTGTTCGACAAAACCAGCAATAGGTAGACAAAGGTAGGGAAATATATTTAGACACAGACAAGCAGAGGTAGGGTCCAGAAGTCAGAGGGCTAAATACAGACAAAGGTGGATGAGGCCAAATTTAAAGGCTTAGGAAGACAGATATGTATGAATAGATCTATAAATAGATAGATGAATAGATATAGGGTTAGATAGACGAGATGGAGAGAGAGCGAATGAAAGAGAGAGAGAGAGAGAGAGATGATAAGGAGAGAAGTGCGTCAGTGTGGGAGTCAGACACAGATAGAGAAATATATAACGTAGAGACTGACATACAGGGTGGGTAGAACCAATTTTAGGGAAAGTTATTAAGAGAGATAAAATCGAGACAGAAATTGATGCTGACAAATAAGAGAATAGAAGTAGTAAGAGAGAGATAGAAAAGCAGATATGTATACACGGATAGATTAAATAGAGATAGAGATAGAGATAGATAGATAGATAGATAGAGAGGGAGAGAGAGAGAGAGAGAGAGAGAGAGAGAGAGACAGACAGACAGACAGACAGACAGACAGACTGACAGAGAGAGACTTCTCGCTATTTTTGAAAAAACCAAATGACCTTTATGTATTTCCAAACGCAAATGTAGTTTAAAATTTCCAAAAAAGCTCATTCTTNGAGAGGGAGGAGAGAGAGAGAGGAGAGAGAGGGAGGAGAGAGAGAGAGAGAGGGAGGAGAGAGAGAGAGAGAGAGAAATTAGTCGATAGCTTAATAGAAAAAGATGACCAGACCGAGAGTTCGAAGTATAGATAGAAATTGATATACCAATATGATTTTTTTTTTGCTATGACTATTTTGCAATTTTGGAAGTGAGGCAATGTTCCACAAAATTCAACTAATGTAAATGGGCGCTTTTTATCTTGACAATATATAGAATGTATCATTAAAATGCCAGATCCAATAAAAATAGAAAGAAATCGAAAAAAACAACGAACGAACTGAAACGACCAACAACAAAAACTGGACTTGTTTTATGTCAATGTGACCTTATACTGTTGATTAAAATGTCTTCGACTATGAAAATGTAAGAGGTTTGAAAAGAGTTGATGAACAAACTGACGAAAAATCTAATAGAAGAAAACAAAATTAGGGTTTTCCATTATTTTTTTATGGTTTATAAATTGTCAATTAAAGTATTGTTTGACAATCTCTGATTCATATAAAACTGATCAATTTTAGTGTAAATAACCGTCTTATAACAAAGAACGACGATTTATTTTTGCAACACTGTTTTTTTTATATAAAATAGAAACAAACGATAAAAATCTTTTATCGCCAGTCAATAAAAAAATGGGAACTTAATCTATAAGGATCGAATGGTTTAGCCAATGAAATCACACAATCGGTTCTGAATAGAAAATATTTTTCTTATCTCCACTGTGAAAGTGTTTACGCCGATAAATTTACCGACTTCGTTGTTTAAAAGGTACTATTTACGAATAGATAACCTTCTGAGAAAACTTGAAAAAACAAAACGTAAAAGAAATTTCAGAGAGATAGCGGCTATTTAATCTTAACTAAGCCATATTTTGCAATATCCGTGTTGGACATATCGGCCGATGTTTACTGGACTAAGTTCACGAATAAATTAAAAACAATTTTAACTTTTGTTCATTTAACACAGACAAATCCACCCACCTTACCTTCACTCTTCGTAAAAAGATCTACTTAAATAATATTACTCTCCCAACGCGGACAATGTGCTGTACCTCGGCTGTACATTGACAAACTCCTGAGATCTTCCACGACTTCTTAACAAATGTTCTGATTTACTTCTCAAAAATAAAAGGTTGCTTTACAACACCATAGTTAAGTCTAAATGGACTTACGGACTGGAAGTGTGGGGTACAGCCAAACATTCCAACATCCCCCGTATTCAAACTACCCAATGCTTAATCAGGCGAAAAATACTAGATGCTCAGCATTTTATGTATCGAACCTAACAACACATACAGACTGAAATATTCCTTTCCTTCAAGATGAAATCCGTTCCCGTTTCCGCAAAATTTCACAAAATCTTCCCAACCACCGTAAATCAACTCATCAGAAACCATCGAACCCTCCTCGCCGACTGAAGAGACGATGGCCGCGAGATCTCCTTGGAACAGACGTTGGTATCATTGGAGTACTACCAATGGACATTTTCTCCACTTTTATTTTTAATTTTGTGTATATTTCCTTTCCCATTGTTACATGTTACCAGTAGTTGCAATGTACTACAAATAAATTTTAAAAAATTGTCCAGAAAAAGATTACAAATTAAATTTCCAATTTATTATCAGTGAGTGTTTTATCTTAAATAATTGCATTAATTCGTTTCGCTTATCAAAGAAACTCAAGCATTTTATTGCCGTTCCAAAACATAATCCCGAAAAATATAAATGAACATGAACAATGCATATGTAAATCACGCAAAACTATAACATAAATATGTACAAATGAAACTTTTTTTGGTTTCTAGAGCGTCTTGCCGAAAAAAATTTAATTATGCAATTTCTTTTTTAATTTGGCTTTTTGTCTGTATTTGTGCATGTAATTCGATATAAATGATATATTTCAATTAATTAAGGTTTTTAGTTGAGAAAAAAAGACAGTGTCACGAGCGGGATTCGAACCCACCATCTTCGGCTAGATACGCCGCTGCTCTACCACTTGAGCTATCGTGACCTTTTTTATCTCAAGTAAAAATCTTAATTAATTGAAATATATTGATTGGCCAAGCGGACCACTAAAACTAGTGAATTTAGGGAGTAAATGATATATCTATATATATATTTTTTTTAACGAGGGTATTTCAACTAAGAGGTTATATGCACCGTCTGGGAGTCGGTGTTCATGAGAAAAGCCCATTCGTAAGTATGCCGGTTCGAAAGCAGGCCTTTGGATTCAAAACCGGGACTTTACAGTGATGAGCGCCGTGTCAACGCCTAAACCGTTGCGGCCACCGACGCCCAACTGTTGAATTATTGTCTTTTTAGTCTTGTATGGGTAGTACATGGGGTCTTTTGAGTGGATGGGTTTTATTTATGTCTGCTATCCAAGTAAAGCCCAAGGTTTTGGAAGGAGAGATTCCATGTTGGTTCATGTTCACTGGCAAGTCTGTTTGAGCGTTTTTGTTCGTTCAACTTGATCCACCACCGAGTGCTTTATGAGGTCCAGTTGTTCTTGTTTTTATATGCTTGAACTCTCGTACGATTTAACTCTTCGCACTTCCCAGTTGTTCTTGAATTACTAGTTCGGCAAGAAATGCAGAGTCGGCCGTTTCCCAGCAAGAGTTCCCAGTGTCATCCCTGCCCTTCCTACGGCTTCCCTTCGGCCACTCTATCATCTTGGGATCATACCCAAAAGTACATGTCTCGGTTTGGCCAAAACCTATGGTAGCTTATCGAGCTTCCGAAGCGGGTTGAATAATAGGTCATGCGGCCATAAATTAAGGTCGTGCACAGCAGCGAGTCAGTTTCAGAAGTGTCGCCCTGTGTTCATCTTGTGGACGATGAACTTCGATTTTGCAAATTTAAGCAAGAGAAAAGCAGAATGGAAGCACAATAATGTAATAATAATCATATGGACGGTGGGAGAGATTTCTCAAGATTCATCTATTCATGATAAAAAAATGCTAATTGAATATAATTTCTCGTTCAAGAGTATCACGAAAGTGACGAAATACTATTCTAGATAGTTGAGTGAACCAATTAATATAATTTTTTTTAAATAAGTGTAAAGAGTTCGGAAAAATTCCAGGGGTTTTATAATTTATTGTAACATTGTGAAATGCTGAGCAAAGTAATTAATAATAACCAAGCTAATAGTTTTTATATCATGAAACTATGTACTACAATAATTATTGACAGGCAATAAAAGAATTATTAATAAATAATTGAAATAATGAAATAAATAAATTTTCTAAGATGAAATCTCAGAACGCATTTATTATACTTAATTAAAATATATTATTAATTAGAATGAAATTACGATTTATTATATCAAAGATTTACAAATTTTATTTTAAGATGATAGGGAAGGAAATCAATTGTCTTTTTCCCAATAAGCCTATTGTTTATTTCCTACCCATCATCTTATTATGGAGTTCAAAAAAATCAGGATGGACACCATCAAAAAATTAAATTTTATTGTTAGCAAAGTACAAAAGTAGAACGGGTAGAATTTGCCAAATCACTTACATAAGTGTTTGGAGTTTACTTTAAATTCAAAACAATGCTGTTGAAATGGGGGTTTCCCTTGTGTATGGTTTATGTAAGAATTGGTGGGATTTGTTGGGTGATGTCAGAGACAATTGGATTAAAGATCTTCTACCAAAGAGAAAATGTCGTATTGGATAGATTCCAAATGCCCTGGTAGAATAGGGACACGTGGTATATTATATTACGAAATAATCTTGCCAGTTTAATATATGTATATATATGTATTTGTAGATTATACAACATGATTTTGAAGAGGTTTTGTCCAAATCAAGTGATAATCTTTTGATCAAGTGATAATTTTTTGTAAACAGTATTTTAAAGATAATTTTCGATTTCACTCACCAACGATATATCGTGTGCGCTGGGAAGCAGGCTTTACCATCACAAGAGCGATGTATTTTTGTACGAACGTCCACTTTGCTGCGTACAAACGGTTCTCTGCCCTAGAACAGACTGAAGCCTGAACAATCAGCACATGAGAACGGAACGTGACATGTTCTTCCTCCCCACCGGGCTGCCCGGATCCCACCACGGCGCCGTTGATCGGCCATAAACGCGAAATGGTTAAGTTCGGAATTTTTCAGAGGACATCGGCTGTCGGCAGTGTTTAGAGTGTAAAGGGAAGATTTATTCAATCGAGACGTGTCCAATGACGTCGTCAACAAAACACGTATACTCTCTACTGCGTTCCTCGAGCTCAGTTCTTATACACTAACAGGCGAAAAATTCCACCCACTTGTAAAAAACTTGATTTGTATATATTTTATATATTAATCGAGGTTTCATGTTTTTTAGCGTTTCATAATTGAGTCTTTGTCTAGAAAAGTCAAAAAAAAAAAATACTAGGGAAAATGAAAAATAATAAAACAAAAAAAAGACAGACAGATAAAATTTGTTTTAACTTTTAGATTTTTAATTAACAGTTCAATATCGCGTATTTTCTCCTCTTGCCTTAAATACATCTCGAAGACGCCTCGGCATACTTTCTACTAGCCTGGTAATGTCTCTTTTCTGGAGGTTAGCCCATTTTTCGCCATTCATTGATGGCCTTTTGAGGTTATCCCATAAATGTTCGATGTGGTTCAGGTCTGGAGAACGGGCTGGCCATGTTAAAACCCTGACGTTATGCTGTTGAAGGTTGTACTATGCGAACGACAAGTGGACGAACATTATCGTGCATTAGAATAGGATTCTCGCTGATTTCATCGAGGATAGGCAACGCATGATGGTCCAAAATTTCATACACATAGCGAGTGGCCGTCAAATACCTTCCACGAACGACAACCAACTCTGTGCGACTCTCCATTGAAATTCCCGCCCATACTATCATTGAGCTACGTTGAAAAGGTTGGCTCTGGGAAAAATTACAGGCTTCGTACCTTTCATTCGCCTTCTCCACACACTTTCACCTCCTTCTGGAGATCATAGAGCAAATCTACCCTCATATGTAAAAAGTACAGCAGACCAATCGTCCAAAGACCAATGACTGTGTTCTCCAGCAGATGAGAACCGTACAACTCTGTGGTTGTCAATTCTGGTCCTCTTACGCCCCGAAAAGCCATCAGTCCATACTGATTTCATCTTCTTCGAGCAGCGCGTTCAAAAATTTGGACACCTCGAACTTCCTGGAGCTGATGAATCGCTTGAACAACAGTAAGGTGCCGGTTTGGCAAAATTCTCAAAGTCAATAAAACGGTCATCCTGTGGTTCTGTTACCCTAAGGCGTCCAGAACCGGTCCTTCTATGGTAGGACCCAGTTTCTCGAAAACGTCTAACAGCATCTTGCAGAGTTTCGAAAAGGGAACTCCGATGGCAATAGCCGCATACCTGATGGAACGTCCATCATCAATAAGTGCCACACCACGCGCAACATCCTCTAGCACTAAGTGGCATTCTTACGTTTAAAAATTGAAATTAAGAAAATAAAGATGAAAACTAAACAGTTTATTGCTTCACAATTCAAATGAGCTCAATGAACAATTTAAATTCCGTAAAAAGTAAACTTTGAAAAATCCTTTATCCTTGTTTTGGAGTAATGATTAAGTGTGTTTACCTCTAATTGTTATTCCCAATTTAAAACAGCATAAACGAATATTTATTAATAAAAACAATGAGGCAAATTAAGGACAGAATTTTCTTTTATCGAGCAAATGAAAAAAAAATCAATTGGGTGGAATTTTTTACCAGCCAGTGTATTTCAAAGCAAAACTCACAGTTACTGCCCACCCTAAAAACACAATAATGATCACCATTTGCTTAATAACTCAGTTGTTTTGAAAGAGGACTTTCATTATAAAATATAAACCAACTCTTTTAAACTTTTAAACATATCCACAGGAAAATGTAAATGGACCGTCCTGTACCACGAGAATCTACGACCTACACTAACTCAATTTGCCGACTATATGGACATCCTTCAGAAAGATGAATCGTATAAAGAGACCGACAGTAAACTACAAGGATAGCTGGACGAGACTGAACCCTTTGAAGTTGGAAATTCCACTCTTCTTAGATACACCAGAACAGAAATTTTATTATTTATTTTACTTCTATAGTCCACCCATTTAATTCGGAAACTATTATATTTAGCAAACTGGTCTTATTACAAACGCCGAATTAATTTTGACTAGAATTCTTTTTTTCTTTTTTTTTTTTCAAAAATTAAATAAGCTAAGCGTGAAAGCAACCCAACGATCCCTGCCCTATTATGAGACGATTCCTATCATAAATTAACTAAGAAATAGTCAATCCTATCAAAGTTTTCCTTTCAGTAAAAGTGGCATAAAATAAGCTGTAGAATCGAATTGTACGATAAAAATATGGTATTCTCATTTAAAATACCAAAGTTAGTGTCATTTCCCAGCTAAATGAGAAAGTTATGCGTATCGAAAAAAATTCATTATCTTTTCGATGTAAAAGGCTCGTAGGCACGTTTTTTTACGTATTTTTCAAGAAAAACGGTTAAAAAAAACCCCAAAAAATCGAAAAAAAATTTAATGTCTTTTTAGATGTAAAAGGCTCGTAGGCACGTTTTTTCACGTATTTTTCACAAAAAAATCGAAAAAAAATTTGTCATTTTTGATGTAAAAGGCTCGTAGGCACGGTTTTTTACTTATTTTTCAAGAAAACGCAAACAAACAAAAAAAATCGAAAAAAAATTTATCTTCTTTTTCGATTTAAAAGGCTCGTAAGACACGTTTTTTTACGTATTTTTCCAGAAAAACCCAAAAAAGCACAAGCCATCAATGGTTACTCAGTACAAAAATTAATTTTAGTTTATAAAGCTGAAAAAGCTCTGCTGGAAGCCCGGAATAATTACTTGCGATGATATAATGCACAAAACCGTGGCCTAATTTTCCCTTCAAACTTTTATTTTCTAAATATGGCGGCATAATTCTCTTAGAAGCTCTTCTAATAACTATGATATAAATTTTAATTGTAATTATAAACTGTGTTTATAATCGAGTACTGCTTGAGTTTATTTTAAAATACAAACAATTTACAATTAAAATACAAAATTTACAAGTAGGGTTTTAAGCCCCATTACAAGAACGTATCTTAGAAATAAATTTGGTTTTATAAACACAGTAAAATAATAACAATAACATTGATAATAAAATATTCAAAATAAAAATGACAATAATATATTCTTTAAAATATTAATTATTTATAATCAAATGATGAAACCACATTAAGAAAGAAAAGTAGAACGAGAAAGAAGATTAATGAAAATGGGAAGAAGAAAGGAACAGAGAAGAAAAGGAAGATTATTAATTTCGTTTTTAAATATTGAAATGCCATGGACTGAATCAAGCCGGCGTGGAAACTGAATGTACTTCCTGGCAAAGGAACTGACGGTAAACCTAGGTAAATATGCTACAGGTTTTCCAGTTTGAAATCATAGTGATTGGACCTTGTGCCAGGGAAATAAAAAGCTAGGAATACATTCCCGGAATATAGCCAACTTCTCTGATAGGCAAGTCAGCGACACCAATAATCCATCCCCGGGATTTCGCGGCATAGAGGCAATTGAAAGTTTGACTTGTTAGCCAAAGAGGATGCCAACCTTGGCCACTCTTTTTTTTATGAACTAAAAAATATTCTCTGACACCTACTTTTTCTCATTTTCTTCTTGCATTATTGCTCAAAATAATCTATTCCACTCTTGGTATTTCAGTTAATTTGGTGTTAAATCTTCTAAGCTGAAAAGGCCAAATTCTTTTTCAAGAAGCCCAAATTTTAACAATTTTCTCGAATGAACCCAAATATAGTGGAAGCAGTCGCTGAGGTTTAGCCTTTTCTCTGAAATCATTCATCCAAAAAAGTCACAGCCTGTTTTGGTGTTGTACCTGTGGATGTAGTTTCCTTTTGACAGAAAAGGCAAAAATCCACCAGAAGAATTTAAAAAATTTCTAATTTTATAGACTGAACTATCATTTGGTAACAGCTCTGTCTTTAGACTTTTTTTGTTTTCAATAGCCAAATAATTAAGTTATCTTAATTAGGAATAAAATATATCTAAAACACTGGAAAGAAACAGAGGATAAGATTATTTTAAAAAAATGGTTAACTGCTTGCATTATTAATAAAAATATTATTTTAATAGAAATTAAAAGCAAATAGTATACTAAATGTATATATTCTAATAGTATATATGTATAATGAATAGTTACAAAAATTTTAACAATTAAATACTCATACAGAGTAATAAAGTATCAACTCTAAACGATATTTTATAAATATTACTGAAGTTTACCGCCCAGTTCAGTTACACAGATGTGTTAAATCATAGAAAACCTGAAATACAGACAATTAACAGATGAACATCAGTATTATAAAAGCCAATATTCACCTCGATAATAGATGCGGCAGACCAAGCTTGAGTGGGGCAAGCGCCTTCACAGAAAGCACCATTGGCATTCGTCAACTCGGATAAACCTCGCCACGGATTGTTGACCAAGTGGTTCCAGTGAGTCGAAAGGTACTGTTTTATCTCAGCCGCAGCCCCTTCAGGATCTTCTGAATACCTCAGCTTCGCTCTCAGATAGTAACCGACCAACCAAACCCACTCCTATTACAAAATTAAAAACCGTAATTAATTAAGTTCTGACATAATATATTCATTCTATGTTTGAATGTGATATGCTAGTAATGTAAAATTTAATAAAGTGTGTATCACATATACATTTCGCAGTAATATAAAAACAAATTATTGAAAATCTTGGTAATACTTCTTAACCAAGTGATCAAAAATTAAAATAATAATGATATTTACTGTTTAATTGTTAAAATCAAGAGACTAGATATTAACATTTTTCAAAGTGCAATGAAGAAGGACAGCACAAACACTATTATATTAATTATATGTGAATAAAAGCAAACTAATTTAGCTTCTTGAAGTTGATGGTGGTGTTGGTCTTTGAGTTGGTTCAACATAAATTGTTTTTGTTGGCAATAAATGATAAATATTATCTTACCAAATTCATTATATTAATACACTAAATTTTAAATTTGATTTAATTTGGATTATGACTTTTTTTAAATTATTTTCTCACCGGCCCTTGGTGATAATTAAATCCGTGTGCAACTTTAAAATCTGTCGAATGGTTGCCATTATCGTAATCACCGCAATACATGAGATCAGTTGGATCAAGGGTTTTCATTCCAAGTGGGCCAACTAGCACTTTGACCGACTGGAGCGCTATTCTGGCTTTTTCCAGGTCAAAAAGCTCTGGAGCCTGAAAAATAAACCAATATGATTCAATTAAATAAATATTCAAGGAAGCTGGCACATCACACTTTTAAAGGGAGAGAATATTTCAGAGTCAATGCTGAGGATCAAACCATGATCCACAAATCAAACCACTCAGCTCTATTGTAATAAATACTAATACAATAATTATAAAATCACACAAATTACAATAAAACATCACTTTCTAATAAATCTCTCTATAAAAAAAAATACATGCACTTCTTTCTATGATTTTAATTTGTAATTAGAGTGCATAAGTGAGAATGAAATATAATTAGTTTCACATACAACAACCATTGAGATTAAAAAGTTTGGTCTCAGTCTGAAATCAGCCCAAGGTTGAGTTGCGCCTACGCTGTCCTTATATATGCCTACTCTGTTTACATATTCACTAACGGTCTTGTCTTCCACCCAAAACTCTTTTGTAAAATGTGATTTTATTTTGTCTGCCCATTCCGCCCATGTCCATGTTGTGGTCTCTCCTATAACATACCTTATATTAAACAGCTGTATACATATATACATAAATTTATATATATATATATATATATATAAATTTATGTGTAAACATTAGCTCCTTACCAAACTTATTAATTCGGGTGACACTGTTATAAGGGTATTTCCCTTTCTTGTACAATGTTGAAAGCCATAATATGACAGAATAAGACAGCCCTACAATTTCAACGGCTGAACCATCTCTGGGCGTAGCAGGTTTTCCTTTTGTACCAGCTTCGACGCTCGATCCCATTTTATCCATCCATGTTCCACAATTCCATTCATTCCCACCAAAAACAAAACCTATAAAATTGCATTTAAAAAAAAAAATTAATAGTTTAAAAACACATATATATGGGTGATAGAAAGTTACCAGTTATTGGATGAACGCCGATCTGGTTATCAAACCCGTGAATTGTCATATGTTCGTCAATTTCTTTACCAGCATTACGTTCCCGGAAAGTCACTCCTTGAAAGTGTTTTGTCAGAGCTTCTTGAATAACTTCTTCAAGAGGCTGATCCTTTAAAAATAAGGATATTCAAAATTTCACAAGTGTTTGCTTCTATTCAAAATACTTACTACAAATTCCAGTTCTGACTCGTCTGTTGGAAAGAGGCGGTTAACCTTGTCTTTAAATATTACGACTCCATTTGGCACTAAGTTTGTGTATTCCTTTATAGATTGAAGCCACCACCAAACTGCATCTCTGCTGTTGTACCTAGGTTTAAGGTCATAAGCATCTAACAAGTTTGGGATGAGACCATGACGCAAACATCCGCCATATCCCAATATGTGGTATCTATATTAAAAAAGAAGATATTTTTAATTTCAAATAGATTTTTGGAACAGCCACTCAAGTTTAATTTATAGTGCACTATTCATTCTTTTCTCATACTGACGTTAAACTATCCAATACATCTTAATTTTAATGCCAACGTTTTACAGTGTTTAGTTCAGTAAAAGAATATTTTTGAATTGAGAATTTAACTATGGTCTAGAAAAAGGACAGTCAAAATAACATATAAATTTGGTGCAACGTGAAAGTTATTTATGATTTTTGTTTCTCTTCAGATATGCCATGATACAATTTAAAAATAATTTCAATTGTTTTTAGAAAGTTACCTTGCTTCATCAAATCTATGGGTTAAAATTAAGAGTCCCTTAATAGATATAAAAGTGTCCCGCCCCCACGATCTCATGTAGCCAGATGAAAAATGAGGGAGACCTAAACATAAAGATTTTTTTAAATTATACATTTATTACTATGAATTTGTACTTTTTACCAGCTGCCAATGTAGTGCAAATTTGATGGTCGAAACCATCGGATAAATTTTCTATTTTTGGCCTCGGTGGAGCGATTCCATTCGACAGAGGTGGAAGTGGAGAAGATTTAATAATGCCTGCCATCTGGATAGAGCACATTGCAAGGTTTTGTAGAAATTCATCTCCTTCTTTAAAAAATCTAAAATAAAAGTTGAACATTTATAACAAGACATTCTATACATTGTTCAATGTATCTTACGCAGGCATTAATGAAATTGCTTTTTCTAGCAGAGCTCCATGGACTTGTGACAGAACTTTATAAAGCCCCCAAGGTCTCAGTGATGTAGGCAGATCGTCTATAAGTTTGAATTGCTTATGCAATTTATCTCCTACAAACGATTTGGGATAAATAGAATTAATGGTTAAATAGTTTTCAAAACTATTAATGTTGAGAATGGGATGAGAAAAATTACACTCTGGATATTTGAGATTTTAACGGAATTTAAAAAAAATTAAATATATACTTTTCCATAGAACACAATAAATAATTTGGTAAGTATTAACGGTTTGATAAAAGGCTCACAGTTTTTTTATGTGTTCTATAAGCAATAATTTGTCATTTATGAGTGATATTGTGTTGACAGCCCACCACTGAAGTGGCAAGAAGCCGAAACATGTCTGACAGTCATGATTGAAAATGACCATACTATAAATAATTTATTTCTATTCTATCTTTAAATGTGTAATGTTGATCAAATAAGGTATGAGCTTGGAATTGTATTTAATAAAATGAAAATCAATTTACCCAATCGTTCGGTCGACTGAAGTTGTTTCAACCTGTCTACAGTATAATACATATACCAAGACCCTTCTCTGATATTGGAACACAATGGGTGACCCAAATCATTGTTTTTTGCAATGATATCAAATACCGACATAATACCTGAAAATAAATAAGTTCTTTATACAAAAATTATTACTGTTATTATCATTACTTAAAATAGTTTTTTTTTTTTAAACTTTGCATCAATTGCTATGGGTTTGTATTTGAGTCATTAATTTAAAAATAAATGGCAAGTAATATTAGTTTTAAAATAAAACTAAACCTTGTATTCCACAATAAACTAGATGGCCATGTCCAGGGATGCAGTATGTATTTCCATTTTCTTCATTGCCACACCGATACAGAGCGTAATTAACATCAGCCAGGGAGAAATGTTCTATACAGTCCTGTATTGTCATCCCTTCGTTTATTTTCTTTGCTGCTTTTACCGCATTTTCCTGAGCAACAAACCTTAAAAAGGAATGATTATTATTGGAAGATTACGTTTTAACGTTAAGTTACTCACTTCAAAGCCACAACGGAACCTGGCTGAAAATCTGTTGTAAAGTTCACCCTTGTACCCTGTTCTGAAGAAACAAGTCGGACCATTTTGCCCGACGATATCGGTACATTTTCACTAATCTCAAGATCGTATTCTTGCAGGCCATTAATTACTGTTGAATCTTTAGTGAAATTGCTTGAAGGCTCATAACGTTTACCAGACCTTTTAAAACAATTTCAAAAAAGTATGTCTTTCCAGTGTATTTTTTTGGTCATACTCACTTGTGTTTCAAAAAGGCTTCAAAAATTAGACTGTGTGGAACCGCTTGCACAGTGACTCCCTTTCCTTCACCTGTCTGGTAATTGTTAGGCCACTTAAAAGCTGTATAAGCAACGAGCACAACAGAATCCAAGGTGTTCGGGTTGAATCTTGTCACACAAACAATATCTTTGTCAATTTGATCTACGAACACCTACAAATAAAACCGATTATAATGTGAAAAACATCTAATATTAATTTTGTCTGATACCTGAGAAAAACCTTGTTTAGCTAATTCATAATGCAATTTATTCAAAGCGCATTTTCCTGACATTATGCCGCCTGCAATTCTGGTCTCGGAGAAGTTCATGAAAGTTCGATCTTCCTTGACAACATTTATCTACAATGGATTTTGTCAGAAAAAAATTCAGTTTCAATTGAAATTTTAACTTGCATGGTGAGGGACGAGTTGGTCATAGCCGTAGGTGGAACCAGTAGCACAGGCTGCCATTGAGACAAGAGCCGTCGAAGGAAGCATATCATAAACGGTCTTTCTTTCCACTGGGCTCGAATTATCATGTGTGAGATCCATGAATAATGCATGAGCGATGTTTGACACTTTTTGGGAGTGTAAAGCGCCAATAACTGACCCTCCATAGCGGTAGACTAGGCGGCCAACCTCTTGCGAATCCCCCGCAGACATGCTTTCTATTACATTAAATTTTAGAAGTTTTATATTTATTTAATTTTTAAATAATTTTGTTTAGGCACTCACCTCTAACTAATGAAGATATTCCAATTTTGTTAATAAAAATGTTATCAATCTGATCTGAATTAGTAAATAATTCTGCAACGACATAGAGCTCTGGTCTAACTACACGAGCTGCATCTACTAAGTACTAAAAATTTGAAAAGAATTTCATACTATTACTTTTTGCTTGTGATTTTAATTCAATGAAAGCCAAGAAAAATAATTCTTTTAAATTTATATTCTATTGTTTCAATTTTACAATTTAATTTTGTTACTGTGATTAATTCAGTAACTTGTAAAATTTCAGAGAATGGGCTGTCGTCACCAAGGTTTACACTATATTTCAATCATCTGCTAGTCGCTTCCCCAGATAAGGCAAGTTATGCTTATTATTTGTTTTTATTTTTTGACCCTAGGCAATGCCTATTAGACTTGAAAGAACAACTGCCAACATGGAAAGACGCGCTGCTGCCACTGACCTAAAAGCTACCTAACTCACAATTTGTTATTGTCATTTATGAAAGAAAGAGACACCTTTTTGAGAGTGTGGATGAAAACTATTTATAATCTTATGGAAAAGGAGCAAACTCTCCAAGAATCTGGGACTAACTCTCCCAGGGAGCCCTTGTGATGGCCAACTCCACAAGGGGTACAAAGATTTTTTACACTCTGCTTGGACCATCTGATAGTTGTATTACCAGAAATGGCAAAATACACTAAAACTTTGTTGTTCAAGATACATGGTGCTAAGTTGTAATCTAATACATAGATAAAGACTTGCAATGTTTGAAGAAGAAAAAAACAGAAATAATTTCTTGTTTTAATTCACAAGGGAAATGTAAAAAAAAATTATCGGTTTATCAAATGGCAAGAATTCATCTTGCAACATGTCCTGTTCACATTCTCTCTCTTTTTAATTTTTCTTTCTTGGGAGGTCGTCAACTGACACTTGGTTCATAAAATTGTTATTTATTTTTATTTTTTCTATGAACCAGAGTGATTTTTCTTGTATTAATAAGCGAATTTTGCCCTTTTTTGTGGTTACAATGATTAGTCATGATTTATCACTAGTATAAATACACAATATGCTCAAAACCATAAGATTAAATGGTATAAATAGATGTTCATATTTTAACCTTTTAAAATACTAATAATAGTTTTAAAGTCCTTATGGGGGGTGTCGGAGGCCGCAAAGTTTAAGCATTGACACGGTGCTCATCACTGTTAGGTAGAGGTTCCGGGTTCGAATCCAGCGGCCCTGCATTCGAACCTGACATCTTACAAATGGACTTTTTTTTCAAAAATATCCACACCCCAAAGGTTCATATAACCTCATAGTTGAAATAACCTTGTTAAAAAAAAAGTCCTTATGAGGGGTGTCAGCGGTCGCAATGGTTAAGAAGTAGCAACTCACACACCCAGCGCATATTTCAATTTTTTTCAAATGACCATGAAATTAGTGAATTTAATGAATTAACTGAGGTACACTTCACTAAAGCTCTCCGTCGCCGTCTCAATTGTCGTCGAGAATCCAAACCAATTACACGACATTTGAAAAAAAGCAAAAGGAGGGAAAACTCATAAGGTGGGGTTGAGATGGGGAGTTGATGTCCGAGTGGATCGAGGTCACGATAGCTCAGGTGGTAGAGCAGAGGCGTATCAAGCCGAAGGTCGTGGGTTCGAATCCCTCTCGTGCCATTAACTTTTTTTCATCTTAACTAAAAACCTTAATTAATTGTAATATTTAATTGGTCAAGCGGACCACGAAATTAGTGAATTTGACCCAAATATCAAAACTGTTCAAAATTCCAAAGATTAGATGAGTAGTATTTATTACTTGTGCTACAGGTATTGGCGTGGAGTGGCAATTGTCCAAACGAATTCCATCGAAAATTTCAACCGTTCTTTCAACATATGACCTCATGTGATCCCAGAGATATGGGCAATCATCTCTTTTTTCACCATATCTGTACACACAAAATCATGCAAAACAAAAAATAAATGATAATATTAAAAAAAAGATGATATACCTTAATTTAACGCTATCTCCCCAAACGATCAGTTCTCTCTTGAGATAGACGTTGGATCCAAATTCTGCAAAATTGTTTAAAGGATCATAGTCCATAACCCAACCATTATGAGCCATTATGTACTTTGCTTCATCAGTAAACATCGCGTTTTCATCTAATGTTATTATTTCAACAAAATACCTAAAAACTCCCCAAATTTACTAACGATTCAACATTATTTACAGTAGGAAATTTATCACCTGTGCACAAGAAGATCGTCTTTGGTCACTAATGGGATTTTTGGACCTTTTTGATCTAGTCTAAAATATCGAACAGTCGCTATAGTGTTTTCGACAGCACTCTTTAAATGATTCTCAATTTCATTTCTGATTTCATTATTTTGAGACTCCAGATAATTTTTGAAAGCTTCAGCACATTTTTTTTGCCTTGTATCTTCATCAAAGCAGTCAACTCTGTAATTATTTTTTAACAAAAAGTACAATAAATTGTGAAATATCATGAGATTTATCTCCCCATGAACCTGTAGCTCGATAATTTCTTAACTGCCTTTGCTAATTGGTCTGTCAGATGTGTTGCAGCTTTTCACCATCATCAGTGGTGTTAACAAGACACCAACTACTTAAGATGGCAAAAAGCCAAGACAGACTGCAACGGGCTGACCAGAAACTACCTAGCTACAACAAGAACATTATTACCGTAATTATTCTTACCTGTATATGTTGAACTTCTTTAGTGCTAAACCCATATCAATGGTTGATTTCAATCGCCGAAATTGGGGATCCTGGATAATCGTAAGATTTCTGTCAGGGTTATCGATTCTCTCTGTCAGTGTTACATTTCTGCACTTTTCTTTGAATTCGTTCACAAGCAGATGTACATCCACTAAAAAGCATTCTGGGATTTTTGCTTCTGGTATCAAAACACTTTCCAAAAGGTATCTGAGACTCTTAAAAATTAAATTTCAAAATAGTATCAAGAGTAATTAATTATAGAGAATATTTTCTTTGTTGACCAACATTAAGATGCTCTTCAGAATTAATTTCTGCAGTAAGTCCCATTGTTTCATATACTCCTACAGATACATCGAGAGAAAGTTTATACAATAATCTATCTAGAATATAAGCTGGACGAAGATGAGGCGAGTTAGTCAAGTTGTAGGCACATTCTGGGTGATCTTTAAGCCATGGACTTTCATTTGCAGTATGATTCAATACTATATCACAAATACTTAATATCTGGAATTCAAATTAAAATAAAAACTTGTTGACCACTTTAATTTTTAAGTCTGTACAATACCTTCCATTCTTTTCTAATAAAATTTACAACTTCCAGAATGTCAGCGTCAGTCAAATTGTCACCAAATAATGGATTGATTTTTAACTGATCTTTTAAACTATACGCTGAATTGGAGCTACCCAGCGCCTAAGAGAGGAATGGAAAATTATTTCAAGAAAAAATTTACATGTATATGCAATTCAACCTGTATGGGCGTGAAATGGATCATATTATATCCACACTCTTTGGCCACTTGCAGCTTCTTTTTCCATGTAGACAATGGGCCTAGATTTTTGGAAATGTAAGTAACACATTGAATGCAGTCCAATGTCACGATGTCGCTGCCGATAATTAGTTCAGGTTCGACCAAAATATAGCCTTGGCCATTAATTTTGAGACTGTAATTGAATAGTTAGTATATATATAAAAAATGAAAATAACGTGAAACAACCTACCAATCATCAACAGTAAAACAATAATGAAATGACCCTGACCAATTAGCGATCAATTCTTTCTTATCCAATACCCTATAAGCCCTTTGGACAAAACCTGTGCCTTTCTGAGGGAAATCTGTAAATATTTTGACCTTATGACCATAAAGAGATGGTCCTTCTTTTATTTGTATAACGACTCCTAAAACCAGTAATTTGTTTTAACAAATCAACATTTTTTCTGAATATTTCAAAATGTAAATTTATATTTAATTAATTTGTTTTGATAAAAATGTTTTACCTTTGGGCACACGGAAAAGTTTATCCTCCTCATTCTGATCTTTGTTTATAGTTAGAACAACTCGAGGTAGCTCCATAATGATTTACAGTTTTGAATTCCCTTTGGACCTAACGATATACTGTTATTTAAAAAAGCATTAAACATTTCAAAATTACACTGATTATATATCTTCTACAATTGTTGACTTTATTACAAGACAAATTCAATATTATTAATGTTAATTAAACTTGTCTCTAGCTACAAATGTGTTCCTGGATTAAATTTGTCATATTTTATTAAGCAATGCAATTCCCCATAAGCAATTTTAATAAATAATTATTAAAATTATCAGGTTTTTAAGTTGACCTTTATAATCACAGTATCATGTTTTTTTGTTTTTTTTTTTAAAGTAATTGTTTTATTTAATACAATAATTGGATGTTTGTTTATTTTATTTTTGCTTGTTATTTTTCCATAACATGTTATATGCCGTATTCCTTGTTTTAGACTTAGATGTTTAAAAATGGCATGATTCTGTTATTTTTTCGGTAGAGATTATATTTCTGCAGAACGGAGCATAATTTTTGAATGGCAAATATTCAAAACCAAAGAACAACAATAAAAAAAAATACACATTGCATTTTCTATACACTGATGGACAAAATTAACACACCACCTTTAAATTTTAATGCATGTAGGTTTATTCATATTTTGCGTACCAAAAATATGAAATTTAATGAAATATGGTTGCAAAAATAAGAAATTTAAAAAGAAAATGTTTATTACCTAATTAAAAAATATATATTGATTAAAAAATTGAAAAACAAATAAAAGTTTTTTTGTCCCCTTTAATACCTAGTAAAAGGTTTTTAGGTTTATTTATATTTTGCAAACCAAAAATAGGTTTGGTTGTAAAAATAAGACATTGGAAAAGAAAATGTTTATTAACTAATTAAAAAACAACACAATTGAATGATGAAAAAATAATAATCATGTAAAAAAATACTGTTTGTCCCCTTTAATACCGAGTATTTCCACCTCTGGCTCAAATCACGTTCGTTAAAAACTTTTGCATTCCTTGGAAAAGATTTCTGGCAAAATTCTGATGAATCCTTTCCCATTCATCAAGAAAATCCAACTCTTCTAAGATGTTATGATCTGGGTTTCACCGTTGTACTCGTCTCTTAAGTTGGTGATGTGTTCAATTGGGTTCAAATCTGGACTCTGAACTGGCCACACCAAGCATTCAATTCTGACCTCATTCACAATACCTGCTCTATAGGGCAGGACGTTATCCTACATTAGCAAGAATCTCTCATCGATGTGGGGGGCAAATGGTACATCTGTGAAGAGATCTTCCTCGCACAACAACCAATTCAATGTGGGTGTCCAAGGAAATGCCACCCTAGAACATCAGTGAACCACAATGGAATGCCACCTGACGAACCGTACAGAATGGGGTGTACCTTTCTCCTGAGCGTCTCCATATGAAATTAAGACCATCTGAAGATTTGAGGCAAACTCACCTCATCTGTAAAAAGAACTCATCCCCAATCTTCCAATTCACACGTTCCTATGCAAATTGATGCGTGGTCATTTTCTGAGCTGTGGTAAGGAGAGGTCCACAAAGCCAGATGCCAGGCCCTGAGGTTATTTTTTTCAACCTTCTTCTTACATTCTTGGAGGAAATGGAAACATTTCTTATCTCATTTCCCATAATGTTGCACTTTCATAGAGCCTGATGAATTTATCATCACATGTGTAGACCTACGTTGACCCTACCCTGGCCTTCTAGTGGGAAACCCTTCATAGAGAGATTTACACTCAATCTCCTGACAACTTCGCACTGGCTGTATCCTTCCGCCAATAATGTTACAACTCTGACACTGTCATACTCGCTCAAAGGCCTGACTGGAGCCATTGAAAAAGGTTTAGTTATAAGAATAATATCAAATGAAATAAACGAAGGAAAAAGATTAACTGAATGCAATCTTTAGGTGCAGCTGAATCGAAGGGCAGAGACTACTTTTTTGGTGTGTTAAATTTGTCCATCATTGTAATTATTAATAGATCACAAGTGCAATCGCATTTGATTAGACACATAAGGACCGAACCAACTGACACCATTTGCCAGCATTGCCAAATATTCAGAATTTACATACTTTCACCAATTATTTTAAACAGCGTACACTGTTCTGCATGCTTCGGCCAAAATGTTAGTAATGCATGCAGAAATTATTCACGAAGGGCACAATCGGATTCGACTATTAAAGACGGTTTAGTTTTAAAAAACAAATTCTGTAAGGAAAGTGGTTACCCTTGTTGAGATCTTGTCAACAGACTACGGAGAGGCGCATTTAACTACTTACTTTCTAATATTTGTAACAAATATTACTTTGAACCACTAATTTTAAAACTTGGAGTGGGCTTTCTCCTCGCCCTGGCAAACGAGTTAAAATTATTTACAATTGGACAACAAAGACTTAATCAACTTAAAAGCCTGAAAAAATAAGAAAGTGAATTATTGAGGACGTTTTATTATATTAAACTATCATCTCCAAAACATATTTAATAAATAAGACAATCTAATCAAAATGATAACACCGCTCGAAAAACTTGTAACAGTTCAACAAAGTACATTACGTAAAGGATATTTGATAATGAAAACAACAAATCGGGGTCAAATTTTTATTGGGAATTTGAACCTAGGGCCAAAAAATAATTAGGCAAAACATGGGATGGGCAAATATTGAAGAAAACAACATTGGATAATAACCTACCTATATTTTGCGTATAACAAGAAAAAAACGTGTATTAAGGTTTATGTTTCAATTTCAAACAGGATTTAGTGATTTACATTCAAAATTTACATGTACAGTATGTACGTACACATGCATAAACTTGTACACTGAGGATACAAACGTACAAGCACAAAACAATTAAATGAACCGAGTACTTTATGTGTGAATGTCTGAAGAAAATACATAAAAAGATGTTAATAAAAACGATCAGTTGATCCTGGGTCATGTCGGCTATGCTAAATATAAAATAAACTCGGGTGTAGGGCGCTTCGAGTTTCCCATTTCGCCGGCTAATTTTCCAGGTGAAAAGCTTTTCCGATCGATAAGGAGTGGAAAACCCTTTATTTCCCTTGAATAATTTAATGTTCTCCAAATTTTCATTCTTAGACGTGCTCATTACGATTTTTTATACAGTCTAATTGTAGAGATATTCACTCCATGTCCAGTTTCCAAATGTTAGCTTTTTTCTTTTGGTGTATAATTTTTTTAATCGATGGATTTTCCGTATTGGTCAGTGTGTCCATTAATACATACAGCTTTGTACAAAAGTAGGCGACCAGGATTCATTTGTTCAAAATTTCATATAAATTTTACAAATAAAAAATTGAACCATGTTCCGCCTCATTGATGGAGCTATTAAACCAAACAGTGATTCAGCTAAATATCTGGGAATGACTAGATGCCAAGCTGAGATGGAAATAGCACATGAAGAAAAAAAGGGCGGAAACAGGTTTAATATGTAGACAACTATATTTATTCGCACTTAAAAACAACTTTTCTGTACATCCATTGATGCAAGACATCCTATTTGTCATTGAATCTCTGCAAAATCAGGGAAATAGAGTAGTGTGGATTCCTGGACACTGCGGAATATTTGGCAATGAGAATGGGAAACGACTTCTAATGTCAAATTTAGGGAGATTAAAGACTGTGTAAAACCTTGGGCCTCATCTCATAGGGGTTCCAGGCACAAAGCAGTTGTAGGCTTAGAATTGGTCATTGTAGGCTTACTCATTCTTATCTCATGGCAAAAAAAGATACTCCACTTTGTGATGTTTACACAGAAAGAATAACAGTTAAACACATTTTGACAAATTGCAAAAAATATGAAGGAGAAAGACATTGGCTGGAAATTCCAACCAACATCAAAGACTCGCTTGGTGATGACTCCGACCAAATAGACAAACTACCAACTTTCCTTAAAAAACCTAAACTAATTTCTGAAATATGAAGATAAAATGATATAATAATTTAATACAAAAGAATATTCATTTTATGCAATAATCTGTATTTTACTCAATGTTGGGAGGTGTCTTAGGGTGAGGTTTGGGTCCAGGGCGCGTGATATTGCCAGGGCCTTGATTCCACTGTCGGGGAGGGGAGTCCCTGGGCTGTGGCCCACTCACTACCCAGCTTGAAAGCTTTTAAGGCGGGAAATGACCCAAAGCGGTTGATCGCCTTTTCTAATTAAAAAAATAAATAAATGAAAACAAAGTCATAAAGCCTACCTGGGCATATGGTATTCAACTATGGGGTTGTACCAAGGCATAGATGTACATGTAATGTTCAGGGAGTGTATTATACTGTGCCATTTAAGCACTATTGTATCCCCCATTCTATATTTATAACTAGTGAGACCTAGTTCATCGAGAAACTTAATTAGTAGGCCTAGGTTGTACATTCCAAAACACATCTTATTGTGGGCAAATGTGGTGCCACAGTTTGATAGTAGGTGTGTTGATGTCTCCTCTGCTTCTTTAATCTGCACATGCCATGTTGTGCTATACCAATATTCTTCAGATGCACATTCAGTCTGCAGTAACCTATTAAAACCCTGTCAGGATTTGAAAATTTTTCCACTTCCTTTTATGCATTCTGTTGTATCTTTCCTTACAAAATTTACTAGAAGGTTCTTTCTTGTATTGCTTATGTCTAATGAGTGAATTCAACTGTTTCCTCATTTTCATTTTGTCCTTTTGTCTAAGGCACTCATTAATGGAGTGAATCCCTCTGCCACAGAAGAGCTCAGGGCTTATCAGAAGTATGGCAGCCTCTTTCCTTGCATGGACGTCGGTCTCTTTTGACCTCTTCTCCCACATCCTGGGAGCTAGCAAAGGGTGACTTTATTTTGCATACCTGAACTATTTAGTTTAGTTTTACAATTCAACACCACCTTTGAGCTAATGTTTGAACTTACTGTTTTAATGGCTGTATTCTTGTTTTTGTACCCTTAGTTCAAGTTAAACTGGGTACATCATTCAATTTCTTTGACTGGAAGATATTGGTGTATTTTCCCATGGTTCTGAGCATTTTGTTCCAGGACCGAACAAACTCCTGTCCCACATTCTTACGTTCTACATCCATCCGTGCACAAGGGGATGGTAACGTTCTCAGCAGGGAGGCTTTTTCCCTTTTAATTTAAAAAAAAAATCTGTAAAATTAATGGTTGGTCAAGTAAGACTAATTTTAACAAATAAAAGGAAAACAACCTTTAAATATTACTGCATTTAGTGAAAGCATGATGAAAGTACATGTATAAAAAACAGTTTAAATTAAAAGGGAAAAAGCGTTTAGGAACTATTTGAATAATATGTACTGAGGCTGCGATGATGAAGGTTTAAACAACTAAAATTCAGAGAGAAACTTTTATTTGATGTATAAAAAGCATGTGAGAAATACCTTCCAGCTATTAAGTACATGGGTGGCTCAAAACCCGAGCCGGCACTTACTGAGGACTGAAATGAAATTTTCTGCCAGAAAATCATGGCAATTGAGCTTTAAGCTAAGGAGTTTAAAAGGCACAAAAGATTGAAAGAAACATCTACCTTGATAGGCATGCTTATACTTGGTGAAATGACACCCCAGGCTGGTAAATTACTTGCTAGGTAATTACAAAATCATCTTTATTATGCAGAAACATGTTAGTAAAATAATTTAATTATTAGTTTACTATTTTTTCGCTAAGGTTTTTTCTATTTGTTCAATTTGCTTATTTCTGCAATTGCTAATCTTTTGAAGACTGGAAGATGATCAGATGACCATGCCTTAGATGTTAAGAAAAAAAAAGTCCGTTTTTATATTTTATAAAGTGTAATTTTCTTTTGTATACATATATTTTTTTGTAATTATGATTGTATTTTAATGAAAATAAACATAATTCTATCCTCACTGTTATGGTCTATGAGGCAAGTTTAATCATTTTTTGTGCTGGATTTGTTACAATACCAAAACAGTGAGCATAAGAAGACTAAAATAATCAGAAATTATCTCTTTTGATCTCTTAATTATTTTTAATATTTGTGACTGTTTGATTCAGTTGCTCTTGTGAACCAGTGGTATTTTTTTAAAATTATCTTCCACTATTCATTAGACAGCAGTAATTATTACATTTATATTAATGACATAGTCTGAAATTAGTCTAACATAGTCTGTAAGCAAAATCAGGTTAAAAAAAAATTCTGAGATTTTTAATGTACTTCATTATATTTTTCTCTGTTTATATTTTATTTACACAAATATATTTAAATTAATTTTACATTGCACTTTATAAGAAAACATGTATACAGCCTTTGCCAATTATACAACGTAGGCTTTCTAAAATTAGACAGTAAAACTTCTATATTTAGAAGCTACACCCCAGAAAACTTCAGGTCTTATCCAAAGCAAATAATACTCAGTGATATGTCATGCAATTAATGAAACAGGAATGGAAGAACAACAACTATGTAATATTTTACATATTGAATTAAAATATGGTTTTTATAGCTGTATAAACTATTTCCAATAGGAAATGTACATTCTATCGTACATTTATTTCTCACCAGTATGCATGAAAAGCAATGTATTCTGAACTTTTGTTTATACATTTAATTGAGGTAAAAGTAACTCTTAAAGTATAAAATCAACTTAACTTGCATTCAATAATATTGTGATTAACCCTTTTTACGATGAATTTTATAAATTAACAATGCTTTGATTTACACTCTTAGTGAAAAATTCAACAACAATTTAGCTTATTGCTCTGCACTATTTGGTTATAAACGAAATAAAATAATAACAATTATCTGTATGTTTTTTTATTTTTGTTTTATTTATTAAACATAAACACACAAATTCTTCATATAAAACTTTTCTATTTATCGTAGTTCTAGTAAGTTACTCAACAGATCAAACAGTTATATTTATTACATTAATCCATAAATGTATTTAGTAGTCATAATTGACCGTATTAATTATTTAAATTAATTGTCTTTTCACCTAAGGTTGAGTTGAGATAAAAAAGAAGCTTTGAAAATATGGCAAAATATAGGAAAATTTGAAAGGTTTTAAATTGAGATGAGAAGTTTGTGTCTAGGTGGAATGAAATCGCGATAGCTCAAGTGGTTAGAGCGTATTAGGCCAAATGTCGTGGGTTTGAATCCCGCTCATGACACCAGCTTTTTCATCTCAATAAGATCTTAGATAAAAAATATAATTAATTTAAGTTACATTTATTTTCATTTTATAATGTTAAAACAGTTACGGAGGAAGATGACCAAAGTCCTTGGTGTTCACTTCCTGACATCATTATGGAACAAGTGTTCTCATATCTGAACGTAAGGGAGAGATATTATTCTTCGATGGTATGCAGGAGATGGCGCGATGCATTTTATTTACCGTATGTCTGGTCGATATTTACGTTTGAAGAATCGACGCTCACAAGGAGGCGGTTCAATTATTACTCTGGCTGGCAAGTAGGTCAAACATTGCAATTTATTTCACACAAAAAAAATTTAAGGGAATGTTATTTATATGTCTCAGTTCACTTTGGATCACCTGAGGGCACAACTGTGTCTGGGTACGGTGGGCCGGCACTTCCGAGTGTTGATTTTCAGTCCGATGACAAACTTCTACAACATGTACGAGTTTATGAACATGGTCTCTTATTATACCGAGCAACAGGGGGCGGACAAATTCACTGTAAAAGGGGTTGGAAAGAATATCCATACCCTGAGATACACATTCCCCTGCAGGCTGCTATCTGGTGATGATGAAAACCAGCAACTGCATGTTTATGGGACTGGAGGTGATTAACGATACCGATTGCTTATACTTTTTCAAGAAATGTACTTTTTATACAAAACAAAATCATTTACTTTATAACACAGTGATAGTAGTCAAGAGAATGAAATATAACACAAGAACAATAATTTGATCTCAAATTGAAAATCAATGTAAAGAAAAAAAATCCAGAAAAGAAATCTGAAACAAAATAAAACAAGATACATTAATTTCTTATAAAAACAAAGTAATAAACACAAGTAAATATAAACAATGTTTTAATTTGCTTTGAGGTAAGCTGTTGGCTGCTGTCAAAAGGCTAATGGGTAACCTGAAGAAGCTGCGCCGTTTGGAACTGATAGATCTAATGCTCGACAGTGCCGAGGCGCAGACACTGTTAGACGACGTCTGCTCAGATTGCTGTACAACATTGAAGTTTCTTTCAATTATCAATTTCACCAAGGGCCAATGTCAATTAATTCATGTGGGAGTATTTTTAAATTTGCGAGTAAGTGAAGTGAACCGACATAACCCAATTTCTAAAAATAAATATTTTCTCTTTGCAAAATTACTATTAGGTTTTAGTTCTAAGTCCACAGAATATTGGTGAGGACGCTTTAGAATTGCTCAGCTACACTAAACTTCGACACTTGCATCTGGCACAAACCAGGCTCACGCCGTCATCCGCAGTGCCTTTGAGCCCTAAAGCATGGAAGCTGGCAGCAAAAAGGAATACAGACATGAGAATCCATCTGACTCTGAGTTCAAAAATACAAACGGACATAATTTGGCAAGAGGAAGCACCTGTTTCCACAGTCTTATTTGACTCACCCCACTGTAAGGTACTTAATATTCAGTTACGCTAGGAAAAAGATAATACTTTCTTGTTATTTTTATTTGTTATTTACATACAAAACCAAAATTTGTTTTCAGTTGGAACCTGAAATCTTAACAAGGGTAACACTTTGGTACAAAAAAAGCTTAACTGTGTTTGGCTATTTAGGCCTGCCAAAGTATTCACAACCTAAGTCGTTTAAGGAAAGAATCGATCCACTTTTACTTATGCTAATAAAGGACTGCACACAATTAGAGACTTTGGTAGGTACAGAATCAAATTACTGTTACTTACAATTATGAAGTTTTAAATTAAATTAATCATGATAAAAGTTCATTATTTGGTTGATTTTTTCTCACAATTACGAATAATTCTGAAATAAATCCAACAATCAGTATATGATTTCCTTCTGTGGGATTAAGACAAAATAAGGACTATCATTGTTTTTAAACAGAGAGATACTTATTTCATTTTTTCCACCTTTTATAATAGGACTACCAACAATGCACATAACAAAAGTTTCTTTTGCTGTCGATAAAGTTGTTGATTATTTTTTAAATTTATTTTCTTAATTAATTAATTTTTGTTGGTAATTTAGAAATTTTTTAAAAATGTTTTTGTTTCTCATAAAAGAAATGAAACATTTTTAAGAACTTTCAAATAATTAAGGTTTTTAGTTGAGATAAAAAAGCCAATGTCACGAGCAGGATTCGAATCCATGACCTTCGGCTAGATACTCCGCTACTCTACCACCTGAGCTATCGTGACTTCGATCCACTCGAACACAAACTTCCCATCTCAAACCCACCTTTTTGAATTTTCCCTCCTTTTTGCCATTTTTCGATGGGGTAGAGCTGTGGCGTATTTAGCCGAAGATCGTGGGTTCGAATCCCGCTTGTTACACTGACTTTTTTATCTCAACTAAAAATCTTAATTAATTGAAAGATATTTATTGGTCAAGCGGACCACAAAAACTAGTGAATTTTTGAGAACATTTTGAAATATTTTTAAGAAGGTGTGAAGTTATAGGGGAGCAACTTGTTGAGCCGTACTTCAACACCAAAAATTTAACAAGCGAAAGATACTTAACATCTCAATTAATTATACTTTTTATCAAAAGTCTTGGTTGAGATGAAAAAGTTACTATCATCAGCGGATTCGAAACCACCACCTTCGGCGCTAATACTTGAGCTATAGTGACTTCAATCCACTCAGACATCAACTCACACAACTCACCTCAACCTACAAACTTTAGAATTTCCTTCTTTTTGCTATAGTAAATTCACTAGTTTTCGTGGTCTGCTTGACCTCTCCGTGTCCATTACATTTGTCGCCATGAATCAAATAGATTACATGACATTTGAAAATGGCAAAAAGGAGGGAAAATTCAAAAGGTGGGGTTGAGATGGGAAGTTAGTGTCCGAGTGGATCGGTCACCATTCTCAAGTGGTAGAGCAGCGACGTATTTAGCCAAAGGTCGTGGGTTCAAATCACGCTCGCGACACTGACTTTTTTATCTCAACTGAAATCCTTAATTAATTTTTGTTATATTTTCAATTTCAAATTGTTGAGTATATTGTAAAGACGTTAAAGGAAGGTAAAAAGGAAAAAATAAAAGTTAAGTTAATAAAAGTAAAGTTATTATTAAACATTTAAAAAAAACCTATGCATTCAAAAAGAGGTCAATAACTTCATTAATCTTAAAATTATTTGGAATAGTTAAACTGAAAATTACATTTTTGCCACGAATTTCAGAGTTAAGAATAGTTCAAAATTGGTCACAAAAGGTGTTTATTGTTAAAATAATTTTAAAATCTGTTTAGGGAAATTTGGATTATTTAAATTATTTATATAAGCCAAATATACACATGTAAATGTACATTGTCGAACCTATCACTTTTGCAGTCCATCGGCAATTCCAGCTTTTGTAATTTCAATAAATTGCCAGTTGGCCTTGAGAATCATCCACCCAGGGTGTTCAGAGTCCGGGGTCAGACCTCGGTTTTATCCGTCCAGCCGCTGAGGTATGTGCTCTGAAAGCTGTCTACGGCTATGTCAATGTTCTAACACAATCAGTTCCTATTCTTTTCACATTCTGACTCACTCTTAAATACATTCTTACTTATTTACATTCAATTCACTCATGGTGGTGAAATACTTGATATTACACACTACAAATAATAAATACTTTCACTCTCAGCACACACTAGGGGACACAAAAAAGTCAGTACTATATACGATAAAACAACCCTGTTCCTTCCAAAAATCAGAACAGGGAACCCAGATAGTGCTCGAGCTCGATGCTCATTAGGGCGGCAATTCCACAAGCTCTTTATATAAAGCCATGTAGGTCCACCCTTCAATTAGTTGGGACACACTGAGCAACCTTCCTCTGCAAGCTACCCATATGTGACACAGACACATACAAGGGGGGCTTTGGCACATTTTTTTTTCCTTTTTATTTATCATTTTTATAAGTGTCTGTGACAACCACATATGGCCTATACTTAATCGGGAGAGAAGGACCCTTCTTCTATGGGTCAGTTAGCCTATGACGGCGCCATCATGTGAGCTTCTTTTAGGGAAATGATAATCCAAAATGTGTATCAATTTGTTAGATATTGTCTTAGATATTTTATTTTATCTAGAGCAATTGGGTCAAAATTTTTACATCCTGACAATTTCAATTCCATGGGCTGTGTTGGGATTCGAACTCAGAGCCAAATGGCAAATACAAGTCTAACCACTCGGCTTCCCAGTGGTGTGTTATGATATATTATAACTTATGATTAATCAATAAAAAGTATGTCTTAAGTAAATAAATGATAATCCTAATGTATAAAATAGAGATGTGTAATATTTAGTGAGTGTTATGTAATTATTATTTAAAGATCGTGAAAAGATGACCTCAATAAAGGTCCAAACGTTGGCACGATAAAGAAAATGTTTTTCTAAACTTACAACACAGAAGACCGCATCTCACGATCTCTAAATAATAAAATAGAATTATGAGAAGTTGTCCAAACTTTTTTTTTTTGTAGATAGTTCGTGAAAGGATTTCAACAGCAACAATTTTATTGATTGTGGACAATGGGCCGTCACTGAAGAATTTTTTTGTACGAAGAAATGCTGTTATACTGAGGTGCGATTGGCCTAGAAACCCAAGTTGGGATTCGAGTTACTATTCGTGGTTGAGAAACGGGGCATCTAGTTATGATCAAACTGAAAAAGAAGTATCAAAATGTTTTGGATACAAATGGCAAATGTTGTCCGACAAAGAATTCAAAAAACTGGACATAAGACTATACTGAAATATTTTGTGGCACTATCTAAGATGAGTGATATTGGATTCAATATTCAATAAGATATTGAAAAGAATTGTTAATGATGAGGGATAAAATGTTCATAAATTTGTAACGTACTGAAAATTAAATTCTTAAATAATGACACTACCTTGTTTCTGTTTATGATCGGAGTCGTGGCATAGCTTTATCAAATATGTCTTTTTTAATTTTTGGGTAGTCAGGATGCAAAGCCAAAACACGTTGGCAGGTTGCAATAGCATCGGCATAGCGTTTACTTTTCAACTGGTTGTATCCGAGCTTATAACCTAAAGATGGGTTTTTTTCTCTGCACAGGTTCCACGATTGTAAAAAATGCTGGCCTGCTTTCACTGAAAAATTGAAATAAATCAACAGGCCTTATTGCAAATAAAATAAAATCAAAACTCACGGTAGTTTTGCTCCTTTTCAGCGATGACCCCGAGAAGTTCGTAAGCCCTCGCACTAGACAAGTTGTGAGTTATTACTCTTTGAAGAATATCTGAAGCCTGTTGTTGCGATCCGGCCTGAATATAGAGCTCGGCGAGAATAAGCCAACACCGTTCAAGATAATCTGCTTCTTCAAGAGTCCAAGGATATTTTGCAAGTCGTTTCAAAACAGCTTTTGCCCGTGCAGACTGACCTTGGTCAATGTAGCCCATCCCTAACCCAAGAGTTGCTCCTACCCTAAACAATTTTGACAAATATAGTTAATACATATGATTTTTATCAACTACAATGTGAAGCTGAAGAATGAAACGAAGAATTTCTTTTTCACTCATCAGCAGATATTGAGAGAGACTTCCCATGATTTTTTAAGTAAAAAAAATTGGAATTACATTGTCTTACGTCTAGAATCTTCACCTAAGGTTGGCTATAATTTTTATTATAAATAAGATTGTCAGAAATAAATTGAAAAAGTCTAAAGTGCTCTTTAGATTTAATAATAAGTTACATCAAGAAGAAAATTCATTTGATGCATTTTCACAAACATGTTAAAAATTCAAAGAACGTATTACAATTAGAATGTTACTTTTGTAGATTGGCAATTTCTTATAATTTTGTTATTTCTATCCTTGCTATTTTGTCTGCCCGTTTTGGCCTCTCACTATCTTCAGAGGTGAGACAAGCAAGCCCTGCCCTAAGTCCGTTTAAACAAAATAATGCCAATCAGCATAATATGCTAGAAATTATACCATTTAACCTGACTCAAACCAAAACAGTGAGGATAGGCTGTCCAAAATGATAGGAAATGACGAAACTACAGGTTCAACATCTCATAGACTTCAAAAGGAAATCTCAAAATTTATTATTATTATTGTGTAGAGAATGCGAATTAACCAGCAGTTGATGAACAATTTTTTTTTCATAAATTGTTCAACTCTTTAGTCTTTAGGATTGAACACCACATACGCCTTAAATTAAAAATTAGGATTTTTTTCTAATTTATTGCATCATTAGTTGTAATGGACTAACCTGTGTGTCTCATTGTTGGTCAAAGTTGTGAAATCAATTATCGCCTTTTCTATTTCAGATCGGTCTTTTGTTGCTAGACGTACAAAACTTGTCAGTAAAAGAATGCCATTTTCTTCGTCTTGATTTTTAGGCTTTAATTCGGCGAGCAATTTCTGGGCGGTTGTTTGGTCTATGCAAATTTCAATCATGTTATGAACCGCTTGGCTGCCCCATTCAGGGTCACCCCTCGCACCACTGAAGCAATTGACTGCTAGTTGGAAATTCCCTTTGTACCAGTTGTACAGACCTAAAAAAAAATTATTGATGTTGGTTGTCGAAAAAACAACATTTTCAAAAAATATATATACCTGTGCAATAATGAAGGCCTGGGTGATTCTGATCTATAGACTTGGCCATAGTTAAGTAAGGCAGTGCTAGTTCAAGTTTTGCAGCCCTTCTTGCCACTTCGATGAGACGTGCCAGAGCAACCCAATAATCAGGTCTCCTCGCCAGCAAAGAAGAAAAGTGTGCCATGGCTGTGGCAAAATCTACCCTCCTCAATGCGAGATCGGCGACCATGAGGAGAGCAGGTTCGTTCGTGCTGTCTTTAGCGAGTAATGATTTGCACAAAGACTCACAAGAGTTCCAGTCGTTCACTTCCATGTAAAGTTTCGCCAGGGCGATTTGTATAGACGAATCCCCAGGGCTATAATGCAAGGCCCTTTTGTAGTAATCAATCGCAGCATTGTGGTCCTTTAAAAGATTAGCGTAAACGGCCATTTGTTGACATAATTTTGTTGACATTGCTAAATCAGTCCTTCCACTTTCTTCTTGAGCATCTTTTAACGTGTTCAATGCTTTGTTGAGGTCGCCTACTTTTTCATAAACCTAGAAAACAGATAAGAAATCAACTCATAATTTTGTTTATCATGATTCATGAGAACCAACTCGATGTTATATGGTTGGACTGGTCATGTATGATCTGGTGATACAATTTCAATGTACTTGAAATCATAGATTGCAAAATGCAAACAGATATTCCTATTTGTTAACTTTTTAAATTATTATTTAAGGTTTAATAGTCCTTTTGAAAACTACATGACAATTAATACATAATTATCATAAGAGTAATTTTTCACTGAAGAATAAATATAAACAAAGAAAGATTTATAATTGTTTACCTCTTGAAATATTTACTTTGAGTGCATTGAGCAGTTATGAAAATAGAAAATAGTATTTAATAAATCATTTCAGCAGTACTATCATGTTGAAGACAATCGCTAATCGCTACTGCTTTTGAACAAAATGTGTGCAAGCCTTCGAATGGGTATGGTACTCGTGGATGCTCTGAAAGCTTGAGTGACTTTTATCTACTACCTGTTCCTAAAATTCTACTTAACTGGCGGATACTTTCAAGTCATTGGCTCCTTTCTATCGGCTATTGCACATATGCAAGGGTACCACAAGAAAGTATCTTAAGACCCATACTCTACACAGACCTTCCTACCATTTCTGAAATGATCTTTACCACCTGTGCTGACCACCAAAATCATAAAGTAATAATAATAATCCATCTTTTTAAAAAGATTGAACAATAAACTCACTCTACCATTCGTCATTTCTCATAAAGAACCTGTCATTTCTACCAGAAAACCCATGCCATATCCTTTCAGCAGTGGTTCAAGCGATGGAAATGGCAATAAACAAAAATGTGAATGTATCACTTTCAACCTTTGGAGAAGATGACTGCTCTCATCTATAAAAGCATACCCATCCCATCAGCACATGTAGTCTGATATTTTGAGCTATTCACTGAACTTATATAGAACCCACTCAGTACTCAAAAGACGAGAGTTAAACATTTCAGACTTCATAGATTGCTGGACAATCAAACAAAACTGACTGACAAAACAAACGATTTAATTTATATAACTATTTTAGGATCAATTTGTACATAAGGCATGCAACTTTGGTGTTCATAAAACGTTCCAACCTCCAACTTATCCAACCTCTACACTACAAAATCCTCCGAATCATCGTCAATACTCCTTTCTTATCCAATATTATCATTCAAAATGACCTTCAATAAGTCCTTGAAGTCGTGAAAAGCCACTACAAGAAGTTTTACAAATAATTATCTAGTCACACAAACGCTCATGGAAGAAACCTTTCATCCCACTCTCTCCCTGCTGGCTGAAGCATCATTGGCCTCATGACCTTCTAAGTAACACTGAAAATGATCAACACTAATATATATATGAATGACACTAATGAGTAGTTCCTCTTTTTTTCTTAATTATGTATATTTTTTGCATTCATTTTGTTTTATTTTGTGTTTTAAGATGTTATCAAATTTACTTAAGTGCAGCAATTGGTGCAGGTTTAAAAAAAAATTACCTTTGCCAAAATGAAAGCTTTCTTTGATAGAGGAACGTCGGCCAAAGCTTGTTCTGCTTTATCAGGTTGATTAAGTTTTAACTGTAATTCAGCCAATTCCAAGCATCCATCATCACCTTAATTTATCAGAATAAAAAAATGTATACAGTTTGAGATAAAATAAAGATAATTAAATACATTTATTTTATATACCTGATGATTTATAGTATTTGATCGCTTTCTGATAAAGATGACAGCGGACCAATATTCGAGCAAATTTACAGGACAAATTTGTTTTGCCAGCACTGTTAAGCATTGCTTTTTCATAAGTTTGTACCGCTAATTCAGGCTCCTAAAACAAGTTGATTCTGAAACATTACACAAAACAGTTTTTTAAGCTTTTCTAAAGTTCATACCTGAATTAACATGTAGGCATCTCCCAACAGGACGAGATTATCTGGATTTGGGTCGTTTTCAACTAATTTTCTGTAACAGTTTGCGTAGCCATGTCCGTCTTTTAAATTGTTCAAGTAAACATCAGCCTTTTGCATCTGAGCCTGAAATTTTTTTGATTGTCATTAAAAATAAATTTTGTCATAAAAAATTGACATTTCAGTTATTTATTTGCACAATAATGCAAATCATTAATGGAATAATTTGTTTGATAATGAAAAACCAAGAATCAAATTCGATTCTTCCACTACAATAAATGCAATTTTCTTTTTTCATTTTTTAATAACTGAAAGGTCTTGTAAATACAAAAAATTCGTAGGAATTTTGAGCCATAAAAACAATAATAAATAAATAAGTAAATTAAAAAAAAAAAATTATCCATATCACTTTGAATAATACAAGGGTACATGCATACAAATACATAAATGTAAACTTTACTTTTATATAGTTAGGATTTTCCTTTGGTATTTCTGATAGAAGAGCTAGCGCTCTTCTCACATCACCCTCCAAAGCGCAGAGTTGGGCCTTTGCAATGACAACAGTTGATTCGTGTTCTGTCCCTTTTAACAAATCATTAGCTTCCTGAAAAATTTTAACAATAATATTTTTTTAAAATTATTATAAAAAAGCATATAATAAAATGTACCTTTAAATCTTGTGCTGCTAATTTTAATTCATTTAACCTCATGTGAGCACCGCTCAATTCTGCAAACGCTGTACCCAATTCTTTCTGTGTCAATTTCAACCCTCCTATTAAAATTTACGAGTGCTCAAAATTTAGCAAGTCTTATATTTATTTTGAAGTTTTATATTTAATTTTTTACCTGGCCCATGTGCTATAGCCTGCTTAATGTTGTTAATGCAGAGAATATCATTTCCTTTATGTTTATGGACTAAACCGTTTAATAGATGATATTGAGGGTATTCCCTTATTTTAAGATTATTGCTCAGCCCATGTTCTAATTTCATAGATGCCAATTCAAAATCTCCCTGTATTCGATGAATATTTATTTAATTAAAATTTCCATAAGTTAAAATAATTGTTAATTTATTAACTGACTTGTTGCAAATGTAAAGTGGCAGAAAGCAGATAGGCATGTGGGTTTGTTGGATCTACATTTTCTATGACGTTAGAAAGTGTATTAGTAGCATCGGAATAGTCTCCTATTTCAATTTGAGCTTTAGCTAAGTCTAAGCTTGCGTCTATCAATCCAGGGCAGGTTTCTACTACTAGATTTAAAACCCTTATTCTTCTTTTATCGCCAAAAGTCTGAAAAAGTCAAATAAGTGATCCAATTAATTTTTTGGTTTTATAATTACAAAGAAAGCACAAACCGTGTTTGGATACATTTGCGATATTCTCATCAAGAGTTCAGGGTCTAGATCGATTAAATATTCCGTTCCGAATCTGTGCTTAGAAGCCTTGCTCTGCTGCGTAGAAACTGCTTTGTCCAAAAGTTCCACGGTATTTCCCAATGACAACTTAGCTCTCAATAAAAGCACTTCAGAATTTTCTTTTTTCTCATCCAATTCCGTAAGAAGTTCAACTTGTTCCCTCACCTCGAATGTGTTTTAAAAACATTAATTTATCGAATCATTTAAACACACAATTTTAATTAGTATATCTCAATACCTCGGCTGTAACTCCATAAAGAGCCAAATGCACGATTGAAAGATGCGTCAAGGATGCCGATGCAGAATCATCTTTGCTCGCTTCCTTGAAAATCGTTTCGGCTTCTCCGAGTCTCCCGGCCAAAAAGTGCAAGTGCCCTACTTCAATTAGTACGTGAAGGACGTGTGAGCCAGTCCTCATGGCGCTTTTTGCAAATCTGTCGAGTTCAAGTAAAACCAAAAGGTTTTTCCCGCAGCATCTGGAAATTATTTAAGAATATAACTTGAAAGACTTCTAGTACTAAGAAACTTTAAGAAACTAAGTTAAAAAAGTGACATTACAAGCGGCCCATAGACGATCAATATTATTGCACAATATTTTGGGTTGTGCAATTTAATTGATCGTGTGTAGACGATATTGAAAGTTTGTGCAATACATTGCATGATTGACGAAAAGTTGAAAATATATTGTACAACCTGGAAAATATTGCACTGTCTGTTGGCATTATTGCGCAATATCAGTCAGTTTGTGAAGTACAGCTAGTAATAAAATATTGCACAAACTTCAATATCGTCTTCAAACTATTCAAGTTCATTGCACAAACAAAATTTTGTACAATATTATTGAACGTTACGGGGCAACCGTCAAATTATTGTGCAATCTATATTGTACAATAATATTGACCGTCTATGGGCCGCTTTAAGGCGGAGCCATAGACTATCAATTACATTACACAATATTATGAATTGTGCAATATTTTGCCTGTTTAGGGTTAGTATTTAAGTTTGCTCAATGATTGAAAAAAGTTTGAGCAAGTTTAATTTTTATTGCACCATGTAGGGTTAATATTGCACAATAGTTTTAGTCCATGTGTAGCGTTTGTATAAATATGTATCAAGATGTCATTCAATACTATTGCACAATAAAAATATTGTGCAATGTAGGTCTAGGGATCTCCTAACATAATGTTAATAGTTATTAATTTCTAAACTCTTTCTGGAGTATGTCTGATATAAGAAATTAAATTTATATGCTCTTTATAATAGTAATATGTATATAAAGAAATTAGAATTACCGTGAAAATACAGAGACCACTTTTAAAAACAGCCACCAAGCTTTTGGCTCCTGTCTTTCCAATTCACTATGAAGCTTTTTTAGCACTGGAAGCGACTCTTCATATTTTCCATCAATAACCATTTTCAAAGCTCTTAACTTGTAAATGAATACAACTGTAATCAGTATCAACAAAAATGTGTAAATTAAAGCTACTTACTTGTAAAGCTACAATGTTGTCAGCTTGAATGCCTAATGCTCTCAGTGAAGTATCCACAGCGTGATCCCATTGCCTGTTGGCCAGCTGCAGCTTCATTTTCTCCATAAGTGGAATCACACCTTTAGGGTATTTGACGACAAAAGAATTGACTTTGTTAAGTCCGTCTGTCGGAGAGAGAGACAACACTTCACCCAGCAGAGCCTCAGCATTATTTTTATTCTAAATTGTAATAAAAATCATTCTAAATTAATTTCATCGATGTTTATGAATTATTAATTTACCTGCTGAAGTGCTGTTAGAAAATGCCTATTTGCAATTTTATTCTTTTCTAGGGAGAGGTGAATCCACCCTAATAAACATTGAACTCTCACCAAGCTCTGTTCACTTTTTATTTCATCCAGAATTGATAATGACATGGTGTAATTGTTAGCTAAATAGTGATAAAGGGCTTCATAGAATGGATCTCCATTCGAATGCCTGCTTTCTTCTATCAGCAAAGCTTCCAGTCTCGAAATCGCTTCTCTATCCACAACCTAAAATAAAAACTGTTACGATTTCTCACCAATACAATTTACGATGTCCTTACATGGCAGTGATTGTGTGCATAAATTGAAGTCCTTATAGCCGCTACAGCACATTTCTGTTGGCTTAAAAATGGTTTGAGCGTTTCCAAAGATTCAGATACTCTATCGAGAAAGACGAGGGAAAAAGCTCTGATCATAGCTACTCCTGGATCACTGATATTTGAACTACCCTCTCGAGCAGCAGTTTCGAACCACCTCTTCCTATAGTAGTAATGCGTGTTGAAGTACTCCATTTTTTTATTCTACTATTATTTCTTTGTATTCTGGTCGTGGATTGTCCTTGACAAATTTGATAATAAACGGACAAGACAGTTTTACTTTGATTTGATTCTTAATGCAGTAATGTAATACTTCCTGAAATAAATAATAATTGAAAAACCATGCGATAAAGGACAAACATTTACATATTTAAAACATTAATAATAAAATAGTAATTTTGAAATTTAATTACAATTTTTTAAGGAAACAAAATTTAAAATTGTTTTGCCTCTTCAAAAATATAAAAATTGAATAATAGATAATTAATGAATGTGGATATCGTATTTCATACATCAATGCCTAATTAAACAGTTATAAAAGAGTAACACATTACAAATTATAATTTGTATGCAAGGGATTTTTAAGAATTGTAGTAAAACAAAACCGATGACTCATGAGTACCTAGGATTACATCTGGAATTATGACAAAATTGGAATGACCATACCAAATTGTCTAAGGATAAAAACATGGGCTTAAGTTTCTCCTAGAAAACTGATCTTAAGTACAAAAAGACTCATCCAGGATACTTAGCTTACTAGACAGATGTTCATAGCAATAAAATGCAAAACAGAATTAGATAGCACTCTAGGATGAGGGAATAATTTCACCTTAGTGTCAGGAACCACACCCTAATGCAAGGAATTGTTGTTGGATAGAAGAGACCCTGCAAACTCCAGAATTGGTAAAAAAAAAAAAAAAAAAGTGTATGTATGTACATTAATCTCAAACTACCAATTTATTAAACAACAATTCCTCAATAAATTGTTATGAATCAATAGTTTGGTCATTCCCCATCATTTTAGTCTATCTACCATACTATTTGGTCTGTCATACATTTCAGCTTTTTGCCATCTTTACTTATAGGTGGAAATTGACCTGATTTTTGATTTTACAATAGGAGGAGACTCATCAGACTCCTTTTGTTGGGTGTGCAAGCTATTACAGATTATTTAAAATTAATTATCATTTTTAATTTTACAATAAGAGGATATTCATCAGACTCCTTTTGTTGGGTGTGCAAGCTATTATAGATTATTTAAAATTAATTATACTTTTTATTTCAACCTTAACTTAGATAAAAAGTATAAATAATTTAAATAATTAATATAATCAATTTTGGCTACTAAATACATATATGGACTATTATAGATTGTTGATTCGTTGATCTAGCTAAAGAGCCTTTTGCCCTGTATTCTCATAAGGGAGGACTTGCTGCTCCTCCGCTAGGTTTTGGCTATGAATACAAACTCATGATGTCGAGAAGCAAATCATGTTTTAAAACCCTTAATACCGTGTAGTAAGTAGAGCCCTTGAGTGCACCCTGGCTGGTTGCGGTGGTGCTGCCTGTCTCGCTACCTCTGGAGATTCACTTCTTCTTGATTGAAACAGACTCAAGGCCAGATAGCCGTTAGTCTTTTATAATGTTACCGAAAAGAGAAAACTTTGGTACGAATGAACAGACCAAAATGATAAAAAATACCAAACTAGAGGTTCTTCACTCAGAAGCCAAGAATGTTCATCGCCTTACTATAGTGATAAGGCTAGTGGAAAAAAATGCTGGACTATATTTGTCCGTCAATCTTCTCTTTTTTTGCGTACTATCATTTATTTTATTTTGTATTTTTCAAAAAATGTACCTAATTCTCAAGTGACATGTAAATTAGGCACCTATGAAGCTACTGGAATGAGTGTTTTGTGAGCACAACGGTATTGTTTATTTTTGGCAATGACGTTTTGTGAGGTTTAAAAAATATATTTGGTGCTCTCGATGTGACAACAGACAACTCTCACCTCTGTCAAAAGGCAATACAAATCGAAATACAGACAAGTAAAATGGGAAATTTAAATTAGAGTCTAAATGGTCAAGTCGTTACTGTCGTCATGGCAATCGTTTTGTTGCGTCCAGGTCGCCCGGGTGTCAATCGACCGGCTGCCAAACTATAGGAAACCAGTGCATACTTGTGCCAACAACTGCCCGAGGCCGAGTTTCCTGAAGCCTATCGGGACGAGAAGCGTTTTCAGGTCTAATACGCCGTTCTGCTTTTCGTAGCGGACGAAAGCGACTTCTAAAAATAAAATAAAAATAAAAACATACAAAAAGTAAATTGTGGAGGAAGACACGGACTTTTCGACGACGGAAGGTTGAGGATGAATTTCTTCTCCTCCTCGTTGTGCAGTACTTTCCTCAGCGGGGCAGAACTATGGATGAACTTGAAATTCCCCAATTTAAAAAAATTCAACAGCTTATTCATGTAAGCTCTGATAGCGATTGAGAAGATTGCCTGATCGAAAGTGTACGCGAGGACGAAGCGCGCGGCGTCGAAAGGCGAAGTTCACACTTTTCACCTCCTTTTAAAAAAAACTATTTCAATTTGACATTTTGACGTTTGAATCGAACGCCGGTCTACCAAATGTTTTTGTTACCTCCTATTTTCCGATTAGGTTCGATATTTAATTAACGGATTATCGATAGCGGTGAAAGCAGACGCCGCGTGGAATGGGCGCGTTTTCAACGATACGCCAGGACGGCGCTGAATAAGCGAGTCAATAAGTCCCACGGCTTAGCGTCCAGCGAGCATCGCATCGCAAAGCGAAATTATACAAATTCGGTCGAATCGTATAATCGTATAAATCGGGTCTGATTCAGATCCAAGACCGCCAGAGTCGGATTTGATCCTCTTTGCGGTCCCGGTCAGTGCCCCTTCCGCCGAGGCGATCGCCCACTGCGCGCCAGTCGCTTTTCAACGCCCCACTCGTCCAGTTCGTCCGTTTCTCAAGCCACCTGTTGACTCAGTTTCACCACTCTAGGAAAAATGAGGGAAATCGTACACATCCAAACCGGCCAATGCGGAAACCAGATCGGAGCCAAGGTGACTAGAAAAGAGTTTTTCACATTTTCCAACCCGGGAAAATCGCCGGAAACTCTCGCCCTTTGTATTGCGACTCCATATCGTTCACTCCCTCCCTCCTTCCCTCGTCGGTAATTTTTTCCTCACTAATTTCTGCTTTCAATCCATTCCAAATTTTAAACACAGCTTCCAATTTTGAAAAGGGTATTTGTTAAAATAATAAAACGACGATAAATTATAAAATCAATGGGATCCTTTATGTAGGAGAAGAATCCGGCCCTCGTGACGCCCACATCGATCCGACCATGTATGGTCGCCGGGCACAGACTTCGTTGAATTTTTATTTTATTAAATACTTTACAATTTACAAATAAAATTTTTACATCGCACTTTAAACAGTTTTGATTTACAATTTGAATAAATAAAACTTGGGAGTACAGAAAGGACATGTTGAGAAAAGTCAATTGATCCTTCCGTTAAATTTTTTCTCTTTGATCTACAAATATATATTCCTTTTTAGCTAATTATTTATTAATCATTAAATCCTATCTGGACAGATCTACTAAATATTATACAAAAAATTATTTGTAAAAAAATTAATAATAACGCCTTGTAGCCGTAATTTTAAACAGTGATGACCTCTGACCCAGAAAAGGGATTCTCCTTAGGTGATTTGCAGTCTGTAGATTATAGCTGTAATTTCCGCCATTTATGTTGGGTTTGTTCTTTCTCTACAACGACCTTGTTTTATTATTGCATAAAGGAACCACCTGCTTGCATTATTGTGAAATTTCCCCTTTGGGGGTCTGAAGAAGAAGTAACATTTATTACCATCATAATTTATCACGATATGCGTTCTGACTCTTTTAAAGTGAAGTGCGAAAAGCATCTGCGCTTTATGACCTTCAACTAAAATCTCTATGACAATGCTATATTTTTTTTTCTTTTATGGCAGTGCAGTAGGTGGGGAAAAATTAGAGAAAAACTGGCTGACACTTGTAATTCAGAGTTAAAGTAAGTTATAAGAATTATTTAAGTAGAAGCCATACAATTTGTGCATAACGGACAACATAATTAGATAATTTATATATATGTAATATGTAAAATACTACATACATTGACCTCCCTTTGGGGGTCTTTAAAGCGATGGATAGTTCAGTCATTTCTGTAATTTTTTTTTCTTTTCTAAGACACATTTCAGATTTTTTCCTATTCAATCCTGCGCCTGCAATATGACAAAATGAAAAAAATTAATGCTTTGTTCTTCTGGTATTTCTATAGAATGAATCATCTTTTGTCATTGCATCACTGGCTTGCCATCTGCTTGGGAACTTTGTTCTGGAATGTTTTTAACTATTTTATTCTAGCTGCAGAGGCTCCTCTGCTTTCTTCTAACCATAGTCCAACTGCTGAAAGGGCCCCATACTTGTTCAGTTCATTTGGTTTCCATGTATGATGTCATACGAATAATTAACTGAATTTCTAAATTCTATAAATAAATTAAAAAAAGATGGCGTTGGATAACTTAACATAAAAACCTACTCCAACCTTAAATATCGAACTGTCAACCCCTTAGGCAACACAAATTAGCAATACAATATTAATTAACAATCAAGAATTAAAATGTATTGAACTGTCATTGGACGTTTGTCACGCTGGAGGCTCTGCTCTCCGTACATCACAGGGGCCGAAATTGAGAAGGCTAGACTAATATTATAGGGCAAGTGTATGCTAGACTTTGGTGCAAGAGGAGAGACCAGGGGGACGCACTAAGATATATCAATAAGTTTTATTTTAAAATATATACCCTTATTATATGGCAAAATTTTGTTGTTTCATGATTTAATTTAATTACACTCTCCTCCCCTTTATAGAGAAAAGGGATGGGTCATAACTGTACAATACTTGTGACTTTACATGGACAAAAGAATAATAGACACCACGTATGTGTGATGCCATCTGACCAATCAAATAAAGTTAAATCGATGTAACGTCCAGCTTTTGACTTAATCTCTAGGACCCCGATTCATTTTAGTCAACTGACGGTTCATAAAAGTCATTGACATAAATCATATTGAAAAGGAAAGTGTTTTCCTACTTGCAGCATACAGGTTTCTTCAGTGCACAAGATATATTCAACCATTCTTGGTACATCTCTTTTTCTTTACTGATTTTCATTTTTCTCCTACAGAATTGAATCATCTATCGAAAGGCAAAATGCTTATTTTCTTTTGCCACCCATACAATGAATTTTTTGTAGCAACAGCTCGCCAAAAATATAAATGAAAACACACAATTAAAGGAAAAGATGGAAAACTGAGTAGCTGCCAGTTTTTTATTTTTTCAGTTTCGATTCAGGTAATCTTTATGGGTTAACGAGGTAAGTGTGTTAACATGGAAATCCCATATTCAGTTGAAAAGACAGGAAGACCAGGAGGTACTACAAAGTAGGCTACTTGGTCAAAGATCTAATTTACAACTCCATTTTCATCTACAAGACTCCTGAAACAGATATGAACTGAATTGAACTTATTGGGGTCGGTGAAAGAATCAAATTCTTATAAAATCCTATCCACTCTGGAAGTTAATAAACACTCCTTTCAGAATTTCGAACCAAATCCCAATGACCTTGATATTATTAAATATATATGTTAATTTAAAAAAAAAAATCATCCACATTCGCTAGTCCAGCAGTTTTCTTGACCTATTATTCCTCGAAATTGCACACATCGATTGAAGTGGTTATGACGCTGAGAAATTGATTGACCCAATTTAAAAGGATGTCGCCAGCGGGTGTAACAAAGCTATCTTATCATTATGGCGAAGTTGTAAGTTCATTTTAGGGGGTAATAAAAAAGAATTTAGAAACCCTTGTCTTCAAATATCAGCGTTTTATTTTTTTTTTTTTTACTTTTCTTTAAAATTTCTTATCGCCTTCATATAATGCGCCAAAGGTTTATTTTCTTATTTAATTAATTATGAAATTTAGCTTTCAGATTTTTTAATAGATCAATGCTGAACTTGAACCCATTGTTCGATAAATAATTATTTATTAGTTTTTAATGGAATGTTAAATTAATAAATAACTGTTCTTTGAATGAATCAGTTGTAGTGCACTAGGATGGAATTCAGGGACTGGCAAAACGTGAGATAACCCGGGCTTCATTCCATATGAAAAAATGCCTGCTTTGGCACGTTTGACAAAATAATAGTTTACACTTAGCTTAATTGAAACACTTATCTCACTGTTTTCTGGCTTAAATGTTATCATTTTTCTACAATTGCTTAATTGCTGAAACTCATGTCTAGAAATCAAGTAAAATTGATCTTTTTTTTTTTTTTNTTTTTTTTTTTTTTTTTTTTTTTTTTTTTTTTTTTTTTTTTTTTTTTTTTTTTTTTTTTTTTTTTTTTAATACTAGGCACAAGGTATGATTATTTAAACAAACAACCTTAATTACAAAATATTCTGGTTGTGGTGTGCTCCTTGATTAAACCTAGAAATTAGAGGACCGCGGTAGCTGAATGGTCAGCATGATAGACTCTTGGCTCAGACCACGCGGTCGTGGATTTCATTCCCACAGTCACTCCTGGCCCTTTTTTTCACACAACCCTTCCCCTTCCACAATAGAATATTATCAACCGAATTATACTCAGGCTAATATGCAAGCTCACAAGGCCATTACAAAAATAATAATAATAATTAAAATTAAAAAAAGTAAATACAAACATAATAAATTAAAAAATCTAGAATTTTAGTTTTCTGAGTTTACCTTTTTTCTAATGGAGATCCTTGTACTGCTTTGATTTTTGATCATTTAAGGTAGGGTTCTATATGGCCATAAAGAGGAATGTTGAGTGGAAAGAAAAATTGATTATTAATATCAATTAATTGACTTAATACCTCCAGGATTAACTACATTCTAAGCCCTTTTAATCAATTTGTTCCATTCCACATACTCTTCAGTTCGAGAACCCTTTTATTTAAAATAAAACTTTTTTTTTCCCCAATGCCTATGCGATTGTTGATTCATCATTCGGCACCTTGCAACCCAATACAATTTTACATTTAGGGTGGCACTGCTGCTCATTTAGCGTGAACCAGGGGGGCATGTCTACTAGCTGTATGGACGTAAGCAGCATTTACCCCCTAAAAAAATAATAGTAATAAAAAGATCCTACGTTGGTTTTCTAATCCCAGTGGGTTGGGTGCAGCTAGTTCCACTGTTTTGATCTAAAGGATTGGAAATTTTTGATTCCCAGTTGCATTAGTACATTACTTATTTTTGTTGTGTAGTTCTGGGAGATTATATCTGATGAACATGGCATTGACCCCACTGGAGCCTATCATGGCGATTCTGACCTTCAAATTGAAAGGATCAACGTATATTACAACGAAGCTTCAGGTATTAAAACATAAATATTTATACGACTTAAAAAGGTCTTTACAAATGAAACATCTATTTTAATAAATAATCTGTCCACAGGGGGTAAATATGTGCCTCGTGCGATCCTTGTCGATCTTGAACCAGGGACGATGGATTCTGTACGATCTGGCCCGTTCGGGCAAATCTTCAGGCCTGACAATTTTGTTTTCGGCCAGTCTGGAGCGGGAAACAACTGGGCCAAAGGGCATTATACAGAGGGTGCAGAGCTTGTCGATTCTGTACTGGATGTGATCAGGAAAGAGGCTGAAGGATGCGACTGTCTTCAGGGCTTTCAGATGACACATTCATTGGGAGGCGGAACCGGTTCTGGAATGGGAACACTCCTTATTTCCAAGATCAGGGAAGAATACCCCGATAGGATTATGAACACTTATTCTGTCGTTCCATCGCCCAAAGTAAGGGATATTATAACAATAAATATTTTAACTTAAAATTGGCATTATACTCATAATTAATAAAATTATATATTCAATTTTAATATTCATTTATTTTGTAGGTGTCTGATACTGTTGTTGAACCGTACAACGCAACACTCTCTGTGCATCAATTAGTCGAGAATACCGATGAAACATACTGTATTGATAATGAAGCATTGTATGACATTTGCTTCAGGACTTTGAAACTGTCCACTCCAACTTACGGAGATTTGAACCATCTTGTCTCCCTGACGATGTCAGGTGTCACTACGTGTTTAAGATTTCCCGGTCAGCTTAATGCCGATCTTCGTAAACTCGCCGTGAATATGGTTCCTTTCCCGCGTCTCCACTTTTTTATCACTGGTTTCGCACCGTTGACGTCCAGAGGTTCACAACAATACAGGGCTTTAACAGTTCCCGAACTCACTCAGCAGATGTTCGATGCCAAAAACATGATGGCTGCCTGCGACCCACGACACGGACGTTACTTGACTGTTGCTGCTATCTTTAGGTATGCATTTATCATACAAATTTTAATTATATTATAACAGGTAAATCAGCAAACTTGAACAAGTAAATATTGAAGCATTAATTAGATGTAATATTGTACACTTTATGAAATATATAAATTTTTAGGGGTCGCATGTCAATGAAAGAAGTCGATGAACAAATGTTGAATATTCAGAATAAGAACTCGTCATACTTTGTTGAATGGATTCCGAACAATGTGAAGACCGCGGTCTGCGACATTCCACCTAGGGGCCTTAAAATGTCTGCCACTTTCATCGGAAATTCAACTGCTATTCAGGAAATATTCAAAAGAATATCTGAACAGTTCACAGCTATGTTCAGAAGAAAGGTGAGTAATTGTTGATTATTGGTTTTATAACGAGAAAAATTAATTTGTATTTTATTTTAGGCTTTCTTGCATTGGTACACGGGAGAAGGAATGGATGAAATGGAGTTCACAGAAGCCGAATCAAACATGAATGACCTTGTGTCTGAATATCAGCAGTATCAAGAGGCTACTGCAGACGACGAAGCTGAATTTGATGAAGAGCAAGAACAGGAAATGGATTAAACTCACAACAAATAATCTCCTTTTTTTATAATCATCGATCATTCTTTTGTCATAACATTTTTTTTAATCTAACCCAATCAGTTTTGAATTATTCCTGATTTTTTTTTTTATTATTTTGAAGCAATTAATAATTAAACGTCTTAAGAATTCTAAAAAAATTATATATTACATAATGTGTTCTTTTTATTAATAAAAACTTTATGTAATAGCTTTTCCTGTTTTATTTATTTTCCTGCTTATGACCTAAGTACTTATAACATTTTAACAGTCCCTAAAACATTAGATCTCGGAAATAATGCAACTCTTATTCATAAACGAGCCATTCAATTTTTCTAACATTGACTATAGCTCGTAGATCATGCGGTCATGGGTTTGATTCCCACTATCGCCCCTGGCCCTTTCTTCTCCCCAACTACATATATACATTAAACACATTCATACATTGACTAATATGCGAGCTCATAAGACCATAAAAAAAGTAACTCAAGATGCAGACCATAATTAAATTATTGAGATAAGTTTTGCCAGGTTGATTAGTTAATTATAGAGAAAAGTCACTGTCATAATGATGTTTTGATATCATTGGAGTGTTTATTTATTTCTTATTTTAAATAGATATACAGTAAATTAGGAGCCCATATTAAAAAAAAGTAGGAAACCATTACAGAAAAATGTATTGGCTGATAGAAACCTTCAGTCCTGTCAATGTTGATGATCCAACTCTGTGAGATATTCAATTCACTAGTTTCGTGGTCCGCTTGACCAATTAAGAGATCTGTGAGATAATTGAATCTACAGTGTCCAGTCAACAGACCTGCAATAATTTAAATCATTTTTTGGCTTAGCTGTAGCAGGTCGGTTTGCTCTGGCTTTTTTTTACTGTCTTTTGATCATGTTTGTTCTGGGGTGTTGTTCGACATGTGTTTTGGCAAAAAAAATCTGAGCACACATTCCCAGGGAAAAAAACCATGACAAATTTTACAAAAATTCTGTTTCTGGAAGCATACTGTCCCATGTTGCCTTCTGAGAAGCAACTTTTAAGCACAGCTCCATTTTCCAGAAAAACCATGGCAAATTTAAAAAAATCTCTTCCTAGAAGCAGAAGTCCCATGTTGCCTTCTGTAAGGCCAAGTTTTGAGCACAGCTATGAGTAAAACTCAGTTTTCCAGAAAAACCATGAAAAATTTAAAAAAAGCTCCATGGAAGCATACAGTCCCATGTTGCCTTCTGTGAGGCCAATTTTGAGCAAAGCTTAATATTCCAGAAAAACAGTGCCAGATTTAAAAAAATATCTTCCTGGACACACACAGTCCCATGTTGCATTCTGTGAAGCCAAATTTTGAGCAATGCTCCATTTTTCATTAAAACCATGACAAATTTTAAAAAAATTCTGTTTCTGGAAGCATACTGTCCCATGTTACCTTCTGAGAAGCCAACTTTTAAGCACAGCTCCATTTTCCAGAAAAACCATGGCAAATTTAAAAAAATCTTTTCCTGGAAGCATACAGTCCCATGTTGCCTTCTGTGAGGCCAAGTTTCGAGCACAGCTATGAGTAAAACTCAGTTTTCCAGAAAAACCATGAAAATTAAAAAAATTAACCCTTAATTTTCTTCAACTTGTTTAACATTATTAGTATGTGTGGTGATTAGTGACCGTTAATCGATATTTATTTAGAAATCGTGCGATGCGGTCTGGTGTGATGTAGGTTTCAGAAAAACATTTTCTTTATCGTGCCAACGTTTCAATCTTTATTGAGATCATCTTCAGGGCCTGGGATTTACAAACATTGTTTACATATAACAATTACATCTTGGATGTGGAAAAGTGAATTTATACAATTCAAAATATATTTTTTATAATTCAGTCAAAGTATTTCTACTTCTTTACACAGAAGACAAACACTTTGAGTGAGTAGAAATACTTTGATTGAATATATAAAAAATATATTTTGCATTGTATAAATTCACTTTTCCACATCCAAAATGTAATTGTTATATGTAAACAATGTTTGTAAATCCCAGGCCCTGAAGATGATCTCAATAAAGATCGAAACATTGGCACGATAAAGAAAATGTTTTTCTGAAACCTACATCACACCAGACTGCATCTCTCGATTTCTAAATAAATGAATGTTATTAGTATGCTGTGTAGTAAAGTATTAGTAAGTAACGTTAATTAGATAAAAGTTAGTCGTTGGACTTTATTGATCTCGTTGTGATATTCATGAAACACAAAATTGGTATTTTTTATTTAAGGCGATACAAATACATTTGTTATTTGTATATCGATATTTTACATTTAAGGGATGGAAATGTATATAAGTACTCTCTAGTGGCATGATAGATGTAAATAGACTTTTACTCTTCTAAACTTTGTGCTTTCAGCCTTCATGGTAAAAATGTATATTTTAAAAAGAGAAAATTGTTTTTAAAGCGACGAAAAAGAGATTTCCATTGATGAAAAGTTTGCGCCTGGGTGTTCGGTGGGGTGCTGTCGTGCTGTGTCGAAGAGGGGGTGCGGCTCCCTGCCCGAGGTGGGACAATCATTTGTGAAAATCGTTCCTCGTCTGTTGCGGCCCGGGATTCGTACGACGACCGTCTTTCGACACCGACGTTCCCAACCGACTTTCGACGAAGCAGTCAAATTTTACTTCTATGTGAAGTTCGAGCCGGGCTCTATTCAAATCGCCTGGGTGAGTAGTTTTTCCACTTTAGATTAGATTGTGATGTTGACGACATTGAGAAAAACAATCTCGTTTTATTTTTACCGTTTCGGATATTTGACAACTCCAATCTTGCGTTTGTTTCAATAAAATACAATTTAATTCTAGTTGGAACAAAAAATGTGAAAAGGTTTTTGTCGTTTGTTATGAGAAATTATTATTATTATTTTAAAAAAAAATTAAAATCGTCATGGGATTCGACTGTAGCCAATCCTTATCGAGTTGTTTTCTCATGGATCTTTTTCTTCTACGCTTTGGGTTTTTCCAGTTAGTTCATCATTGACAAAATGACGCCTAACAAAGTAACATTTCATTCGGATGTTTATCACAAAGAAAACAATCGCCCCGTATTTTTCGTTATTTTAACCGACATAAAAAAATACGGGCAAAACAAATGTTGTGCAATATTAAATCAACACGACATAAAATATTTTTTCAACACGAATTATTTATTCTTTTAAGGTCACTATTAAATTCGCTGGTGTAAAACGCTTTTTAAATTTTTTCACTGTTAAGCACAGAATGTCTAAACTCAACTGGTACGGTGTGACTGGTAGTTTATTGCCTTGCATTGGAAATTATCAGTCTGCAGGAAGCTATTCATAAAAGTAGGATTGTCTCGTTCAGATTCACTACATTCTGGGGGTCCCACAAGGTTCACACTTGGATCTACTGCTATTCCTCATATTCTTTAATGATGTTGATATCTTCACTTAATAATGTTTTGTTTTATTGCTGGCCTATGATCTAAAACTTCTGTAAAATGGATACCACACATGATACAATGGTACTCCAAGAAAATTTACAAAAGTTTCATTTGCGGAATAATAATTTGTCGTCTGAACATTGAACGAGTAAGGTAATTCACTAGGTAGTCGAAGAAGGTATACCGATAATCTTTAGAAAATTCACATCTAGCAACAGTCCATTCGACATGGACTTGGTCGTTACATTCAACTTGATACTCTCATTTAAAGATCATATGGATTATATAACTGCCAGATCTTATAAATTATTGGGCTTTATAATCTCAGAAACACTCAAAAATGTGATAAAATATAGTCTTTTATATACTTATATGTTTCTCTAGTTAGGCTTATCATGAATTTTTATCTCATTTGGTCTCCTCATTACTCTAATGCCACCGCCTATCAATGCAATTGAAAAAACACAGCGTAAATTTTTGTGTGATACATTGCATTATAATCTATTGCTAAAATTTTTTTAGTTTTATTAATATTTTGCATACCAAAAATAGGTTTGGTTGTAAAAATAAGACATTTAAAAAGAAAATATTAATTCTAAAAAACAAAAAAAACAACAATTATTGAATAAAGAAAAAAAAATCAAAAACATGAAAATGTTAAAAGAAAACTGTTTATCCCTTTTAATAATCATGTCCGTTAAATGCCATTGCATTCCTTGGAAAAGATTTTTGATAAAATTTTGAGTAATTTTTTCCCATTCACCAAGAACAACTGTTTCCAACTCTTCTAGGATGTTGGGACCTGGGTTTTGTCATCGTACTCGTCACTTGATCAAATCTGGACTTCGAACTGGCCACACCAAGCACTTGATTCTAACCTCATGCTCTATAGGGCATGACGTTATTCTGCATTAACAACAATTTCTCACAGATGTGGTGATGGCAAATGGCACTAGTGTTCTTTGATTATATCTTCTAAGTACCTCTGTGAAGAGATCTTCACAGCTACACTGCTGAGATTATAGCAATAGCAAAGTGCTTAACTACATAAGCCCCATCCAGGGAAACGATTGTCATCTGTACTGACTCTTTGTTGGCGCTATTGGCCCTTAAAAACAACTTTTCTGTACATCCATTGATACAAGACATCCTATTTACCATTGAATCTCTGCAAAAACAGGGAAATAGAGTAGTTTTCATGTGGATTCCTGGACACTGTGGAATATTTGGCAATGAGAAGGTGGACCATTTGGCAAAGCAGGCCGTCCTTAATGGAGTTAAAATTACAAAAACACCAAAATCCGATGTGACAGCTTGGCATAAAAGAAAGTCTTGGCAGTTATGGCAAACAGAGTGGGAAACGACTTCTAATGTCAAACTTAGGGAGATAAAAAACAGTGTAAAACCTTGGGCCTCATCTCATAGAGGTTCCAGGCACGAAGAAGTTGTCCTTCCTAGACTCAGAACTGGTCATTGTAGGCTTACTCATTCTTATCTCATGGCAAAAAAAGAGACTCTGCTTTGTGATGTTTGCACAGAAAGAATAACAGTTAAACACATTTTGACAAATTGCAAAAAATATGTAGAAGAAAGACATCGGTTGGAAATTCCAACCAACATCAGACTCGCTTGGTGATGACTTCGACCAAATAGACAAACTAGTAACTTTCCTTAAAAAACTAAACTAATTTCAGAAATATGAAGATAAAATGATATAATAATTTTATACAAAATCATTCAAGTTCAGTATGCAATAATCTGTAATCCACTCAATGTTGGGAGATGTCTTGGGGTGCGGTTTGGGTGCCCATCTGGTGGTGGCTGTGAAGGGGTGTCCAGGGCCTTGGTTTCCGCTATTGGGGGTTCCTGAGCTGTGGCCCACTCACCACCCAGCTTGAAAGTTTTTAAGGCGGAAAATGACCGAAAGTGGTTGATCGCCTTTTATAATTTATAAAAATAATAATAATAATAAAAAAAAGAAGAGATCTTCCTCGCACAACAACCAATACGGTGAGGGTGTCCAAGGAAATGGCCACCCCAAAACATCAATACCCATCGTGAAATGTCACATGAAGAATATAGCATGGAGCGTACCTTTCTCCTGAGGGTTTACTATCATCTGAAATTTTAATGCCAACTCTCACCTCATTTGTAAAGAGAGCTCATCCCCAATCTTGCACTATCCATTTCACATGTTCCCCTGTTTAATGAAATCTGGCCATTTTCTGAGTTGTGGTAAGGTGCTAGGCTCTGAGGTTATTTTCATTGAGCTTTCGTCTTAACAGTCCTGAAAGACATTGAAACATTTTGGACTTGTCTTATCAGATTCCTTATCTCATTTTCTATAATGCTGTGGTTTCGTAGAGCCTGATGAATGAATTTATCAACTCCCTAATCCGTAGACCTAGGTCGTCCCTGTATGAAGCCCTGTATCTCTGAAGTGCTGAAGAAAGCTTCCTATTATAGAGTGATTTACACTGTGTCTTTCGGTGGCTTCACGCCGGCTGTATCCTTCTGGCCACCCCAGAACATCAATGGCCATCATGAAAGCCACATGAGGATCCATACAGCATGTAGAGTACCTTTCTCCTGGTGTCGGCCACGTAATAGCCATGTAAAGATTTGAAGTCAACTCTCACCTCATCTGTAAAGAGAACTCGTCCCCCAATCTTTCATTGTCCAATTCATATGATAAGAAGAGCAGGTGCCAGGCCCTGAGGTTATTTTCATTGAGCTTTCTTCATACAGTCCTTGAGGAAAACGAAACATTTCAGGCTTGAATTATGAGATTTCTTATCTCTTTTCCCATAATGCTGCAGTCATATAGCCTGAAGACAGATGAATTTATCGTCTTTCTTGTCCGTAGACTAGGTTGACCCTCTTGGCCGAAGAATCGTTCTTACTGTAGAGTGATTTACACTCAATATCGTGGCGACTTTTCACTGGCTGTATCCTTCCTCTAATAATGTTATTACCCTGAAATTGTCATATTCACTCAAATGTCTGACGAGCCATTATGATTATTTAGATTGGGGTCGATGGAGTACTTTTATAAATATCAAAGTATTTCTACTCAATCAAAGTGTTTGTCTTCTGTGTAATTGTGCCATTCTTGCGTGTCGTGTCGAGAATGCCAGTGAGATTTTGCTATTTTGTGTTTATATATGTTGGATTTTGAAGGGGTGGGGAAGGATGTCGGTATAGAAAAGATTTGATTGAATATATAAAATATATTGCATAAATTCACTTTTCCACATCCAAAATGTAATTGTAATGTGTAAACAATGTTTGTAAATCCCAGGCCCTGAAGATGATCTCAATAAAGATCGAAACGTTGGCACGATAAAGAAAATGTTTTTCTGAAACCTACATCACACCAGACCGCATCTCACAATTTCTAAATAAATATCGATTAACGGTCACTAATCACCACACAGATGACGTTATATTTCACCCTCATCCCTCGCCATTCACACTAATAAATACATGCACTCAACAAAACATATAGACATACAGCACATAAGACATACTATATACAATAATAATTTAAAAAAAAAAAAATTTTCCCTAAAAAGCGGAACAGAGGACCCAGAAACCCGTTTTAGTGCTCGAGTACCATTTTCAGATTGGATGGCATGCCTACATGCTCCAAGGCATGACATGTTTCCAGTATGTGGGACACATCGAGCAACCTTTCTCTGCATAAGGGGCACCTGCGTGGGCTTTGGCCCAAGAGCAGGTGCTTGTGTGTCAACCACGTGTGGCTTATTCTTAATCGCATAAGGACGATTCCTTGTTTCTGGCTCAGGTTCTCGGAGGGCCATCTACAATTCGTGCTCTTGATGCGCAAAAGCCTCTCGGATGACCACTGACGCTGCCATCTTTCTTTTATCATGTTCTTTACTGCTAGCTTGGCGTCAGAGGGCCTGTTCGCGATGGTCCGGTCTGAGGTAGAGCCATTATTGAAAAAGGTTTAAGTATAAGAATAATATCAAATGAAATCATCGAAGTAAAAAAAAATTATCTGAAAGTGTGGGATTATTAGGCGTAGCAGAATGGAAGGGCATAATGCTTTTTTTGTTCAAATGAGATTAATCAGTACAAAAGTAAACAACGGAAATAAACAAAACATTATTTATGTTTATTTTGACTAGGATAGCTCCTAATTATCTGTAACTAATTTAGAAAGATAGTGGATTTAATTTTAAACTAAATAAATTGAGTGGTGCGTTAAATTTGTCTATCCGTGTAGATGGTCCTGATCTTCTTATATCTTTCTATGTTCCCAGAGTTAATACTAAAAATAATTATCTATTTAATGTTCAATTTTCAATTGTCTGAGCCATACGACTAAAAAAATCAGCTTTAATCTCCATAGATATTTTTGGCCTGTTAGGTTCCCAATTCAAAACTAAAATTACTTAATACAAAATGTCAAATCTGAACTTTAGTATCAAGTTCATTAATCTAACAAGTCTTATCTATTTATAATTGTATAATTTCAAAAACTATATTGTTCTTTAATGAATATACTTATATATTTTTGATAAACGTTTATCGTAATGTATATTATACATGTTATATTTTTTATGACATATGTTCCTATTTGATATTAATTATTTAGTGTTATGAAACTTACATTTTTGTAACAAGCGTAATAAATATTCAATAATTTAAATAAATAAATAAATTTGAATTATTGATACCAATTGAATTTAGTAGATATGGAATCTTAAAAATGATGGATTAATGTACCAAGCCTCCCTCTTAAAATCTCAATCTAAGTTCCTGTTTGATAAGAAGTTTATATATAAATATACGATGTGCAATGAAATATCACAAAAAGAGAAAAAAAAAACGCTTAACAAAAATTTTTAACACGGGCACTCGACACGACACGCAAGAATGACACAATTACACAGAAAACAAACACTTTGAGCCCTGAAGATGATCTCAATAAAGATCGAAACGTTGGCACGATAAAGAAAATGTTTTTCTGAAACCTACATCACTCCAGACCACATCTCACGATTTCTAAATAAATATCGATTAACGGTCACTAATCACCACACACTTAACAAAAATGTAGTAGAATGTTGCTTGCTGCTTTTTTACAATCATCTGTGTGTAATTATGTAGTTCATGTTGTATTATCAACATCAATGGCACTACTAGACTAATGTGGTATTGTCTCCCTTATGCAGAAGTTTGACAGTTTTCTCTCTTGTTTGTCTTTCAGTTATTTATGTTAAGTGAAGCTGGAGTTGTTGCATCATCTTTGAATCATTGTCTCTTTTCTCACTTTTTTCAACCCTCCTGTTTTCCTTTCTCGGACGTTTCTAACGAAAATTTTTTACTTTTGCAATCTTTATCAGATACACTTCTTTTTAAAGCTTTTTTTATTTACTGGTCCATCTGTCTCTAGGTATTGATTTTTTTGAGTTGCCCTGTTGTTCGAATGACTTCATATTGTTTTATTTTTAAGCCCCTGTTTCTTTATTAATTAGTGATAAAAGATGGTGTCATTGGTTGAAAACAATGGTTCTACTCACAAACTGTTTTTCGTAGTTATCCAGATTTCAAACACTCAAGAATGAAATTTTCAGTTTGACAATGACTTGAGTGTTCAAAATCTGGATAACAGCGAAAAACAGTTTGTGAGTAGAACTATTGTTTTCAACAAATGAATTCATATGCTCGCTCACTCCACTTTAATTATTTTTATAAAGACATAAAGCCATCACAGATGAGGCATTGGATAAAAAATTCCAGGGGCAATGTGGATGAACAAATGCACAACCATATATGACAAATTGACAAGCTGACACGTAGTCTACTGCTAGTTTTTACTTTATGAAAACATTTTTGTTTATTTAGCAGTCGATCTTGAAAATTAATGTTCTCACCTTTCAATCACACTTGCGAAATGCATACGGAATTTGCATTCAAAATTTGAAACTGTTGTTTTAGCCTTTTGCAATCATCCTGGTCCATCTATTCACTCTGATTTATACTAGAAATGCACAACATAGACAGAATATGAACTTTCAAACGCTAACTTTCAGATGTAGTAAAGCAGTGAAGATAAACACCAGGATGATTGAAAATCATACAGCTTTAATTTTATTCTTAATTTTCTGCACTTTTTCTTTGTGCAGGATGCCTCTTCATGTGGTTTTGGTGATTTTCATAATTGCTGAAAATTGACATTTATTTGTTTTATTTATTATTTTTGAAGTAACTGGAAAACTTATTTGTCCATTGCTATTTTTTATTTATTTATTTTGATGGTTAAAAACCTTAGTGGTTGTTTAAGCCCTGGTACAGTTTTGTGTGAACCAGAAGAGAAGGAGGCCAACAGAGGGGCCGGTGGACCGACCGCCACCACCAAACAGGGGGAAGTAACGTTGGTTTTTCCCCTTACTTTGTGAAGGTAGGTGCTGCAAATTCCATGTCCTTAGGTGAGTTACTGTCGAGCATAGATGCAGGGATATTTGTTCATCTTGAAACCATGGTGGCGCCCTACCAGTAGGAACATTTTTTTATAATTCTGTCTGTTTCATTTCTGAGATATTCTTTTGGCCAATTAATTATAAGATAGGTTTGTAAAGTCGATCTCATATTCGATGTTGATATAGGCTGGAGGCGAGCCAGAAATTTTGGCACCTTTAGCTAATTTGTTGACATCATTGCATTTAAAACTGGTATTTCTTTTTATCCAAACCACTGTAATTCCTTCTTTTCCTTATTTCTTCAGCTAATATTAAAATTTGTTCTATTATATAATTATAAACAAACAGTCTGTTGTATTGTTGTTGTAAGCTTATGTACCCCACTCAGACGGCCAGTGCCTATTTCTGGAAATTTTAGGTTGAGCCCGGTGACATATCGTAATGCCTGTTCCATAGCAATTAGCTCTGCCAAAATTAGTGATAATTTATCGAAGAGTGCATATTTCTCCTGGTGGTTAAGCTTGGGAACATAAAATGAACTTGGATTTAATAATGACTCATCTGTGAATAACAAAGTGGCCATTTGGAAAAAGTGTTTAGATCAGCCAGGTATTTTTTATTGACTTCTATGTTGGATGATCCCTTGCAGTCTTTTAAAATGGTTGAGCTGATAAAGTGCTATCTTACTAGATATATTGCTGACTAAGCATGTTTCGAGGTAAAGCTGTGCTGATTTCTAATGCACTTTGCGAAAATGGTGATGATCCAAGCTTCATAGTCAGAGAAGGTCTTTTTCAAAGTGTCAGCTTCATTTGGCAAACTTGTCAATTATCCATTTCGACCATTTTTGTTTAAGGTAGTGTTTCAGTGGTTCACCAGTCACCTATTTAAATAGTTAAAACATATAAATTTATTCAATTGTTGTTTAATCAAGTGCGAGTTTTTCTGCTCATTTATTTAAGTAACCTTTCAGCAAAATCTATGGTATGCTTAATTAACTATTTATTTATTTTTATTATGGATGCATACAGGTTTTATTTATAAAACCTAAACAGTTTTGATTAACAATCACGCAAAAACAAAGGGCTTGCAAAAAGGAAAGCAGTTCAATTTTGTTAATTGTGACAAGGTCAATATTTAACATCTATATTCAACAAACAGCTCAAACTTAAATTTTTGCCAAAACAGGTTGCATGAAGGTATAAGAAAAAGGGTTGTTAAATGAGTATTCTTTGTTCACACCCTAAAACTAAGTAATAATGAATAGTCAACCGCTCTTTTCAAAAGTTTTAAAATAAAACAAGCCACATGTATCTTAATTGGACAGAGAATGGGCAAAAATTGGAATGGGCCAACCTATTAGACAAGGCCCTGAGGTAGTCTACTCTAAAACCAATAAAACAAGATTTCTAATAAAAAGATGTTTCATTAGTAGCCATTTTAATTTTAAAATTACACTATGAGAAGAGACCATTAGGATACAATATAAATAGAAATATTTTAATGAATTTATTAGTACCATGAAAAGAACACTTTTTAAATTTTTCGACACGGTAAAGTCGATAATTTCATCAGGCGTTGTTATCACCTTGCCAAAGTGGCACTATCATCAGACCTACATCTACTGTCTCTCATTCTTGTCAGACTCATCAAAAATCCCATTTTCAGCTCTGCCCATTATTTTGGTGTTATTTCAATAGGCAATGATTATGATTTTTATCATTTACTGCCCTGCTGACTTTTGTCTGAATAGTTATAAGTTTATTTTATTGCTTTAGATTTGAACCTTTGTGAGTTTTTCTACCCTCTCATTCAATTTCCCCTTTCAGCTAAATCTGTGATGACCCCAGCATGTATTAGTCAATTGACATCTTCCGTCTCTTGGAAAATTTAAGATACTAAAGGTGTAATATAAAGTATAACTTAGATTCTTGCTTATTATTATTGTGTGGGGATTAGTGACCGTTAGTCAATGATTATTTGGAAATCGTGAGATGCGGTCTGGTGTGATGTAGGTTTCAGAAAAAACGTAAAAAACCTTTTACCTCAAACAAGCCGATTCCTTATACAAAAATGTCTTTCTATACCGACTTCCTTCCCCACTCCTTCAAAATCCAACGTATATAAACATAAAACAGCAATATCTCACTGGCACACTCAACACGACACGCAAGAATGGCACAGAAAACAAACTGAGTGAGTAGAAATACTTTGATTGAATGTAAAAAGTATTTATTTGCATTCTATAAATTCACTTTTTTCCACATCCTACATGTATTTGTTAAATTTAAACAATGTATGTAAATCCCAGGCCCTGAAAATGATCTCAATAAAGATTGAAACGTTGGCACGATAAAGAAAATCTTATTATTATTGTTTATATTACATTTTTATTTTTTTTAGGTGAGGGGTATTCAATAAAAAGTTCATACTCATAACAATAGAAAAATAAAAATATTATACTAAAAAAAATAAGTGTAAAATTTTTTTTATGGACAATGAATTACAAATGACTTATTCAATTTCAGACGAAGACTTGTAACAACTGAGTGTTAATTTAGTAGATAAACATGTCACTTTATCCGTCACTCGAGGATATGAAAGTGGGACAGATGGTGAAGGTAAGACATATTTTTCATTCTACCTTGACAAAAGTTCAAATTGTAAAATGAACATGTTTTTTAGGCTCAGATAAAGGAGGCTTCATATCCTACGTTGAAAAGAAATGAAGAGGACAAGACTATCACCAAGCCCAGTGGGTTCGCCATGCACCAAGCAGGGATGGCGGTTCCTGTCTACCCTTCGTTGACCGAATATATGGGCCTGGACCTTTCAAACAAATCGATATCCATGAACATTCCCGATTACTCAAAATCTCTCGCAATCCAACAGCCGGCTGTGAGTTTATCTATTTATTATTATTTTTGTTTTGTTTCAAACTTTTAATTTAATTTCATTTTCAGGAGAATATGTCCTTAATGTCAAATTTTAACAATATGGTGGCACCTTTATCTGGAAATTCGCTTGGATTTAAAAGGGCCAATGTTACCAATGGGATCAGAGAGGTATTTCCCTATTTATTTTTGTAAATGTCGAAATGTCACTACAAATAAAATCTATACAGTAATTCCTCGAATCATGGTTAGGGACCTGAATCAGCGATGTTAAGTTAAACTATGTTAAGTGAGGCTTATCTGAGTATATATCTAAAGAAAAATAACAGAACCGACTGCTATGATGTATTTTTTACACTACAGTAATTATAAAAAATGAAAAGAAAATGAACAGAAGGGGGTTTTGGAGAATCATATTAACAAGAAACCATCAACCAATGGTACAGGTCCATAGAAACTACTGCTGCTGAACTACTGATGCTGTAATGAAACATGTCGTTAAACAAAAATTGTGCTGCAAAAGTGAAGCGATTTAATAACAAAACAACATAAACTGAGATGTTAACTTAAGATTTATTTACTTTCTATTTTCACATTTTAATTAAAATTTTTTTTTTAAATTGTATTACTATCATTGGATAAGTTGTGTTAGATTGTTATTTACTCTGTGAATTTATTATTAAGTATTTAATAAATACTTTGTACATTTAAGCAACATTTTAATTATTTAATATTTTACTAAATATTATCTTTTTTTAAACATATCAAAGTTGTAAAATTATATATATTTCAGTTGTTCTTATGCAAAGATAAGGATGGAAAAGTTGGCGTGAGAGTTGCGAGTGTGAATAGTGGAATTTTTGTTTGTCTGGTTACCAAAGGATCTCCCGCCGAGATGGGAGGGCTGAGGTTTGGAGATCAAATTCTCCAGGTAAACGGCACTATAGTGGCTGGTTTCTCTGTCGACCAAGTGCACAAATTGTTTAAAAAAGCTCCTGTAAATGAGGTAGTGGTCGTTGTCCGAGACAGGTAAATAATTTTTTTTTTATTTATTTTTTTTTTTACAAATAACAAGACAACTTACGGTATGTTTTTCCAGGCCTTTTGAAAGGACTGTTATACTGCATAAAAACAGTTTAGGCCATGTTGGCTTCCAGTTCAAGAAAGGAGAAATTGTCACATTGGTGAAAGATTCATCCGCTTCTAGGAATGGATTGTTGACACAACATCAACTTCTAGAAGTTGATGGTCAGAACGTAGTAGGCCTCAAGGACAAAGAGATAACCGCCATCATCGAAGCAGCCCCGTCTCCGCTCACCGTCACCATTATTCCCGTCAATATCTATGAGCACATCATCAACAAGTGAGCATTCCATTTTTATAAGTTAACAGTGGTTGGGGTTTTTGTTCTTCAAACGACATGGTTAAATGGTTTTATTTTATGTATAAATACAATTAGGCGATTAACTCAACTAAGTAAAACAAAAATTTAACTTATGTATAAACTTATTTAGAAACAAATTAGGAGACTTTAAAACTTTATGAATGCTCATTTATGAAATAAAGGTGAGATATGTTTCTTTATTAATAAGGAAAGTACCTGAATGGATATTATCTACATTTTGTAGTTCAGCTTTGATTCCTAATGGAACTTAGAAAACCAGCTGAATGAGGGTAGGAAAAAAGTAAATACATTTCATTTTGACCGTAGGAATTCGATTAGTTAATAATAAAAAAAAATTGTTTTGTTTTTGTTTGTAAATCTACTTTTTGAAAGTAGTTGGTGCAGATAATTTGCAAAATTAGAGTTAACTACAGCATGAGCATGTGCATGTAATGATCGATCAAAATCATCAGATTGCCTTTAGCATGCCTATTAAATTTTGCACAAAGAAAGGCATTGGAAGATTGGAGATGATGGAATGTATCATTTAAAGATAATATAGTACAAAGTATTATTTTTATATAACAGAGCTATTTTAAATATTTAGTCTTTAATTATATATATTCTTGCACGTGATAAGTGCAACTTTGATTTAACTTTGGAAAAGTTTTGTTTATGTTCACTTTATTTTATTTTGTTTGTGTGGTTTTATTTTGCGTTTTAAGGTTTATTTTAATTGGTTTTATAATTTTTTTGGGGGGTGTCACTTTTTAATCCTAAGGAACTATCATCACATAATTTTTTTTAAAAAATAAGTTCAGATACCTTCAGAAAATATTCCGCTTTACTAAATGTTTACTTACCAAAGAAATTAAAATAAATAAAAAGAAAGAAAAAAATATAAAGAAAATGAATAAAAATTTGTTACAGGATGTCACCTAATTTAATGAAAAACCTGATGAGCCACAGTATTCCAGCGTTCTAAACAACTTTTATTTTACTAATCTCATATTTAAAATTAAATTTGCATAAAGACTGGAGTTCCAGTGCCAAATATAATGTTATGCCGTTATTATTCATATAAGATTTAATTATTCTTATATTTATTTAATGGAGAAAATATTCATATATTCATGCTAAAAGTGGTAGCAAGAAGTATAATAAATAGTTTTTATAATCTTTTTCATTATTATTAATTAATTTGAAATTATTCCTATAATCTTCAATTATTCTTATCTAATTTCTGTTTATAAAGCAAGAGTAATGATCAATCTTTAATAGATTTTGGTCCACTTGCATATTTTCATAAAATACATACATACAAAATCTATCTTTTTTCATTTTTATTTTATTTTTTTAATTTTTATAATTGATTTGAGTTGGTTAATTAGAATTAGTATTATGCACTTGCATCCATCTGAATTACTCAGTTGTTGAATGTGTGGTTTATTCGAATGATTTCATATTTTTTGATACTAGAGTGTAATATTAAATAAAGATAAAGCCGGACAATGATAGATCGTAAGTGCAATATTGTATTGCAAATATGTGCTAGCCTATTAACATGAAATACATTATATAATAAATACAGATATATTGTTTTATAGAAAAAAAATCTGTTTTATGTTAGGTAAGAAAATATATTGTATAGTTTTTTATAATTGCAATTATAAACATAGACTTGTCACAATTTCAGATTCATGATTAATTATATTAAAATTTAGCGCAATCAATTTGAGCCGATGTTTAGTTCTCTTTGATTCATGATTTTTTTTGTAATGAATTAAGCCTGCGGTTTTGAAAAACTGAATGATCGATCCTACCCATAGTTAACCGCAAGCGGCTGTGAGAACTCATTACACATTTTAAACTGTAATAAATTTTAATTCTTCACTTTTGAAATGTGATATATGTACCTTTAGAAATATGTTTTGGCGACTTGCAGTGTCAGATTGGATGTCCAGCGATATAAAACTTCGCAATTACGATTATCTCACAATTTGTTTACTTTTAAAACTAAATAGGTGTTATTGAAATGTTAACGATTATTGTATTATATATTAATTAATTTCCCAAAGATTATATTGTATATAAAAATTGTGATTGTGACATTATATATTATAGAAAAAATACATTTGTTTTCTTATACACTACAATTTAGTGTTTTTCTTTTTTTTATTGTTTCCAAAACCTCAGTCCCCATATCATCGATAATTATTAATTAGTGTCATTCTGCTCACGGCATGTTTTGCAAACATTGCAAATTAGGGTCAACCTTAAACATCAACACACATTATTTATTATTTGTACCATTGGTATTTCTCAACTGACATACTTTCCTTTAAATGAGGGGTCAGCAACTTAGTTTAAAAAAAGGGCCAAATCGTAAACCAAATCTGGTTCAGCGGGCCAGGTTGCATGCACTAATAGAGTATTCTCATTTTATTAATATTTTTCAATTAATTAATATTTATGAAAGGCATTGGTCGAGATAAAAAGGTCAGTGTCACAAGCGGGATTCGAACCCATTATCTTCGGCTAAATACGCTGCTGCTCTACCACTTGAGCTATCGTGACTTCGATCTGCTCAGACACTAACTTCCCATTTCATAAATATTAATTAATTGAAAAATGTTAATTGGTCAATCGGACCACGAACTGTAATGGATTTAATAATTAAACTGAAGTATATCTTCAGCTCTTCGTGGCCATTTCATTTCTTGCCGAGAATCAAATAGATTACACAACATTTGAAAATGCGAAAGGTGGGTTGAGATGGGAAGTTAGTGTCCGAGTGGATCGAACTCACGATAGCTCAAGTGGTAGAGCAGCAGCATATTGAGCCGAAGGTCGTGGGTTTGAATCCCGCTCGTGACATTGACTTTTTTATCTCGACCAATACCTTTCATAAATGTTAATTATTTAAAAAATGTTAATTGGTCAATCGGACCACGAAATAATAGATTTATTATTATTTAAAAACTATAAAAACTTAAAAAAGGGCACTCTCAACACGACACGCAAGGATGGCACAATTACACATAAGACAAACACTTTGAGCCCTGAAGATGATCTCAATAAAAGATCGAAACGTTGGCACGATAAAGAAAATGTTTTTCTGAAACCTACATCACTCCCGACCGCAACTCACGATATCTGAATAATTATTTAAAAAACAAAAATAATGGCTTTATTTTTGAATATTAGGCAGAGTGAGAAAAATTTGAGAAAGCAATGAATTAATTCTTGGAGGAAGGACAGGGGCTACTGTGGAAATAGAACCCACAATTTCGGGTACTACAAGAAGCCTTTCTCGCTGATCATTCTTGGTCCTCTAAACATCAATTACACAACAGTTACAGCAAACATAATTATACGTGGCTTAATATCACTGTTTATAATATTTTTTTCTTCTTTCTTGGAATATCATTATTGACCGTTGGGAATCAAATGATTTTATTTTGACCCTAATCGTCTCATCTGAGACAAGAATATTAAATTTACTTCTTGCCTGAGAATGATGTCCCAGAAGCAACTGTCTTTTTCTTTCTTTTATGATAATCACTGTCATTCAATGTGATACATACAATTTCAGTACTGATGACTATTTGACGATCTTCAAGTTGTTCGGCAATTGTGGGGTGGTTATAAAATATGTATATTTTTTCCATTTTATTCTCTTTTCCCAACATACCTTGTCCTGATTGGTGATTGAAGGGTAATGAAATAACAATTTATAAAAATTATATATTATAATTAAATCCATTTTGAAATAATGCAAATTTTTTTCTCTTGTTTACTAAACACATAACCAATGAGACCATATTTACATTTTATTTTAGAAAAATATAATTTTCATTTTAAAATAATGAGCATTAAACTATTGCTATATGAGATTTATTACCAGTTCATGTGTGTTATTAATTTAAGACAATAATAAATTAAACAATCAATCTTAAAAACATAGTTGTCTGTTTTTCTACTAAAATTATAAATAAAGTTCACAGATAACAATACATATATTTTATTTTGATAAAAACTACTATCACATTAAAATTAGAACAACTTACACATCTATATAGAATTCATTTATGAGTTTTTCAGTATAAATTTGAAAAAAAAACAAACAATTATATTCAGTTACTAAATTTTGTTCGATAATTATTATTAACAAATGTTCGTTATACTAGCAAAGATCTTCGTATTGTAAAATAATCATGGGAACAGGAAATAAAACTTTTATCACGAAAATAACTAAATAGCTGTACTAGTCAGACATAAAGTTATGGTTTTGAAAGAGGGAAAAAATCAGGTACTTAAATTTTCCTATGCTGAAATATGTGTACTTCCATTAAGACATGGAATCCATGTACCAAATCTGTGCAATATTTACCTTTTATAATTCATAATGGATCATTTCATTCAAAAAGAAAGAAAAAAAATTAGCTAAAGTCTAAATCTAAAAATACTAACATTTGATTTGTGACTCGAGACAAAAAAGCAAATTTGGAATTTCAAGTGGCAGCTCCACGACTAGAAAAACTGCTATAGGTAAAACACACTGGTACTAATGTTCAATTTCAGCGAATAATAACATTGTATAATTACGTACCTAATTAAAAATATAAAAACGGAAAAGTAAAAAATAAAAAGTTATTTTATGAATGTAAATAAAGTATATAAATAAGGGGGTTGACTATGCTTTGTGGTCACATTCCCTACGCTAATAACACCATATCAATCTCGACCAAATACAATTAATGACTTTTTGTGTCAACATCAATTTTGTCTTAGGCTTTTACAAATTTCTTCTTTTTCCCACGTCATTAATTTACATTTCATCTATCAATACATAAAATTTCTTATTTTAGATTTTACAATAGCTACATAATTTATTCTCGATAAAATTTATTAATGTTTAACTTACGATTCACATTGTAACAATAATTGACACTTTTTTTCAACGCTGAATATTGTCTAACATTAGTAATAAATTACTTTTTTAACTACAAACTTTTACAAAAAAGGATTTGGTGATTTTAAATTTGAAAAAAATTAATGTATACACAATTGGAAATAATTTGTGAATCTACTAAACAGCCTCTAATAATGAAATTTAAGTTTCATTAAGTTCCTATTGCACCATCTGACCTACAAGTTTTACCTCTAAAAATCTTTTTTGCAATTAATTTATCCAAAAAATCTAATTAATTAATCTTTAACTGCTATATGTTGGCACTGGGGTGGTGAGCCAGCACATTAATCTAACGATTCTCATCGTGCAAATTGTCCTTTCTACACTACTTATGTTCTACACGTTAAGACTTAAAAATTCTTTAATTTTTAAAATATTTTACATTAAGTTTTGTACAGTTTGTTTCAATTTTGAAAATATTCATAATAAAATGGATCTTGCCTAAGAACCACTTTATATTATGTGAATTGAAATTAGAAATTTAATAAAATTATGTAGGTAGACAAAATTAATTAAATTTTTAATATGTCGTTTGCACGGTGGCCTGCCTACAAAATTTCTTATTCTTTAACTCTACCGAGGCTTATGTAGACTTTTAATTATAGCAGTTAAAGAGCTATGGCAAAATGGAATCTTCAAATTATGTTCTGCCGACTATGGTACAAACAAATCTAAATATACACTGATACCAGGGGAAATAAGAGAACAAAAGAAGAGGTGATCGATCGCATTACGACCTGAGAAATGGAAATTCGCCAAGTGGATACACGCCTCATGCTTCCTCTTCAGTTAGAATGTTAGATGAACTCAGATCCATACATCATCTGCTCGTTGCAGGACATGAGGTGCTTAATGCCGAAAAAGAACTGTTGCCCGATTGCAAACTTGACATTGATCCCCTGGAACAACAAAAATAAATAAAATCACCAATAATAAAAATTTATTTTATAGTAGTATTAATTATTAGCATTTTACTGACTTATAATCTGACGAAGAAAGTATTTCGTAAAAATACATAAGCGTAGCTTTATGATCACCGATGTGCTTCCAAGAAAGGATGTACCTTCCTGGTTTCGAACATACATGGGAACCTTGAACACTTTCACCGTCCCGACAAGTCACAGGCCCTTCTACACGTTCAATCTCTTCTACTGGAGAAGGATTTGCATCTAAACGAGGATAAATTTATTAGAAAGTTGTAATGCTGTAAAAGATAAAATAAATACCATGGTTTGTTGTAGTGTCAGTGTCACTAGTGGACAATTTGTTCGACCTGCATACAGAAAATGAAACGTCTTCTTTCATAATGTCGAAATCCCACGTGATTACAGAGCCAATGTCAGTTATATTGATGGAAACGTCATGGGTCTAGAATTAAAATTGAATTGGTTAAAGAGAGCGTTTCTCATGACTCATGAGTTTACTTTCTGATGACTTGATTTACCTGGGACTTTGTTATGCTCACTGAATGATAGATGCTATCATCTGTCATGTGATGGCCCTCTTTACAAAGTTCCCCTTCAGTTAAGTACATACTTTTCGGGATGAGACTTACATCTTGTACAACAGTCTGAAAAAGATAATTGATTTGACCAATATTTTTGCATATTAATACAAATAACTAAATGAACGAAAGACATCTTGTATAAAATTAAGCACAAAGGTAAAATAGATTTTATTTATTATTTTAATTCCGTGGATAATCAAAAATGGTTCTAGTGTTGAACCCAGTAGCTTATTGGGTGTGTGTATAATATTTTTTTAAAATTTTAAATTTCGACTTTTACTCTTATAAAGGCAATCCTAGCCCTGTTAGCTCTAGGGTGGAAAAAACTCTATTTAAAGAAATTGTTAAGAAAAGGGTAGTAGATCCCAAAAGTCGGTCTAGAATAAGCTGCGAGGCATGACATGAAAGCAGATAAAATTCATTTCATGCTATAAAAGTTTATCTTGGGCAGAGTGGTGGATGTCTGTTGAAATTTATGTGGAATTTACGATGATAACATAGTAACTGAGCGTGCATGTCAACATTGTTTCCGATGTTTTTTTAATGGAGATGAATCAAACCATTATGGTAGAGCGTGCCAAGCTAGAGCATCTTTGAGGCAGCTTTGAAAAACCTTGCCCTGGTGAACAGACAGACGTCGTGTTTCACCATGACAACACCAGGCCTCAGCTGCACTCACTTAGGTCTTAGGGTAAAATCGCAGTTGGGCTGGTAATAAATGCCCCACCATCCATGCTCTCCAGACATTGACCCTTCCGATGTTGACTTGTTTCACTCCCTTGACAACCACTTAAAAGGTAGGGAGTTTTTGAATAAATACGCTCAGAAAATCAGACTTACGTTGGCGTTTTGTATTAAAATAAAATACATTTAGTAAATTTTGAAAATTCGACTTTTTTCCTGAAAACTAAAAAACACACACACACCTAATGTGATAGTAACATATATTGCACACCCACAAAAAAAGTGACACGTTGAAAAATTTCTAAAAACCGGTTTATTCCTTTATCATTGTCACTGTCATTCATTGACCACCATTATCATTAGAGCAAGCAAACTAATGTAAAATATTGAGAACAAATGTATGGAAAATAGTGTCACTACTAAAAAAGGGGTAAACGGTTTTTTAGGGGTAGTACAGCTGGAATTTTAAGTTTTGTGCTTTCGCTTAAGTTCGGACACATGAAAGACAATTGATGGATTGTGACAGTTTTTCTTGCCAGCATCCGTAATGGCGTGTACTTAATACATAAGTAAAAAAAAGTAAACTTCCATTTGTCCCTCCTGTAAAGTTTTCTTTTGTTGAGCTGTGTCACTTTTCTTGTGGATGTGCTGCTTAAGGATATATTTTGATGGGAATAATTACCTTGCATGGGCCACCAAGGAAATCAGGAATATATTCTTCAGGAATATAATCAACTAGGCCACCTGGCTCTTGATAATCGTTTCCACCGTATAACAGAAACTTTGTCCTAGTTATATCATCTACAAATCAAATTGCGCATAAAAAATTTGCATACAAAAAACGTAAGGAATAAATAAAATAACATGAGTATTAAATGAACAGCAAATACTTATACACCCAGAGACAGACACACTCACGAGTGAGCCTACATGACAGATTTAAGTTTTATTTTTCAAACCAATTGATTTCTAATTTTGTACTTTGCATTACAGAAGAAGCTACTTCTCTTTGATGTGGCAAATATTATAAAATAATTTATGTAAAAAAAAATCAAACATTAGTTTTGTCATGCATATTCTTACCTATGAACGTTGAAACAAGGGCCCACATAATTGGAAACACCCTTGGAGCCCTAATGATAAGAACTCGACCAAGGGTTTCAGGATAGTTAGCTTCAACTATCTCAATGATGTGAAGGAGCGCCTGAATGCAGATTAGTTTTGTATTAAATTCTGATTGAAATAAAACAAAAATAAAAAAAGTACCTTGATCCCCGGCCTCCACAGATGCCTCATGTTCAGACCTTCCAAATCGACGAGGAGGCACCATGTAGAAATAGGTTTACCCCAACTCAACGTCGCTTCTTCGGTAAGGCGCAAGCCTTCCTCGCATACATGAAGAGTCTGCAAATTTTATTCAATTAGATAATTCAAATCACAAATGAAACAATGACAGTAAGGGCCTTGAATAAATCATAAATTGTTTAAATAACGATAAAAAATAAAAATAAGAAACATGACTTACTAGCTTTAATAAACCATCTTCCCCAATAGTCTTGAGAAGGCCTTTCACATCCATTTGACCCAATCTCAGAAGATACACAGGTCTTCCATCTATTCATAAAAATAAAAATATTTAAAAGATTAAACGGGCAAAAATTAACTTGGAATTAATTTAAAACAAAAAAACTTTATATTGATATTTTGTATACCTTTGTCATGATGATGCCATCCACCGGGAAAATAATCTTTGACTATTTGTGGGGTCACATATTCAGACAGTACTTTGTCCACCCCATGTTTCTTTCTCCAACTGAGAGACTCGGAGAGAAGGTGTCGAGCTTTGTCGACGTTAAAGTCTCTTGCTCTTAGAAATCTCAAAAGCATGGTATCATTAGGAACCTAAAAAAATATAGTTTTTATATATACAAAAGTTGATTTTAATAGACAACATCTTACTTTTCCTTTGTGCAGTTGGGCGAATGATTTTCTCAATTGAACGAGTCTCGACTCCTGAATCAATGTCAAATGTCCCAAATAACGTTGAATGTACTCAGAATCAATTTGAGATTGACACTCTAAACAAGTTAATGTTGTACAATATACTTGAAATGAAAAACACAGTTAAATTAAATTTAAAATTCACTAATGAGTAATGAACCTTTTGATGTCTGCTGTCCCGAATTCCTCCTTGGCTTTGTACATAATGTGACCATTTCTGGGCTGACAGTCGCTTCATTGTTATCATTAGTATCCTCACTAAAATTTCAATTAGAGTATTCTTTAATGCTACTGTAGGAAGAACATTAAAATGATCAAGGATGAATACTTACTTTGAAATGGCATCTGGGGATGGCAACCATTTTGGCACGTGTGTAATTCCTTCTGTTTTCAATTCTACTATGAAGTGTTCCAGCACTTCTTTTCCCCTCGCAATATTCTGCGAAAACTGTTTCATCGCCAGTTTTTCAATTGTGTTTTCAAAGCCGAAAAATGACTTTATATCAAGCTCTGCGCATTGCTCAAAACAAGTCCATTCATTGTTTTCAGGATGGACCTAGGGTTTAGACATACAATTAATTATGATCTGTTGTACAGTTTAACGCTTATTTAATTCAACAAATGATGTATTTACAAAGTAACGGCAAGTTTCGTTAACAACGACCCTCGACTGAAAACTTTCGTTGTATGCTTTTATATCCAAAGTTCTATTTCTTAAGTTGAGACTATTCTTTTGTATAAAATAAATAAAATCCACTCCAATTATCTGCAAAAAAAATAAAATAAAATAAAGAATTATTTTTTTTATACATGATTTTAATGTGATTCTGTCGATCAAGTCATTGAACAAGTATTCTTCTTATCTTGTTTTGGTAAAGTAGTAATATCAACAGACTTGAATTAATTGGCAGATAGACCGAAAATTGTATTTTTCCCCTTGTCTAGAAGATTTAATGATAATAGGCATTTATTCAGTTCATACCAATCCACAACAATAAAAATTCTAAACATTATTTACTGGGCAAGTAATGCGGTAATATGTTGTTGATTCAGGAAAAATGAAGATTTTTTTGCAAACATGTGCACTGCTGAATAAACAGTGAAAGGTTGAATCACAGATAAGAAACTTGATATTTAATTTAACATAGTTCTTTGGTCAAAACCTTTTATTGTTCCATTATGTAATTCCTTTTTTTTCCATGCCTTCCATTGAGATAATTTATCTTTGTAATCTTGCAAATGGGGAGGGTGCTGTTTCGCTCTTTAATCAAAGGAGGAAACCAGTTTGGGACCAAGGTAAAATCTATTTATTCAACGCTGGGCTTTATAAAATAGCAGGAAGCTAATTCAAATTCACCAAGGGAGACAGATTTCTATTTTTTGTTGTTCGATTATTTATCGTGAATTGTATATAAACATTTAATAATATTATGAACCATTTCATTAACTGTTTAAATACACTGATGGCCAAATTTAACGCACCACTCAATTTATTTAGTTTACAATTAAATCCATTATCTTTCTACATTAGTTACAGGTAATTAGGAGCTATCGCAGACAAAATAAACAGTAAATAATGTTTTATTTTTTTGTTTACTTTCGTATTGATTAATCATATTTGCACAAGTAGCATTGTGCCATTCCATTTTACTACACCTAAAGATCTCTTTCAGATAATCTTTTTCCTTCGTTGTATTGTTGGCATTTGAGTGAGTATGACACTGTCAGGGTCACAACATTATTAGAGCCAGCATGAAGTCTGACTGAGAGTAAATCTTTCTACAATAGGAAGGGTTCTTTGGTGCTTCAGAAATACAAGGCTTCAGACTTGAAGGCCTAGACAGGGTCGACCTAGGTCTACAGGCAAGAGAGATTCACCACAGCATTTTAGGAAAAGAGATAAGAAATTTCATAAGAAAAGTCTGAAATGTTTCGATTTCCTCAAGGACTGTAAGAAGAAGGCTCAATGAAAATAAGCTCAGGCCCAGAACCCGCTCTTCTTACCAAATGAATTCGACATTGGAAAATTAGGGACAAGTTCTCTTTAGTCTTTACAGTTGAGGTGAGAGTTCAAATCTTCAGATGGCAGTAATTTCATATGGAGATGCCAGGAGAAAGGTATGTTCATGCTGTATGGTTCTTCATGTGGCTTTCATGACATCCTTGGATGCCCACACTGAATTGGTTGTTGTTGGAAGATCTCTAACTTCATAGAGGTACTTAAAAGACATAATAAGAACATGTAGTGCCATTTGCCCCTCACATCACATGAGAGATTCTTGCTAATGCATGATAAACCAAGATATTGTGGATATCGATCTGAATGAGGTAGGCATTGAGTGCTTGGTGTGGCCAGCTCGAAGTCCAGATTTGATCCCACCAACTTAAGTGACGAATACGATGATGAAACCCAGGTCTTAACACCCTAGAAGAGTTGGATAGGGCTGTTCTTGATGAATGGGAAAGAAATTATAAATAAAATCATGGGAAAATCAATAATAATAAAATCAATGGGAATGAAATATAAATTTATTGGCAGTGCATTTATTTAGCTATCAGTGTATTATTTATGAGCTGATTTAATATATTGTACAGTTCTTCTGTGTTAAATTGCAAAATAAAAGTATATTTACTGTTTAATAGTTACCACATGAATTTTTATTCATTCATACTGTTTTGGTATTTCACCATTTTTGGAAGATTCCAAAGAAATCACATAAAGTGAAGATAGCAAATCGGCAAAAAGTGTCTGAACTAATATAAATCAATGGGAATAGGAGGTACCTATCAAATAATATGTTTGTCACCGTACAAAAGGAAACCTCTTAATTTAAAAGTATATTATTTTAAATGTAAGACAATACTTGTCCATGTATATAACAAATTAATTGACTGGAAGATTATACCATATAAGAAAACAAAACATCTCAATGGGTCAATAAATTGAAATTTTAGTTGGAAATGATAAACAAAATGTATCAGATATCAGATATTTCAAACTGATAAATTTAAATTGTCTTACTGGCTTAAAAAACCAATTATTATGTTTTGCAAATTGATTAAAAAAATACAGTCATTGCTGTACACACTTAGTTTCCAGTTAGATTTATAATTTCCTATTTGGAGCATCATAAATAGACCACTGTGAAAAAGGGGATGATAAATAGAAATACATACATGAAAATGGAAATGTTTAGTTTCAAGTACTTAAGTTGGTTGCTTAGGGACTTGATTGAATTTCCAAAGAAGTCTCTTTAAATAAGGAAAAGCTTGATGATGAAAGGAAAGTATTTGACAAATTCAAAGTAAATGAAGATATGCAAATGAACAAAACTGAGATCCTTGTGATGAGGAATGAGTTTGTACATGAAAACCTAAAAGCTGTTGCTTTGACCCCCTCCTTCACCTACATTATATTACAGTAAATCATTCAGATACTCTTTTTAATGTATATGAATATGTGATAAACTAATGGATTAACTTTATGGCTAGTAATGAAACAGTATGGGGAACTTTATGAAACTTATAAATCAGCACTATCAGACCTTGATAAGTCTAAACTTATGGAGGTCGATTAGTCAGTAGTAATTACGTATTTCCCCTTTCCTCTTTTTAATTCAATAAATCTGAAAAAAAAAAAAAAAAAAAACTATTTACATTTATTAATAAATTCCAACACTTGTCGATCAGCAATAATTCAATGAATTGCTTAGCTGCTGGGGCAATAATAAATCAAGGATATTATTTGTATTAATGCTTTGATGGGGGGGGGGTATTTGACTAAATTGTCTTTATTAAAGAGAAATAAATAATTAAATTTAAAGAGTTTTATCGTAAATAATCAATATATCGGGGTCTAATATCATCACCCAAACAGTATTTAAAATCACATTTCAAAGATTTATTATATTATAAAGTAGATAAAAAATTTAGCTTTACAATGGTGAAATCAATTATGTGAATAATAGATTTGATGAGGTTAAATTAAACAATTAACAATTTTATGATGTTATAGTTGGAACTAATTTCATTTGCTTTTAAAATTTTGTTGTTGTTATATCAATTGTCAAAAATATCAATATTGTGCTCACTCACTAATCCAAACTAATCAATCACTGTAGGGGTATTCAGATTACAGAGCGTATTAAACAAATACTTATATATTTACACAAAAACAATTTCAACACAATTTATTATTATTGCATCCACAAAATTATAAACCTATTAGAATATACCGTCAACTTTTCTTTAAAAAATCTGTTTAAAAAATTTATTTAACATTTCCCTCATTGCTTCTTCTTCTTTTTCTCACAGTTTTGAGCAGTAAGTATAATATACTTAAAACAAGTAGTGAACGGAGGTGAGGGATTCATCGAACATAAATTTTTTTTGAAAATTTCTGTATCTACGCTGGTCTTGGACTTTTATATCATTCTCTCTCTCTCTCTTCCTCATTCACTCACTCACTAATGCTCTCCACTCACTCTTCCTCTCTTACTCTCTCTCTTTCTCTCACTCACACTCACTCTCTCTCTCTCTCTCTCTCTTCCTCATTCACTCACTCACTAATGCTCTCCACTCAGTCTTCCTCTCTTACTCTCTCTCTCTCTCTCTCTCATTCACACTCACTCTCTCTCTCTCTCTCTCTCTCTCTCTCTTCCTCAGTCACTCACTCACTAATGCTCTCCACTCACTCTTCCTCTCTTACTCTCTCTCTCACTCACACTCACTCTCTTTCTCTCTTCCTCATTCACTCACTCACTAATGCTCTCCACTCACTCTTCCTCTCTTTCTCTCTCTCTCACTCACACTCACTCTCTCTCTCTCTTCCTCATTCACTCACTCACTAATGCTCTCCACTCACTCTTCCTCTCTCTCTCACTCACACTCACTCTCCCTCTCTCTCACTCACACTCACTCTCCCTCTCTCTCTTCTTCATTCACTCACTCACTAATGCTCTCCACTCACTCTTCCTCTCTCTTTCTCTCTCACTCACACTCTCTCTCTCTCTCTCTCTCTCCCTCTCCCTTTCTATGAAATAATGTTTCCCTTAAAATTATGGCTTTTTGAATTTTTGTCCAGTTCGGATTACTGGAATGGAATGTTCCAAGTATCGAAGTTCATATAAGGGAGAGAGCTCTGCATGCTTATATTGGCCACGTTAGTGGTTCTGGGTTTGAATCCTAGTATAGCTCATGTAATTTTAATTGATAATAATTTAACAAAAAAACTGTAAAGTGGCTGGATTTCATGACCACAACTCCCAATGGTTTAGTTGGACATTAAGCCCGATTGTACGACAGGGATTACCTTATTTTATCAGCCTAATTCTTTTTACAAAAATGATTTTTAATAAAAATCGCTTATTTAAAGAATAATATTATTAAATAAAGTATTTGTTTAATTTCTGCTATAACATAACATATACAGATATTAAGAAGTAAATAGTAATATATAGAAGCAGTAGTTCGACACAAAATACAAGCAAATAATTCTATTTATCACTTTAAATATATAAATTAAATATTAAGTTTCTGTCAAAGGATAAAATTCATCTATTTTACAAAGCCCCAATGTAAGCAGATTATCGGTCTAACCTGGTAAAAAAATTACAACTGTTCAGTTATCTGTCAGAAAGGATCACATTCAATTTTATCGGTGTATGTCCTATAGTAAAATAATTTAAGTCATGTTTATGTTTGAAAAGGGACTGATTGATGAGGCGAGGGAATGAGGGAATTCAACTCAGGTAAAAATGAGAGGACTGGGACAAATATTTAATCAAAGCCTGGAAATATAGGTCATGTCTTAACTGTCTGTTCAACTCTTCACTGAGAACTTTTAAAAATTTTAACTTTAATTTAGCAAAGCGTGTAAAAGTTGTTCTTTTAAATATAAAACTGTTAAAGTCAATTTAGAATGTGCGACAGTATAAATCCTTGACAATAAAGGTTGGTATCCTTTCTTCTTTGCTCTACTCTTGCGTAAAAAAACTATTAATACATTTAATATTCTACAAGGAATAAACAGTCGTATTTTCAAACGCCCGATAAACGAAAAGGAAACTGTAAAGATTTCACGTCCGGCCGGCGAATGTTTCAGCAAAGGTGGAAATTCGATTCGGAAGCGAGCTCCTGAGTTCCTGGCTCGAGGAATGCCTGGACCCGCCAAGGACGACGAGGTGTGTTCAGCCGGGCCGCGATGGTGTAACGGGAAGTGGAGAAAAATCAATGACAGGAAAATATCTAACTTCAATAAAAGGGTATCGTGCAAAACAGCCTTACGTTTTGTAAGAAAGGAGGAAGTTTCGACATCTGTTTGAAAAATCCTTCACGCTTGCGTATTAATTATGGCTAGTTTTAATTATAAGTAATGCTGCAAAGGGGCAAATGCGGCTGCCGTTAAAATTTAAATAAAATTTTGCAGAATTTCTTAATCGTATAACATTTGCATAAAAAAGAAGAAAAATATACCCAAAATTAACATATGAAACTTGACTTTCTGACTTGTTCCTAACAGCTAGGACGTTCGCAAACACTTGATTTGTCAGAAACTCAATTTAGTTTTGAGCTTAACTTCAGCTTTTGTGTAATCTTAATCAATGTCAAAAAAAAGTTAAAACGGATACAAGGAAAATTTGGAAGAATTGCTAGCGAATGGCGTGCACGGTTTGAAAATATACAAAGTTTGAAATCAAGATTTTGTGATATTGAAAAATAGTCGTAAATTTCTAAAATACTTGTTTAAAAAAAGTAGGCTGGTGGAAATAATTACATATCAGAGATGATACAAATAGACCGATAATCGACTTCTATAATGGAATTTTGGAAACTAGTGCCAGAATCAACCAATATCCACACTTACAGAAAGCTGCTTTCCGTCTAATTTCAACTGTTTGTTTCAACTGTCAATCCATCAACTCCACGGGAGTTCGTGAAGTCGAACAATATCAACAGAATGTCAATATAACAACTTTAACAGATTTGATATGAAAATCTCAAATATTTGGCCAAAAGACTTCGTTAGATGTTATCTTTTTGAATATTTAAACAATATATAACGTAAGCTTTATAGCTTTTCAGATTAGTGTAGAATAAAATTACCTATATTAATTTAATTTAAATTTATATATTCAATACTATGTATAATTACAATAGCTTTATATTTTACACTAAATTATATTTTCAATCTAAGGTCTTGATTGAGATGAAAAAGACCTTATATTGAAAGTATAATTTATTAAAATCTTTAATACAGTCAATTGCGTCTGTTAAATACATATATAGCTTTTATATTTTACAATATATATGAAAATGGAATGCGGCTCTCATTGACCTCAAGCGAGCCCATCTCTTTATATAGAACACCCAATGAATGAATCATAGCACAACTCAACAACCAACGAGGCTAAACCAAGCTGGAAACTACAGCCAATAAAACTGAAAAGTTTTAATTTTAGACAAAAGTGTTATTTAATTTAAAATCTGCAAATTCCTATATAAATTGATAAAAGGCTTCAAACGATATAAAACTAAACGAAAATGTCGTCCGAACTTTCACCTATTGCCAAAAGGGATTTTCAACAACAATAAAACATTTGAGAAATAGATTTTGATTTTGTCTATCTGCTGAGGCCATGAGTTTTTCGCATCGACACGATAACCGGCCCTTACAGATTAAATGACTCATAGTGCTACTAATTTTGATGTCAGGCAATGCTGTTATGCTTTTAAAACATAACAACCGCGTTTAAAGAAGGTGGGGCAACGAGAGAATAGATCACGCTACGAATAGATTTCGTTGGATCAAAATAAGCATTCTGAATGTTTAAAACCCAGAAAAACAAAATTAACCTATCTGCGGGATTTATATCTATTTGCGATAGTCATTTATCGTTTACTTTTCATAAGGAAAATTTTTTGAATGATGCCAATTTTAAAAGGAAAATCATTTTGATTAACTGCAAAGTGTTCGTCATATGCAAAGGTATCTGTTATCTGAAATACTTTAGCGTTAAAAAAAATGCATTTCATTTCTCATTTAAAATTTATTCTACCAAAGGAGTGATAAACAAGGAAAGAATGCAAATTAGGACGATAAGAGTGAGAAGTGTACGTGCAAGGACAACATCCGAGATACACTAACAAGAAGAGGAAACGAATAATTGCTATGGCAGTTTGACCACTTAACAACGTTATACGGGCAGTCATAATTCGAATCTTCGAGCTATATCGGGATTAGTGATGAAATATTTATTTAACGAACTTTTATGAAAAATGTCTTCTCATGAGCACTGACCAGAAATACTTATAATTGTGTACAAAGATTATTGGGTTGTCCCACATGAAACGTCCATTGAAGATGGTTTTCTGTCAATTCCCAGCAAAATATTAACGATCTTTTAAAAACATTTTTAATCTATTTTACAAGTTTTTTTTTCTAAGCAGATATTCAAATTTTAGTTTAATTTTAAACGTGACAATGGGAACACGTAATTTTCTATAATAGTTCAAATTAGGTCATTCTGCTGCCAATGCTGCAAGGAATAATAATCGGGTTTTTGTTAGGTTTGGAAAGTTTTCTTCAAGATCTATCCATGAACTACGGAAGACCTTCAACGTCAATCGATGGCGAACTTTGTAAGAAAGCTGTAGAAGAAAATCATCAAAACCTTCAAAGAACTTCCGCTTAACTGACACTAGTTTTCAAACGCTTAAAAATAATCGAAAAAGTTAAAAAACATTCGTTGGATGTCGAAACTTGGAGACTAATCACTTGCATGGTCCGTCTATTCTCGCTCGTTTTTAACTCATACGTGTTTTTCAAGCCATTTTCAGTGAGGAAGTGATTCAAAATTCATTTTCGACACGTACGCGACATTTACGCGTCGTAAAATAAAGATTTCTTGGGATTGTGACAAAATGCGATGAAATACGGGTCATTTATAACAATTAGACGCTGATCGGGTCAGTAGTTACATGTCGATCAGTCTGAAGTAAATTTTAAATTTAGTATATTCTAACTAATAGAGAAATGAAAAGTATTACCGAGTGCAAGAACACCAGGAGTAACGGCAAGAGATTTGAGTTCCTCTGCTTGAATGTCAAAAAATGAGCCAAATCTTGGGTGTTGTGACGAAAAAGCATCATTTGTAACAATTAGACGCTGATCAGGTCAGTAGATAGATGTCGATCAGGCGTCTGGTCACTCGAAAAAACAGAATCTTAATCGAAATCAAATAATGGTTGTGTGTTGGAGGTAATCCATTTGCTTTAAATATCAACCCGACGTACTGCGACGAAATCGACCGGAAGAATTGAAACATATCAAGAAATAGCTGGCAAAAATTAAAGGAGCTTGGCTGTAAAATCATACTTATCCTACTCTCCATCAGGATACATTTTCTTTCCTTACTTGGATAATACGTGACGAAAAATGATGAAATGAAGTGAAAAAAAAAGAACGATCATATTGACAATCGAAGGTCAGAAGTTAGATGTCGATCTGCATGGTCTACACGACTAAACAGAATATAATTCTTCTTTTAAATATCATAAATGAAACCGTTAACAGCCAAAATATTGTTGTAACGCAATAAAATTTGATTGTAAAGAAAGTTGGAATTGTTGAACAGGAAATGCCATGATGTTTGATCTTGGAGTTTGGAATCCTACCTAATTCTCGTATATCCTCTTTTTGTCGGATAACTTTCCGATAGATAACTTTATTCCAGTATTGCAAATACAAACGGACATTAAAAAGCTTTTTCAACTTTCTGTCCAATGAACTGGGCATTTAATCGGTGTCAACACAATAAATCAGCAAGGAATCGGAATCCCATAAAAATAATAAGCGTCCCTGTTACAATGTGAGAGAGACATTTTTAAATTGGTAATGTTTGTCCGGTACGCTCAGTAATTTATAATGTTCAGAAAAACGAAAGCGTTATGATAATTAATAGAAAGCCAGAATAAAATTGCATTGTCAGTTCCTGCTGGCTTTTCAACACAGTCCAACAACAATCCTCGATACGAAGAGGGCCAGATTGTTGGTGGAAAAGTGATTTTCTCTAATTCTTCTCAATGCACTGACCTTTTTCAATAAATACGGAGCATCGACGTGAAGCTTGCATCTCCTTTCTGTCACTCTCAGCGAATTATCTGGCGAATAAGTTTCTGATATGATATCACAGTGGGCGACAATAGGTATCTGAGGGCAGCATGGAAACCTTCTTTCGTAGGCCTGGAAAAATTAAAAAAAGTTATGAGATAACGATTAAAAACAACTTATAAATAAATGGGAATGACAGCAACGAATGATGAGTTAATATTTGAACAACTCAAGGACAGTTTGACCTTTGAATGATTTATGATTAATTATGATGCACTGTTGGATTTTATCTTGGATAATTTTACAACCAGAAAAAAAAATATTGGACAACTCCGTGGAATATTTTCTAAAGGTTGTTTATAAAACAAGGATTTTTCAAACTCCAAAACATGAAAGTCAAATTTGATAAATACCCGCAAAAAACAAGATTAATTTATTTAACCAAGCAATAGTTTTAATTGATCAGAATTTTCTTAAGAATAATTTTTCTTTCATTTATTAGCTACTATTTGAGAAACCGAAAACGAGAATATTTTATCACAATAAAGATAAACATAGATAAAGGCAAACATTAAGTTGTTAGTTTTACTAATTTTCCTAAAGTCCAACATATACAGGATGTTTTGTTCATTTGGATTTTGATCGGCGTAAAAGCTCTCGCGTATCAAGAGCACGATAGGTGGTCCTTCTAGGTGATCTGACTAGTAGAAGGGTCATCCCCATCCGATTAAGGATAGGGCATACGGGATTGACACAAAGACACATACTTTTTGGCTAAAGGCCGCGAATGTGTCCGGTGCAGAGAAATGTGACTCCATATAGAGAGCGCGTAAGAATGCAACCCGATATGAGAATTGTGCTTAAGCACGGCAGCGATCCGATTCTTGGAGAAACAGAGTTGTTTTATTGTATATAGTTTTATGCCCCTAGTGTGATGAATGTGAACGTATTTATTAGTGTGAATGTGTAGTGTAATAGAATAGAATATAATGTATTTAAGGGTGAGTGAGTGTGAATTGGATCTAGGAACTGCAGGGATTGGGTGCTGAATTGACCTAGTTGTTGACAGCACTAGGAGCCCAACCTCAGCGGATGAAGGGATAAGACCAAAGACAACCAACACCCGTGGTGGGTGAGTCTCGAGGCATGCCTGAGAATAAGTTGTAAATTACAAAGTTGAAATTTGTCGTGAACTGCGAGAAGTGATAGGCTGAACTCTGCAAATGAGAGTGTTAAGTTTTATAAATCCAAATCCAAATTATTTGGAATTTGGTACTTTGACCATCTGACTATCATGGACTGATAAATGACACGTTAATGGTGCGTTTCATAAAGTGGCGAGGTTGTTCAAAATAAGTAATTTTCATTGGAAAAAAACAACATTTTACAAATACACCGTCTGACTTTTTAGTGTTTAACGCTAATTATCGCCTGTAGCTATAACACGATTTTACACAACTTGAACCACAAGAAAATCATTGATAAAAATTGAACTTACTTGTTTTAGTATCTGGAAGGGAACATTTATAATTTAAACTTGGTTCGATCGACCAACTGCGAACGGGCTGTTGTGTAATTTTCCATTTCGGACCACAATCGACTTACACCGCACCGCGTAAGACGCAACCGCTCTGGCCATAACATTGGATGAAATCGACTACATTCAAGCAAACTATAAAATATTACAGTTTAGTCGATGAAATGATACGATAATTTGATCATTTCAGGATCAGATTTGCACCCAGTGGTGCTTGTTTACGGTAGTCAGTCATGTGCCACCCAGGAGAGTGGACGAAAAATGTATCAATTTATAATTCGATCTGTGGAAAGAGTAAAAGGGCATAAAAATCGCTTAAAACAATTGCCGCACTGAACGCAAAATGTCAGAGGGGGAAAGTTGTGCAGGTATGGACCGTGAAGCAATTCTGTTCCTTTGACTCTGGAGGATGTGAAAGGGACAGCGATTCATTTCGGACATTCCTTCACGGTCCACGTTACTTCTAACAAAAATTACTAAAAAAAGCTAAAACTTTTAACCCTCAAATTTTTACAGCTTAGTAGAAAAAGATCATCGACTGATTTTTATGCCCTTTTGCTCTTTCCACAGATCGAATTATAAATTGATACATTTTTCGTCCACTCTCCTGGGTGGCACATGACTGACTACCGTAAACAAGCACCACTGGGTGCAAACCTGATCCTGAAAATCTGACATAACTCTGACACTCTGACATAAAAAACCCAATAACATTCCCAATAAAAATTAAAAAGAAAAACTTATCTGGATCAAGGAGTATCGTCGAGTAGTGCGCGAAATGAACGTCTTCGGCAGGTCGGTGTCAACCAACAGACGCAGCGAAAACAGACGGACCCGATTAACTACGAGTTCTGTTTATAAAAAAATCCTCTTGGAACAATTGCGAGTAAAAGGGGATGATTGCCGTTTTTCGTCGCGTGCAGGTACGCATCTGCTGTTAAGCATAGCGTGAATACCAAGAAGGTATCGTGCTCGTGATTTAACGCAAAGGGCACAAGAACACGAACCACGGCATTTCATGAATCGAAGTTACGTTCGGAGTAAACTGCTTCAATAAACCATTTATTCTCCATTTACCAATTTGCCTTTTCGACTTGGGGTAAATGGACAACTGTGGTCAGTTTATCAGAGCTTTCGCTGCTTAGGAAAACTACAATAAGAGATCTCTCTGCATTAAATTATTGTTATTAGTTCAAATGAGCTACGTTAAATGAATTTTGTACCCCTGCTGTATCTGAAGGTTTATGATTTACAGGCAAATGGTTCAAATCAGGTGGGATGGGAACACTAAAATAACAACCATAGTGATCTCCACAAAAGAAAGTTGAATATTTAAGGAGTTGTACAATACAAAACGCTTTGCAGGTAAGAACCTTATCAATTAGCAATACTGCTCAGGATGTACACGACGATAAGACCCATCCCCACATTTGGTGCAATTGCCTGGGCAAATACAGTCAAGCTAACTGCGAAATATAAAAAACTCGAAGGACAAAGAGGCTCTCGGGTGTTACAGATGTTTACGTTTAAACAAAACCTCCAGACCAGCCGCCAAAATTGTGTGGGATTTCCTTAATGTAGATTGACGTTAATTGGGGAAAACGTCTCGGTCAAGGAAGAAGCAATCTGTGTGATTTCTCTCTAATGGCCTGATGAGGATCTAAGATGTGATTAAACGTGATTAAAATGTATTTTGGTCGTGATTAAACTAATTTAATCTGTGGATTTGTTAATGAAGTACCTAAAGAGTTTTGTGTTATGGCAAAGCATAAAACGGGACTATTCTACTCTTTCACGAATGGAAGCTCATTGCCATTCTGGTCGACCGAAAATGGCAAGCCGAAACGCAAACCAAAATCGTTAAAAGACGGATGTAGAACATAAGAAAGCAAAGAGGCAGTAGCAAGTCCTCGGGCGTGTACATCAATATATTTCCAATCCGAACAATGTTTACACCTGAATAGAAACATAAAAATAAAGATATAGCTATCATATCAGATAGCTTAACGGCCATCAGACCACCGTGCTCTATCATTATCAGCTCGAAGATGTTTTAAAACAGCTACTATGGGTTCCCGGGCTTGCATTTGTTGAGGGAACGAAGAAACGGAATTCTCTTGCAAGATCACACCGCTAACAAACCGAATCCTTCTGCAGGATATGATTTCATACTGAAGAAAATAACTTGAGGGTAGAAGACAGATAAGAATTAGATCTGTCGGTAGACACAAACAATCCAAACATCTTATAGGATTTGAAAGTAATGAATTACAGAATATAAAGTATAAAGTCTACCATGAATCTGACAAACTTGCTTGTGATCAGCACGAGAAAATGTTATGAGATTTACGACAAAACCGTAGCAAATGGGCCCATTAATCTAAACCCTCGAAGAATTAGGACCGATCCATGGTAAGAACAAAAAAAGAGGGACTCGACAGCTTTTAAAAGGTGAAATATAAAGCCTAGCTTCACACTGTCAATCATGTTTTGTCTGTCAACAATGTTCATATGTTGTTCAACAGCACCAAGTAGAAAACGTTGACCTTTTTAGAAGCACAGTTCATTCATAGATTAGTTTGAGATCTGTGATTACCTAGACTGATAATTTAAATATTTCGCCAGGAGCATCTAAAACTTCAAGGTGCTAAGGAAAAGTGATAGTTCACCGAAGAGTATCCTCTTCGAAACTACATAGAATCATATTTCTAAAACCAGCTCAGTTTTTATCTTTGTCCAAAGGTCATTGCTAGCACTTTCCATCAGTGCGTTTTTCCTTATTCATCAACTTCTTTTCTTCAAATTCCTGTAATAGCCTTTCTAGACATGATTATCGTTTGAGAAACGCAGAAACACTGACGTCTGTAGTAGAAACAATGTACAACGGTTCCATCAGAAACTATGTTTTACAACTGTTACGAAACAATGTTCAATATCGTCCAGAAACATTGGTTACCTGTCTGGGCTAAGCTTAACATAACTCCAATCAATCAATACGCCTGTTTCTAAAGTTCTTCACCTTACATAAGGCCACTATTACTTAATTTTACTCTATTTATTATTATGTTTACAGGCAGTCAAAATTAATTTTTAATAATGAAGTGGGATTACACGAGATAATGATCCATTTTTCATTCAAACATCTAGGAAGTTCAACGTTAACATTTAACTCTGGTTTGCTATGGAACTACTTTCTAAACGGGCTGAAAAAAATGCCAAAAATTGCCCAATTGTTTGTTTTTTTAAAAAACGTTTCTATAAGATATGAGAGGCTGGAAAAACTTTCCACTCTCCTCGGCCGTTTATCTATCTTCAGAACGCGTGAAAAATTGCGTGGAATTTACTTAGCGTCTGTATCCCAGACAGCTTCTTCTGCTGGTTCTCCATTTCGCATTGAATGAGGTTGAAAGTTTTCTGCCGATTTCACTTTGCCTGTTATCGTCCAATAATGCCGTTAGACCGGCGGTTCCTCACCTATCAGAATGAATCACCACGATATCCGATTGTTTTGCCATTCCTTTTTAATTTTATCTTTCGTATGCAGATAGACAATTCAATTAAATCGGATTTTGAATTTTAAAAAAAGAACAAGAAACCCCGCGATCCTATTCAAGCAACAAAGATTACTAGAACGTTCGTCTCGAGACAAAGGTCTGACGCAACAGTCGTAGAATCTTGTCGATCAAGGCAGATAATCAATACCATAATTTACACTGGGAACAGATAAGCGATTCCTAACATTCTTGTCTAAAATCGTGTCATTGAAACATAAGTTATCATGGCTGGTAATGGCCCACATAAAAAAAAGAAACAATTGTATCATCTACTCTAAATTCGGGGTTAAAGTCAAGTATAGCTTGCATTTTCTTTATTTTGGACAATGTCACTTGGCAATTGTAAATTCGACATGATATGAAATACTTGATAAAAAAAAGAAGAGATCAATTTTGGGACAAATGTTTTATTTGAGCAATTTCCGTTCTCTTGTTCGAATTTTCAAGTTTTAATCGCTATAGTGGATTATTTTACGAAAATGCAACTCTTGATGATGGTGATGAGGCTACAGGGAAGCGGGGTTTGTACTCCCCAGGCATAGCAGCCTTCTGGCTTATGGATAGACAACTCTTAATAAATTAAAAACGACCAGAATTGATGAGACACGAGACAATAATAAAATCGCCTCAAGAAACGATAAAATGGACTGGCGATAAAAACATCGTTAATGGCAGTCCAGAACATATCACGAAAACAGGGGTCAAAATAAAATTCCAATTGGTAAATTTATAAACAAAATACTGTACCCAATAAATATAATAATTTTAACAAATAAATTTGTCAAAAACATAGAAGACGCAGGACAATATTTTTCTTACTAAGAGTTGTCCTCGTCAACTTCACATAGAAAAAAGTAAAATAGACTTAATTTTTAGTCAATAAACTGTCATGATTGTTACTGTAGGAAAGAGGCTACTGGCTTCGTAAAGATCAAGTGTTGAAAGAGCGACTTTAATTTAAGGCAACAAAACGAAGGAAAAATAATTTTGTCTTTCGACATTCGACAGCACCATTCGTTCATTTTGTCCATTTAAGCGTACATACCAACGGCTCCAGTGCCACTTAAAAGGCATTTAATTCCGACTTTTTTTCATTCGCCTGGGCCAATTAATTATTGCAAAAACGTTCAATGCACGTGGGAAAAAATTTCAGATTATTTTCGACTGGTAAAATTACAAACAAAATACTGAACAACAAAATGGTAATAATTCCTCATATACATGAAAGATTGAAACATTTCAACGTCGGACATTTTTTTTTTACTCTTGTTCTCAATCCTTAACTTTGTTATACTAACAAATATCTACAGAAGAACGCTGAAACACTCGTTCGATGTAAAGAAATATTTCCTTTTTTTTTTAAATTTATTTACTTGAATGTATATAAAATGAAATCTCATCTCTACTTCAAACAATAAACTTACACCACAATGGCTTATCATGCCAATTTGCTTCTGCTACAAATTGTCATCCTAAGAAGCGGAAGATCAATAAAAAAAAGAAGATTAATTGGCGCTTTACAGTTTAAAAAATTACAAACATTTTAATACATCACCCAATTTATTGTTATATCTATCTAAATAACTACAATATTTGTTAGTTAATGGTAAAGAATGTCAACGTACAGAAGCATTATCTCACCTCACATGCCAGATAAGGAGGCCATGTCATCATTACTAAAAATTGTTTGAAGTTGTATTTTTTTATATTTAACTTTTGGCCAATAAACATCTTTTTTATTACTTTTGAAAGAAAAAGTATTATATAGAAAAATATAAAATATTAAAAATATAATGTATTATACGAAATCTAATGGATTTAAAATATATAATTGAATTTTAAAACAATCAAAAATTAGTACCAAAAAAGAAAATGTGTAATTTGTTTCATAAATATACTCAAATACAATTGTTGCAAATTAGAAAAAGAAATCTACGGACAATATTTTGATATACCTGATTCCTTAACTGCATTCTTAAATGCAGATTAATGCAATTGTCGTTTGAAGTAAAGAATTTTACTTTTTACAAATGACTTTAAGACAACACGAAACAACTTTATTATAGTAAAAAGTACTGAATATAATTAAAATACCGAATAAAATTTTCAAACACTTCAACAAAGAAAAGAAATTTGTCTTTCGACATTAGCACAATTCGTTATTTTTGTCAATTTAAACCCGCATACCAACCGCTCTATTGTCTCTTTTTTTAAAATTCGGATTGTAAAAAAATATTATGTTGGGGGCTTGTTAAATGTACTAAAATGTTTAATGCCAGTTCGAAAAATATTTAGTTGTAAAATTTTCAAATTGAATCCTGCCTTTGTATTACAAATTAAAACGCATTTTAAGTGTCTCCGGAGTCGTTGGTATGCGAGTTTAATAGACAAAAAGAAGGAATGGTGCTCATGTCGAAAGACAAATTCCTTTCTTTGTTGAATAGTTTACAAATTTCACTTGGTATTTTAATTATATTCAGTACTTTTTATTATAATGTAGATGTTGCTTGACTAAAAAGTCGTTTATGAACAAAATTCTTTACGTCGAACGACAATGGCTGTCAAGACAAGGGCTATCACGGTCGATAAATATTGTCCGTAGATTTCTATTTCTAATTCGCAACTTGTTCCTGATGTTTTGACGATATTTATTGAACAAATTACTTTTTTTTTGTACAGCTCAGTATTTTTTCGTTCGCAAACGAATTGAAAGTTTTTGAACAATTCCTCAGAATAAAAATTTTGAAAAGTCCAATAAAAATTAAAATGTCTTAAGTAACAAACAAAGCAGTTGGTGTGCACGTTTTGACAAAAAGAAGGATGGTGATAATGTCGAAAAACAATAATTATTTTCTCTTGTCCTTGTTGATCATTTTATAGTCATTTTTCTTTAAATCATTTACATTAAAAAAATCTTTATATCAAACAATGGCATTGTTGTACCAATAATGGTATGGTGAGGGATTGAGGACTATCATGGTCCACAAACTATTGTCCATAGATCAAACATTTCTAATCTGTTACTTGTTCCCGAAGTTTTTGATGATATTTATGGAACGAAGTCAATGTTTTTTATTTTGTACAGCTCAGTTTTTTTTTTCTTTCAGCAAACGCATTGAACGTTTTATTCTTTAGAATAAAAATGTAAAAGTCCCATTACAGATGTAGATGCACGTTTAAATGGAAAATGTTGAAAGACAATTATTTTCTCTTTTCCTTGCGGAACTTTACTAGATCATTATATTATATTGTTTTCTAGCCAGTAATTTTTCCTGTAATAATAATAAAAACCAAACAATTTATACAAAATGTCTTTACGTATAAAAATTGGCTGATAGTTGCCAGAAAATCGTTCCGTTTGTCGTTTATAAATTTAATAGATGGAATTTACGTATAAATCGTTTTTACAGGGTTTTTATTTTAAAAAAATGAAGAAAAAAAGAAAAGCTTCTAATTAAAATTTCTGGTGTACTCGGAGGCGTTGATATATGCGTTAGCCAAAAAATAAAAAATAAAATAAAGCTGTTTACGGTTTTATTGTTTTAAAATGTAATCCTTTTCTTATAAGATTTTATCTTTTTGTAGTTTGTACTCTTTTCTATAGTAATAATAAAGATGTTTATCGACTAAAAGTGATTTAGAATAAAAAAATAATACTAGGAATAAACGTAAAATGTTGAAAAATCTAACGAAATTTTAAGACAATCGAATAGAGAAAACAATTCGTCTTTCGACATTTGTACCATTGTTAGGTTGTTGACCATTGGTTGTGCATACCAACGGCTCTGGAGCCACTTAAGACATTTTAATCGGTCTTTTTTTAAACTGTTGTTGTTATTCTGCGTGGATCGGTATTTGTTCAAAAAAACGTTCAACGCGAGAAGCCACGATATAAAGCCGTGGACGCGAAAATTTAGCCAGATGACGCGTTGACCCTGGGCAAAATTTCTCTGACTTATCGCGAACCGTCGCGGATAAATTTTTTTTAATCGTTTCCAAGAGCGAAAAACTACGGCGACGGCGGATCCAAGGGTCAATCAATCGCAAAGGGGTCAAAAGTTGAAAGAATCCGTGGTCGTTCCCCTCTCACCAAGGGGTCTTCTTCTGAAGTTGACACTGAATTGTCGCCCCACGGAAGAAGGCGATATTCAATATCAACATGTGGCCCAGCTAACGTCATTTACAAACGTCAATCGATAGAAGGCTGAAAATGACATTTTATTTTATTTTTTATCCGGGCGGTTTTTAAAAACGATTTTTTGTCTATCGTCGGTTTGCGTTCCGCTGCAATTTTTTTGAACAAATTGTCGACTGACTTGTGTACAAAAATGCTTGCCTTTGTGTTGATTTTTTAAATAAAATCGTTGACCCCTGTGACTGTTGAAAATATGCGGCAGATAATGAACGTCCGTCTCCAGGGACGCCCGGACGAGTTTAAAAGGCGATCCTTATCCGCCGAAGGTCCCCATCAGACGGAAATCCGGGGCATACAAGGCGACGGCGTTCACCACACACACACAAAAAATAAAAATAAAATACAATAAAAAAAAATCCTCTTACCTTCATGACGAGTTCGAATGGGTACTTGTACACCCTGACGGGCGACTGGTACTTCTGGACCATTTTTGCGGATCGTCTTCAGGGGCTGTCCGGGAGCATAACGCGTCGGCCGGGTCGTGGGAAAGAGAAACGGTCGGATTTCGGCTTTCAAGTCAGGCAGGGCGAGAGTTTCTCTTCCACGGGCCGGGACGTTTTGAATCGCGTGCTGAGAGTCGACGGCGTTCTGCTGCGGACTGTCTCACTCTCATTGACCCGGGGCAGAGTCGGAAACGAGCCCTGTGAAAGGACGTCAATCGCCTCGACCCCAGCGCCCCTACCACGCGCCCGCAACACAATTCCACTTAATACTTACATCTCATTCATTTCATTCTACTAAATACTGACTACTAACACTACTAATGCAAAAAAAATTGCGCATACACCACAAAAAATATAGCAAATTTAGCTTTTTAATTAGTCCTCAGACAAACCAGTCCAAAGTGCTCCATCCAACATCCATTATTTAACTCCCCACATTTTTATTATTATTTAACGATGTACTGTCATAAATCTATTTACAGAAGTAAAATGAAATAATACTAATTGATATTAATCCATTTAAGTTTAGTGGTCTAATTGTCCATGTTAATTATTTCAATTAATTATTCTTTTTATGTAAGGACTTGGTTGAGATGAAAATAGAAAAGAATAATTAATAATAAAAATATAAAATATACTATTATAATTTGATGATGTCTTGATCTGTTACTCACAAAAAGATACACAGTTCAAATTATTTTTTATCTTGATCTCTATTCCACGTACAGACAACCAAAAACACACTTTTATGAAATTTATACTTTTACTTTTATTAATTTGTTAACACTTTTTGAAAAATATTTGATGGTTTTTGTATTTTTAAGTCATAACAGTTGACGAGGGGGAGTGGGCAGCACCATGAAATCGATACTTGTTTAAAAAATAAAGAATANTATATATAATCAAGATGAGATAATATACTTTTTACGCAGTTCAAGTTAGATCTTCTAAATAAGAACTGCAACGAAAACTCACTAACGGTCAACTTATCCAAAACGAAATTTGTCCTGTTCTATAAAGGTAGAAAACCAAATAAAATTAACAAATCTTTAAAGAAATAGAAACAGTTGGCTCATACTGTTCATCTTGAAATTTTTTTACATCATATTGTAAATTCACTAAAGCTGATGAGTAGAGAAAGAGTCAAGGTGTGGCGGTGTCTGCAAAGGCGAGGGAAATCCTTTACAGAGGTGTTGGCTTTGGAAAATAAATCCAAATCAGATTTGATAAGATTCTCTTGCAACTACCTAAAAAACCCACCTGACACTGTAGTTATACTGTAGACGGGGAGAACACCACTACAAGTCCAAATATTTAAAACAACCCCCATTAATTGGTGGATAAATTTGCTTTCCATGGAAAATGACAAGTTGCCCAAATTATGTTATCATAAGGACCAATGATGACATAAGAAAAGCATTATTAAACTATTATTATGTTATCATAAGTTGAATGATTTGATTTTTCACAAGAAAATGCCCTACAATTGCTGCAATTATTTGTTTAATAGTTCAACCATGATTTATAAATTTTTATTTCTCCTTGTCCTCCTATATGTCATATTCGCTGGCTTGAATATATTACATCTTTCATCTGACATAACTTCCAAAGCTTTTTAACATGATTAAATATACATTTGGAAACACTACCCTATGCTTTTTGATTTATTATTATCACTATGAAAATGGTTTTGATATAAATAATTATTTATTCTTTAGGAGTAGCCATAACATACCAGATAATATCTACATGATGTTTTAATATATTCATCACATAAACAGACATAATACAAGCTGAATTTGATTTATTTCCAATGTATTAAATTGTGGTACATTATTAGTTTCAAAAGAAAGTACAGTTGTTTGTTTATACATAAAAATTGATGATAAACTGTAAAGGTCATTTTATGTCGATCCTGATCAGGCCAGTTAAGAATTATTAGTCGTAGTAGTCATTGACTAACTCTTCTAACATTGACACAAATTTCTGATAAGTGGTGTCTAAAAATAAACAGTAATGAACTTTCTTTATTGGAGGGGTTTTTGATGTCTTGTTGTCGAACATAACACAATAGTGCCTGTGTACGGGTTCAACATGATGACAATATAATTTAACACAATATCACAGGCGATCTGTACAATTTGTCAAGACATCATCAATGACTAACTACAAGTTTGAATTCTCAGGCAATTTTGAGCTCACCTAGAAGAATACAAATAATATTGATCAATACATGCTGGATTTCTCCCTGAAAACACTATGCAATTGAAATGAGCACAACTTGCTTGTTGTTGTTGGCAAACATTGTACTTAGGAAAACATTTGGGCTAATGTCTACAATTTATTTTTACGATGCTCTAAGGGGATTAAGAATAGATTTATTAACTGCAATGTAATTATTTAATCTATCAAACTCCCAGCTTTGTTATAAAGAAAATGAAGATGTGATATTGTTGCAACAATCCTGTGAGATAGGTTGTAAAGATTAAATATGACTTATCTTCCTAAATGATATGTGACTATAGAATTACATCAAACATTTGTTTTGCAAGCGAATAATAGGAAGGTATAAGATTTTGTAAGGCGACTGTAATGCCTAGGTAAATATATGAAGAGAAATAATGGAAAATGCCAGTTAAAAGAAGTGAAAGGTAAAGTTAAAAAGTTAAAAGTAAAACTAACATAAAGGTGTACTTCCTTGGGTATGGGATATCCAACCAATTTTAAGTTACAGTGGAATAAAGGAAACTAGAGTCAACGGTCATCCCAAAGCAAAAAATATGTAGGCAATGAAGCTCCTCTCAAAATTATTCCAACAACTTGGTTTTGAAACCTTTCCTGCTTAGCTATAAGATTTTCTAGTATTTAAAATTAGTTTTTATTTATGCTGACATACATTGTAATGGAAATCTTGGAAAACTAACAAACTAAGTATGCTGGGATTTTTCTAGACATAGAAAAGGCAAGAAAAAGCAAAATATGTTGATATGTGGGGTATAAAGCTAAATACTGAATCAAAAGTTGACAATTTTTTTTCATCTGTCATACCTTGAATGTGTTGGGTCTATTACTTCATTTTGTGTTTCCCATTGGACAGAATACTCACTCTTTGCACAACTGGGTTTTTCTAGTAGACATAATCAAAATCAGAAAAGGAAAATTACAATACATGATTGAAATAAAGAATCAGTGTCAAATTTGTCACTAAACACTCCTCTGACGATTGGCTAAAAGATCAAAGAAAATCTGAGACAAAAACAGACATCACCAAGATGGTTTTCTTATTAAGCTATATGTTTATCATCAAGCCATCAGTGATAGTTTGGACAAATTATTGATGGCTTTGTTTAACTCAAAAATATTAGATGCAATATTCCCTATATTTAATCAATTTGGCGCCAGTAGGATAAGAAGATCAATAGTCACAGAAATAAACTCTAACTTTGACTATTCTTTCTGCTAAGCAACAAAATCATTATTTGTTCTAATGGTTATACTCAAGTTAAAAATACAATGCTATTGTTGACTGATGCATTAGAATAGCAAAACTTTTGACTACTGCCATGGTATGTTGCCAAAATTACTTGACATACTTATTTCTAACTGGATCCTTTAAAAACTATTGTCAACATCAATCAACTATGGAAGGCCTTATAATTATCTGGCTATACAACAATAATCATTGAAGTACGTTTGTTCCAAAGCTGTTCTGTACTCTTTTTTATTTTAAGCCCTAAATTACGTATAAAGGAAATTATCTATGCAATGGATCTTGTGCTTTATCCTAACATAAATTCCATACATATAACTGTCATAACTATAGTATTTTAAATTAAAATGGTACTGTTTTCTTTTATTAATAAAAACAAATACAGTAAGAATTTTTATTGCACTTTGTACAACATATCAGATCTTATTTAAAAGTTTAATAATAAGATACATTCCACATAATACAAATCATACTGGATTCATCTAGGAAGGCATTCAGTGTTTTTTCTCATTAATGATCCAGTAACGAGATTGACTAGATTAATTAATACTACTTACAAAAACAAAAATGACACATATAAATAAATAACATTTTGACTAGGATATTATGACTAGATTACAATATTAAATTAATTATACACATTTCATTACACTTAAATTTTAACAAAACAAATATGAACAATTAATAGCCTTACAATAATACAACATTAATTAAATGACTTAGTTATTGTGCAGTTTCAGGATGATTTGTTTTTAATTTAAATTGTTTACTTCATAAAAATGTATAATAATGGCTAGACTTATCAGTCTTCAAGTTCTTAATTGTGTGCGTTGAAAATTAAAATTATCGACTCGTATTGACCTTAACAATAAAGTCTGTTAGCTGAATAAAATGTCAAAACATGTAAAATAAACATTTGTTTATTTCAAAAAAGAAATTCAGACCTGTTGAAAGGGGATGTTATTTCTAAAGGGTTTCAATCAAAAAGGTATTAGGTGACGGTGGAATGAGAGTTTACTCGGACTCATATCAATATTGGCTAGAGGTTCTAAAATCACAATACCACTAGATAAGTAAACCTTGAGTACTTTTTGTTCATTTGGCAAAAGGAATTTTAATATGATTAAAAGATTTGGAAAATATCAACATTTCCAGATGCAAATCCCGATGTTACCCCCAAAGAATAGATACAGGAGGGACTTGCACTCATACGAGATGTTGAAGCCAAAACCTTCACCGACAACAGCATGCCACGAAGGCCCGAATTTCTGATCTAAATTGTCCTTTATGACCTTGGCAGCCATCTGAAAAAGAACGAGTTACTTTGTTACACCAATTATGTAAAATATAAATAATGTTCGGTGTTTAGTGACCGTTATTTAATGGTTATTTGGAGGTCGTGGACCAGACCGCATCTCTTGACCTCCAAATAATAATGTAAATAACATTGATAATCATGTATTTTGGCCATTTCAGATCATCAGTGGTGGTGGTGGTGTGTGTGCATGCGGGAGGGGAAGGAGAGAGAGAGAGGGAGAGAGAGGGAGAGGGAGAGGGAGAGGGAGAGGGGGAGAGAGAGAGAGAGAGAGAGAGAGAGGGAGAGAGAGAGAGAGGGGAAACGGTGGAATCCACACACTGTACACAAACAATCCAAAACCCTTATACCAAGTTTTGGAAGGAAACAAGCAACAGAATGAATTAAAGGCAGCAGGAAAAAACGAATCATAACATGATTCTTTACAGGACACTGCGGGCTGAATGGGCATTTGAAGAAGATTGGTATAATCCGACATTGCACCTGCAGATTCTGCAAGGAAGAAGAAACACCAACACACCTGTACAAAGTGTGGTGCAACACTTACCCTCAGAAGGATGTGTACAATGTACCGTAGAAGAAATTCAACCACTGAAACTGGGCCTACTAATCAAATTTCTTGAACTAGGTTACAATAGTTCTCAATACTATTCACTATAGTTCTGTATACTATTCACCCCTATTTCATCTACATGGAAAAAAAACCCTAACTTCCTAGTATCCAAAGAGCCACAATGTTTTTGTCAATGACATGGCGCTCGTCACTTTACAGTATAAGTCCCGGTTTCGAATCCAACGGCCCTCTATACTTACAAATGGGCTTTTTTCAAAAACCACTGGCACCCAGAGGGTTCATATAACCTCATAGTAAAAACAAAAAGAAGAAAAAAAAATTAAAAGACAACTTTTTGACTAAAGGTACAATTACTTGAGCTTCTGCTAAGGGAAAATATTAGGCCCATTATGATATACTTGGCATGTTTGGATGTATAGGTACAAACTGGTTAAAGAATTTTACTTGTGAAAAAGTACCTTGTTTATTTGTTTATTTATAAGTCCAACGAGATAAGTGTACAAGAGGAGTAGTAAAAGAAAACAGAAACATTATTATAAAAATAAAACAATTGAGTGCATAACAATAAAATAACAAAAACACATGGCTTAAGGATTCCTGGCAAGTAAATGTTTTCTTTTGAATTTAACTAAATGCAAGGAAAAATGGAATACATCTATTTCATTGGAATAATGATTCAGCAATCTCATTATCCTTCGCAGAAGGGAGTTTAGTCCATATTATGATCTGCAATGTGGGCCAAAGAACAATTTATGGTTTCTTAGATATCAAGAGCCCCATTCGACAATTTCCAACCACCAATGTAATAAGATGAAATACAGCAGGAGCTATGTGAAGTAACCTTTTTTGGCCTCATAACCAATTTTATTTATTGTGTATTAACCATTATTTTATACTTTTGTTTTTGTAAAATGCTGCAAAGCCTTAGATATTTTTGTGTTAAATTTTTGTAACTTATTTGAACAAATACAGTTTTTCTATTCTAGAATATTTTTGACTTTTAACCCTCCCTCTCACGTTCTCACTTCCCTCCCTTTCATCACTCTCTCCATACTAACCATTTTCTTTTTTCTCTTTCTCTTTGTTTGTGAATTCTCTGCTCTTTTATTTCACACATTTTTATTTGTAATTATGTATTACATTCAGTGTATATCGTTTAAGTTCTTAATTATTACTATTCACTATATAATGATGCTTGGTATTGTAACTGGTAAATACCGATATAAATAAATAATTTAAAAAAGTGAGTAGTGGATCTGGTTGAACCACCAGTCGCTAAACATCACACATTTAAATAAATAATAAAGGAAATTAAAGGAACAAATCAAGGTCACCTTGAAGAGCACTAGAAAAAATCTCACTACTGATAGCTGATAATATTTTTTAAAAATATTATTAAAAAATTTTAAAAAAATTTGCACTTGGTAATTTCAATAAATTTTTAAAAGATGGGAAAACACAGAATATAAAATGTTTCTTTAAAGTATACGTTGCAATCAAAAGTTTCCTACCTAAAGGCATGACATATTTGTTTTATTTGTTAGATGTATTTTTGTATGTATGTTTTTTACTCACGTATAATCTAGATCCTGGTATAGTCTTGATGAAAAAGCAAATTCAACTGTTACTGCCAATGTTTGTAAATCCCAGGCCCTGAACATGATCTCAATAAAGATCGTAACGTTGGCCCTGATAAAGAAAATGATTTTATGAAACCTACATCACACCAGACTGCATCTCACAATTTCTGAATAATCATCGATTAACGCACTAATCACCACTCATTTCTTTAATATGATCAGGTCATCACTACAGTCCTTGGAAATATTGGGACTGAATAGTTCTTCAAAGAAATTTGAAATCGTCTATTGAAAACTTAATTATGTCAATTTGTAGACATATTTAAGATTTTTTGACCCTTAAAATAGGTCGAAAGTTTGGCAGTAACAACTGAATTTTCTTTTTCATCAAGACCATACATTGATTCAGATTATTTGTGATGTATTTGTGTTATTACATCATTGCTTGTTGTATTCTCAAGATGTTCATTGGTATATAAGTAGACAATCGTTGTTTCAAGATAAAATTTTTCTAGTTTCCCATTCTTGAAACAAGTGAACTTGGTGGTTTGAAAGAAATCAATGTGGCCCACTCTATATTTAGCAAGTCCACCCAAACATTTATACTGGAGGTGAGATTTTGGCTAGTCTTGAATTAATTTTGTGAAAACGTGTGAAAATAAATAAGATAAGTGTATTTACCTCGTTGTTGCTTTGGTGTTTTTCACAAGCAGTTACTATCAATTCTATCGCTTCATTCTTCATATCCTCGACCATATCACAATTCTGAAAAAAGTCCACATAAGCAAGAAGAATCGACTATTTAAACGAAATAGATAATGTTAAGAAAATGTTACAAACTTTGACCAGAGGGTAGATGTGTACGACTTTTTTCCCGTCCTCCGGCTTTCCCCCTTCGTCAGCCATTTTCGATTAATTTTGTCCTTTATTAAACGCCTACATTAAATCGGTCAAGACATTAAATTATTTGTTTTGGGGGGCCAGAATACAGTAACTTAAAACAAAAACAAAACTAGCTACTGATGTATTTTGATAAAACTACTGATTAGAGAAGTAACCTCCCTTGCCCCATATGTTCACCTAGCCTCAGTGTTGAACCCTACCTGAAAACATGAAGTGTGACATCTAACACGACATAAACTTGAGAATCCTAAATCATTTGTTCTTACATTTTAATAAAGTATCTAAGGTGCTTACAGTAAAAATGACATATGTTATATATCTGTTAATTTGTAACTTCATGTGTTGGCGTTTTTTAATTTAGGGAGGGGCGAGGCTGCTAATCCTTTAATATATATTTTTTTTCATGCAGTCTAAATTAGCTTAATTAAATAACAACACACATTTTAATTGTAATATACTTCTTAATAACGACGATGGCGAGAATTTTAAATTGCAGGAGGCCCTCATCTCTTCTACACACACCTTGAAAACCATTCCTTAAATTATAAAGTATATATCTTAAGGAACAGTGTTATATAGTTTTCCAAGAAAATAATTCAGTTGTAAAATTAATTTTTAACGATTTTCTAACAAATCGTGCATTTTTTATTGAACGCTAATAGCATTTAGTATTCAGGCGAGACTGTGCTCAGGTGAAGCAGTATTTGAGTTTGGATTAGTAAAAAAAATATATATATATTTCTATACGAAAACAACCCGACCCAAGCCTCGATGCCAATGCTACTCTCAAGTTACCAATTTCAGTCTGTCTAGTCGTAGTAGAAACCTCGAAAATTATTACTATAAAAATCACATTTTAGTAATTATTGTTGATTACTGATTTATTATGCTCGAATCTGCACTCGCATGTCGTACGAAGTTGAATATATCACTTTTTCGCAATTCCAGCTTATATATTATAAATTATCTGCAGGCCTCGAGAATCACCCACCCTGGGTGTTGGCAGTCCGGGGTCAGACCTCGGTTTTATCTGTCCAACTGCCGAGGCTGAGCTACAGGGGCTACCAACAACTAGGTCACCTTTACATCTATTATATAACTAACCAGATTGAAGGTGGGGTACTTAATATTCTGCCAAAGGCCCTCGCACTACATATTGATGCTAATAAATACATTCAATCTAAACTGCGCTAGGGACACAAAACTATCAGTACTAAATACAATGCTCAAACACAATTTTCATATCGGATGGCATTCCTACTCGCTCTCTTTATGGAACCAAGGAATTGCGTTCAATTAGGTGGGAAACATCGAACATCCTTTCTCTGCATGCTGGACATAGTAAGAGTATTAAGAACAAGTAAATCTAAATACATATAAAAATAAGGCGAAACTTAGGCGGATAGTTTAGTCTATATAGTATAACAATTAATAAATATAAATAGAAAAAATAGATAACTAACCAACCACATCATAACAAAGAAAGTGATAAGAACATTTAATTTGAAAATTTGCGAAGTCGAGATAGATAGACTTTGAGCTCGCTGAGTTAGTTGGTTGAGGGCAATTTGTTGTGCTAATTGTATAGAGTTGGCCATCATAGACTGATGATGGCAACTGAAGAATTTTGTCTTATGTTTGGACATACGGTGTGCCCATTGATGAAGTATGGAACTATGTTATAATTCAGTCGTTTAGTATGGAGGGGGTTGGATTTGCCAGCGAGGTGACGTGTCAAACATTCATCGTTTCCATGTAACGATATTTTTGATGTGCACGTCATTGTCAAACCTTAGTTCACAGCTGAACTTAACGAATTAACGATGTAGCCGCATTCTTCAGGAAAAGCTGAGACCGTAGGCAAATTTAACGACTTGAGATTTCGTTGGATTGACACCATTCGCCGATATCATCCGCAAAGCCCGTGAGCACGAGCTTTTTGGTTTGACGCTATAAGCAGTTTCAGTTCACTGTCTTCAGGTTCACAAATTCACCAAATATAATCCAGAACCACTGGAAGAAGAACTTCGTCATAAGTGTGGCTTCATTTTGATTAAAATGTCTGGGTGTCACATTGTATCATATGATTGCCAAGTAAATATAAATATTTAAAAAAAAATCTCCATCCATTTCTTACCAACACAAACATTCTATTACATAAGTGAGCTACCATGGAATTCTATATTCCGACCATCATTCACGACATAAAAGACCTGTAGACTAATAAACCATTCATACTAAGACTTTTATCATCAATCTCGATAATAAATATCATATATATCAAATACTAGGCTATTTGCAATTAAAAATAGTAGGCACCAGTCGCCAGTTTTCGCCAGTGGATCTTGCCTCATTCATGATCACTATCCTGGACGAAGGCCGACGAGATACTTGGATATACCGTCAAATATCCTGTTTTCGGTCATTCGATTTATATAACATTCTCGCTAATAAATACATTCATCCCCACATTTATAGAGTTGACGCGGAGAGTGGAGCGTAGGTCTAAAACAGAACTGGTTTCCATTTGAATAAAAAAAAATTGGGTCGGAGTAGTAGCACCTAGGAAAAATATGAGTAGACCAATTGACCCTTGACTTTGTTAGGTCATCTTCCTTTTTCTTGACTTCGTGTTTTCATTTGCGTGGGTGTATGTAGTGAACAGAATTGAATTACTATATAAATATGTGTAAGTCCAATTTTCGGGGAAGTTGGCCAGTAGTAGCAACTATCCCTTGTTGTGAAGGTTGTTTTGATTTGTTTAAAATATTTCTTTTTACATTCCGTAACTTTGTTTGATCAATATAAAATCTGATGATTTCTGTTCAAGGGAAATTCAGCCGGCCCATCTAAAAAGAACACCCTGTATATATGTATTTTATGTATTCGCTAATTAATAATTATATACTATGACGCCTTGATGTAAATGTACGTAAAATGTCTCTAAATAAAGCTTGTTGATTTGATTTGAAACGATACCATGGGTCCAACTACTTATGGCCTATTTTCGAAAGATATCACTTCTTGAACTGCCGAAGGCCGCCTGCCGACTATATGCCTTCTTTTCAAGACTATATCCGCTTTATTTCCTAATTGGAAACTTATCGTCGTTTGGCCATGTTATGAGGTTAGTCAAAGGATTTGGGACAAACATTTTAAAAAGGCCAGGAAGCCAAATGAGTTTGAGGGAATGCATTAACGTCCACCCCCTCGATGTAAGTAAATCTGAAGGTCTCATCTCAATAGCTTTACCAAGGACGATTGTAATTCCGCTAGAACAGCTCCGCTCCAAATTTTTTGTATAATTAAAAATCCTTCGATTTTATGGGTAAAATCATGCTTTCAATTTCAAAACATGAGAATATTTTACATTCTAATCAATACAACAAACTAGTTTATTATATCAAATACCCTCTACTTAATCCTCCGCTCTAACAGAACGGTTCTTTCGGGTTCCGTCAAGGATCAGATTACATCGAATACTGCCCTCTGGTCCTCGGGAGTACCGAGTGTGCCTATCCTATATACTGCAGATGTTCCCACTAAATCTACCATCATCTTTGAATCTTTTATCGATGACACAGCTGTTCTATCCTCTAATCTCGACCCTGCGGTTTCTTCGGAAAATCTACAGGGATATAAAACATGCGTGTCAGACATAAACAAAAACAACGGAAAATGAATATAAACGAAAGCAAATGTGTCCATGTCACATTTACACTCCGAAGCAAATGTCCTCTCACAATATACTACATCAACGTTCCTATCCCGAAATCCGACTATATCCGTTACCTTGGGTTCCTAGACTCAAGCTTAACGTGGAATTGGCATACACGACTGAAACGATAAGACCTAAACGGACGCTACGGTTAATTCTACTAACTTATATATAATCCAAGTTATCGCCGAAAACCAAACTTACAATTTACAAAACGCCACTACAATCGATTTGGATATACGGTATAGTAGGGCACCACTAAGCCTTCCAATATCCGACGTCTCCAGTGTTTTCAGTCTAAAGTCCTTAGATCAATTATAAATGCTCCGTACTATATCTCCAATAATACCCATCAAATTGACCTTAAAATCTCATTTATCCAAACCATAATTCTTCCAAAATTTACCAAGTTCCACAATAATTTTTTCCATCACTCCAATAGTTTCGACCAAGCCTTGTCCAACTGTACTCATCCCTGCAATCCCACAAGGCGTCTCAAGAAGAAATGGCCCCGCGATCTCCCTTCTGAGATAGGCAGTGATGTTTACCTAGTGAAATGTAGTACTTAAGCAGTGTACCTAGTAAAAAAGAGAAATATTGATTATTTGCTCCCCACAATGAAAATAGCTGTAAATATGTTCACCAAATATCATATTGCAACAAAAAATTGCAGATTTGAAAAAATATTTGAAAAAAAAGTTATTATAGAGTCACTAGTTTTCGTGGTCCGCTTGACCAGATAATATGTTTCAATTAATTAAGGTTTTTAGTTAAGATAAAAGGTCACGATAGCTCAAGTGGTAGAGCAGCAGCGTATCGAGCCGAAGGTCGTGGGTTCGAATCCCGGTCGTGACACTGACTTTTTTATCTCAAATAAAAACCTTAATTAATTGAAAGTTATTATAGATATGTGTGTTTTTAGTGACCGGTTGTTTAATAATTTGTTTGATTCGTGAGGAGCGGCCAAGGATGAGGTATGCTAGAAAAAACACCTTTTTCATTTTTTTGCGTAAGTTTCAATCTTTAGTCGGGTCATCTTCTTGTTGTGTTTTATGTTGTTCCTATCGGGAAGAAATGTGTGTTTTTTCTACAACAATTTCACACAAAAGCACTATTACACAACAAGATTAGCACCACACTTTATGCCTGAAGATGACACGAATAAAGGTCGAAACGCCGCAAAAAATGAAAAAAAGTGTTTTTCCAAATTACCTCATTTTTTACCTCTCCTTTCGAATCAATAATGATTACATAGCTGGTGAATTAGGTAGATTCAATATATCGATGCAGGGCAAAAGGATTCAATAGCGTATTCCCAATCTAATGATAAAAATTTATTCTTCAAATTGCCGAAAATTCAGCTACAACAATCAGATATAAGAATTAATAAATTAGCATAAAAAGGCAGAAAAACAGCTTATCGAACATAGTGGATTGAAATTGTTTCAGAGTTTGACTCCCCGAGTTTGGAAGTCGGGTTTAATTTTAAGCTGTTGCTTCGGTTGCACTGGAACGCTTGAAATTTAGATTAGGAGCCACGTCAATGCCAAATTGTTTACATTTAGCCGAGAATGTTCCACTTTGTATATTCCGAAGTCCTTGGTTCCTAATCCTGCGTTCTA